GTAGAAATGTTAAGCCTTTAATAAGAAACTCTGACCACTAAGCAATAAGGAGTCAGTCCCAAGTCAAACCTCAGGCCTTTGTAACTGCTGTGTTTATGGATGTGTATTTGTATATCCATATGTGTGTGTCTGTGTGTGTGTGTCTGTGTGTCTGTGTGTGCCTGTACCTGATCAGAGCAAACCCATTTGGTTGCAAAATAAGCTTTATTTGAATTGTTGAACCTTGAGATACAAAGTTACATTAAATAACCTAAATTAAATCCCAAGAAGTACAGATTGTAGACTAGAGTACATCCAATATTTTAGCAACTTATTTTCAATGTATTTGGTGTTGGCCTTGTCCCTGCTGATGAAATGCATATATACATAAATAAGTGTGTATGCTTCTGTATACACACAGGTTTTTTGGCTATTTTCATTCCAAATTAAACATTTACTTTGCAGGAATGATTTTTACTTTGTGCATATTCTGTACTATGCACATTTTGATGTATATAGACCTGAATGTTAAGTGTGTGTTTTTAAAAGTATTCTTAAAGTACAGCTGGGATGCAGAATGACAATGAAGGACAAGACAGGAATTTGGGATTATTTTGATAAATAGAAACCCCTGTCAGGAATGGAGTTATCCCTCAGGCATCTTATAGGTAAAATTTATTCTGCCTTATGGCCTGGTGATGGACTGCATGACCTTTTAGATTCTCCTCCGGCCCTATTTTGTGATTCTGAGATCAATTCATTTTGGCATTTGACAGCTGCTGTACATAGACTATAGATGATTCCCTGTGTTTAATACTTTTAATACTTTTTTTAATTCACAGATTTTGCACTTGAAACATTTTAGTTGCATATAAAATGTATTCTTACTTAAGATGCCAAAAATAAAGGATATGGGTTTCATTTGGCTGTTTAGCAAAGGTATTCTTTCCAGCCTAAAACGTGTTACAATGCTGAATTTTTATGAGAGGTTACAAGGCTATAAATTAATGCTCTTTAGCATAAAGACATCTCCAGGTTTATATGCAGTTGATCCAATGTTATTCCCATTAGTGTTAATAACTGGGAGATAATTCACTTCATTCAGAAAATGAAATCCTGATTCTTGAAGTAGTTTTAGTGACATTCAGCCTGGAATCAGATTATTCTTTACAGCATGTTAAAGTCATGGCAAGGTGGTCCTCAGCTTGCAAGTGTAATTTGTTCTCACAAATAGGTAATCTTGTTAAAATATTGTCAGGTTAATCAAAATTGATTTGCGTGTACTAAACCCAGTGAATGCTAATAAAGTATCGGGTTAGGAAGCTTCAGTAGCAATTTTAAGTCTTTGATAGTTTCCCGTTTTTCTTGGATGGAATGACTCACTGGATTTGTGGAAACATTTTAAAACCTGAACACCATTCCAAGGTTGGATACAAATGCACCACAGACTAAAGCATCTCCTTTAGAAATATGTTTTCAAAAACCTGAGAGTGTGGATCACTGTGTTTGTTATACCTCATATGCAATGAATTGTTTTCCAAATCATGTGAGTGCTTTGTGGTTTTTCCACTCTGTTATTTGTAACTTCCTTGCCATTTTTTACAAATGATGGTTAAAAATATATTTCAGATTGTAATTGAAAGTATTACATGCTGTATCTGTGGTGTAAGAAAATGCATTTAGAACTTCTGTACATTCCATTTGAAAGGTAATTCTGTGTAATTATGAATTTGTTGGAAGACACGGTGAATTTTTTTAGTAATTTTATGATTATCAATATGGAGTATATAGAACATTGAAATGACAAAGAAGAAAAACTTTCTTTTTCCAGAGCCACCAGGAGCTTTGCACTCTGCTCACACCCTTTAAAACTTACAACATCTTATTTTCTTTCAACAGAAAGCTTTTCTTTACAGACTACGGGAATGCTGCCAAGGTGGAGAGATGTGACATGGATGGAATGAATAGGACGTGGATAGTAGACTCTAAAATTGAACAGCCTACTGCTCTTGCACTAGACCTCATCAATAAATATGTGTACTGGGTTGACATATATCTGGATAGCGTGGAAGTTGTTGACTATCAAGGGAGAAGGAGACACACGATAATTAAAGGCAGACAAGTAGGTATTTATTTGCAAATTAGTAAAAGTAACAGTATCAATAAATAAATATACGTAATGCTAACAGCTGCAGGAATTTCAGATTTTTTTTTCCCTTTAGTTCAGATGTGTTGGGTGTCAAAAGATCCATCTGCATATTTTGTTTTATTTGCACTGTAGCCCATTTTGCAACCTGTGGACTTGCTACCATGCAGTGTCTCATTAACAATGCACAATTTAAGTCACACTTCCCATTTTAAAAGACTTCAGGAGGGAAAATATGGGGTGATGGAAAGGTGCTGGGAAATAAATCATTAATGACAAGATGTCCTTACCTCTTCAGGAAGGAGAGATTAACAGGCACAATAACATAAAAGAAATAGAATAGCAAAAGCCACTCGCCCATTCAGACTAATCTGAATGCCCTTAAATCTTATTTTTTTGATGGCAATGGTGGTTTTTTCCAGCTGATCCAGATGTTCAAAGTCATATACACAATTGCTGAGACTGTATGAGCTTTTGAGCAGGAGTATTTCAGTTTGGAGAGTGGGATAGCAAGCAAGGTCGCAAAGAAAGGAAGAATTCCCTGGCAGTTGTGAGATTTATGTAAATCCAGGGACAATTAACAAAGACCAAACTGTTCTAGTTCCTGCTTGGACTCCCAGAGCTGGAGTGGGCATCATGTTTACGTCTGCTTCTTCTTGAGGTTAATCAGGGTATGTAAAAACATGCAAACAGAATAAACACTTCGGCTTTTCTGCTGTCATTCTTTGCTTCCAAGTAATCACTGTTTGCCAAGAGACAACTGATTAGAATAGCTGTCCTCTAAAAACAGGCAGAAAATGTGACAAAAAGCAGTCTAGGTCACCTGACTAAACACCAAACACTTTCTTACTTTTTACCAGCTTACTCCCAGTCCTTAGCCAGTTCTGGAATAAGAGGTGGTTTTTTTTCAGGTAGCATTTTGGAATAGGTACTTTAAAAAGGAAAGTAATTTTCAGAAACAACTAACAAATACTTCTACAGGCTTGTAACAGAGTTGTACTGGTGTCATAGCAAAGATGCTTGTTTTTTCTCTTCTTGCTGAAATTTCAATCAAATAAGAACACTTTATCAAGTTCAAAGGGATTGTTTCTCCTCTAAGCTGGCTAAGAAAGGAGAATGAGATCTGTGTCTTTTAATAAGGCTGGTGTTAAAAAGCTTGGCCTCTCAGTTGGTCACTGCTGTCACAAAAGGTATGGGTTGACTTTCCACTCCAGTGAAAGATTGGTGATTTCATGAGATTTTGTGCTGCTTATACATGATTTAGAATGACTCTTTCTCCAAGTTACTCCTCATTAGTCCCCAAGGGAACAGCAGACGAGAAAACTACAAGTACAAGCAATTGTACACCAAAAGATGTGCTTTCCAAATTATACTGGCTTCTATGATTGATAACCTGGGCGGCCTTCAAAGGACGATTCTTTGTAGCAAGCAACATTTCTACTCATGCAGGAGATATCTGGAAAGCTTCCTGAGATGTAAAAAACAAGAAATGCATAAATCAAATTCAAATAATTAGGTCATTATAAAATGCATTGGAAAAAGAGTCACATAGTTTTAATAGAGTTAATATATAGAAGCTCCCATGGGAGTTAAGTTAGAAAGACTTAAACTGAGTACAAATGGAAATAGGGAAGAAAGGATTATAATTCAGAGGAGAATTCTACAATTTGGTACAGATGTGTCGCTATTTTCAAGGCTGTTTTCCATCTAACTATAATTAGGTTGAATTTCTGTTGGGTCTTAATCAAACATTTTCATTGATCTCAATTATTATTTCTTTTTCTGGGTAAGGACAGAAAACAAGGGCAAGATTTGACCAGCTGGGGTGGTAATTTCCAGAATGCATTGAAATACTTGGTGCATGATGGGGAGGGGGGATTTGGGTTGTTTTTTGATGATGTATCTCTGAATTTGTGAGTGAATGAGCTAAGTAAATACTTTATGGTGAGCAATTTATTAATTAATAATATATTCAACCTATGAATATCTGAACATCTGCCAAAAAATTCTCTTTAATTTGTTTGGCTTTCAAAACTGCCAGTGAGACATTTTACTTTTTCTAAATCTATAAATCAAGCACAACCTCTAGGTTATTGAACAACTCATGTCTGAGCTGTGGTTGTCTAACTAACTAATATTAGGTAATTTTTAATCAATGTGCCCAGACACATCACAGATAAATACAATTTTAGAATTCACTTTTTGAGAAACAAACTTATTCAAAGATACCAACACAAAAGGAACAAAAAAAATAGCTGAGGGAATTTGTTAATTTCTTATGTATTCACTTAAGAAAATATTCAGCAGGTGTATCTTGCATTATTTGCCTTGATTTGATTATAATTTCAAAAATGGATCAATTACGCCTATAAACTGTGTTTTAAAAATATCTAACTTTATCATATTTATTAGTTAATGCTAGTTAACAGTAGTTAACTTACCCTAGTTAGTTAATGAACGTTAGTCAATACTAAAAGCAGCTGTTGAACTTAAAATATGCAGGAATTTTTAATTTAGAAGACAGAAACTGGGGAATTTTAAGAGTAAATTATTTGGGACTTCTAAATAATTTGAATTTTCTGCCTTTCTTGTACAAAGCTTTTCTAATTATAAACTTCAATCTACATGAATGTGAACTGTACTTGTAGTGTAGTTTGTGTTTATAATCTACAAATATTTCCTGACATAGTCAGAAAACCTTTTGTACAGTTTATTCTGTGCAATCCACAGTAATGTTTGATGTTCACAAATCTTAGATATGCCTAAAATACTGAGCTAAAATAATGAAACTGTTTTTTTTTTCTTTTCCAGATTAGGCATTTGCGTGGTTTGGCAGTATTTGAAAACTATTTATATACAGTTAATTCAGATAACCTCAGCATTTTACGAATAAACAGATACAATGGCAGTGATGTTCAGGCTCTTGCTAGACTTGACAATGCTAAAGAAATCCGTGTGTACCAGAAAAGAACTCAAACTGCAGGTAAGCTCAAAATTACTCTTTCTAGAACAACATAAGACCAGATATTAAGGAGTTGTGTGGTTGAAGTTCTCCCAGAAAAACGTATCAGAAGATGGAGTGAAAATTTGTCATTGTGGCAAAACTCTCTGTTACTTTTTCATCTGCCCAGGTTTTTATGTGCTTGCTGCCAGTTTGCCTGTGTCTCTAAGTTCCTAAGTGCTCTTTCCTAAGGGTTCAACACCAAGAACTGCCAGAGAGCCATGGTTTGCATGTTGTGTGGCTCCACACTCACAACACCTCAAGAATTGAACACGTTCAGAACTATTGGATATCCAATGCTGTCCACAGACTTGGGTCTCAGATCTCAGAGATTCTTGGTAAATCTGGGCCTCCTTTTCAGACAGACTACAAACCTCCAGTGAGCTCCTGTCTTTGGGGTTGACAAGAAAGCATGGAGATGTGCTCAATTAGACTGCCTGACATCCAGCCCAGGAAAATGCTGTCAAGGTTTCCTTGGTTTGAATAAATATCAGCTTTTCCATCTGTGAAAGAAATCTTCAGTTTCATCTAGAATGAAAACCTTTTTATAATCTCAGAATTTTTGGTAAAGGAGCAATTTCTGAGGGCCATAGTCCTGTATGACTGTAATCAGGGCTCTGTTCTGCAAGCAAAACAGCAGTGTGATTTGGGGGAACTTTGTGCAGAGATAGCAAGATCCAAGCTGTTTACAGCGATGCTTTATGAGAATTTTTTGATGTGACTGATAGCAATAAATCGTTGCCATGGCTGCTTAGACAGAAAAGCCAACACATCAATTCTGGTGCTCAACGTCGATGTTACTAAACAGAATGACTGCTTTTAGAGAAGTTTTTGAAGTGGGAACAAACTCCAAATTGCTTTAGAGTGGGTGAACTAATTTTCACCCTATTGCTGAGGGCATTGATTTGCAGATGTCAGTGTCTGAAGGAGGCTGCAAAGACTCTTTCCTTGCTGTAGGCCCATCTCTTGTGCTCCTGAGGGAGTCAGAGAGGTTGAGTAGAGGAGAGATGTGAGCACAGTGTAATCTTTTATTACATCCTGTGATTACTCGGCTCCTCTTGCCCTTTGTTCACTCTGCTACTTCTTTTGTTTTGAATGGACATGTTTGTTGCTTGTCAAGATTCGCTGTAAAGGCTGTCTCAGCTTGGTGGAGTTTCTGTCTACCTTTAACCATATCGACCTTAAATCACTCGATTGCTTCTTTTAAAAAAACAATTCAAAAGCTTGAGGGAAAGGAGAAAGAACAGAAAAAAAAAAAATTGAGCTAAAATAGTCTTGGCCTGTTTTAGGCCAGCTTAGTAGGGATAGCAAGGTAGATTTTGTTTTCTTGTCAGATTTGCCTTAAAGAGTTTTAAAAAATTATTTTTTATATATTAGTCTGCTAATTTAGAACCGTGCATTTGAAAATATGAAATCAAGAGAAAGCAATTATTTGGCTTCTTCAACTGGATTTGTGTCCCAAGTGTGCACATCTGCACCTCATCCCTGGAAGTGTTCAAGGCCAGGTTGGATGGGGCTCTGAGCAACCTGACCTAGTGAAACATGTCCCTGCCCTTGACAGGGGGTTGGAATGAGATGGTGTTTAAAGTCCCTTCCAACCCAAGCAATTCTATGATTCTGTATATATGGGGAAACACTACAAGGCTTGTTCTGTTCTTTAATTTTGGCCAGGTAATTGCCCCAGAAAAGTGCTGTTTAATGGAGCTGAATGAATAGCAAACTGTGTTGGCATGGGGTGCATTCTGTCCTCAAAAAACCCTAACCAACCAAATGAAGCAAAGCAACACATAAAAAAGGGGAGAAGTGTCAGCTGCCCCAGGGAAGCCCTACCCAGAAAATGCTGTGCAGTAGTTTATTCAGGGAGGGGTGATCACATACAACACTGGGTCTGGTTAGATAGCCACGAGATGGCCCTGGGGAATACTTGTCTGACTTGGGTACCATCTTAAAAAAAACACCTTCCTTTGTAGTTATATTCTGGGGAAAGATGTATTGTGACACAAATTCCCTTTTTCTTTCTTTCTAAACTTTCTACATGCCGATGCCTATAATTATCTTGCTTTAAATGGATGTGAATAATGCTGTTTTTCCCTCGCCATAGTCAAAAGCCACGCATGTGAAGTGGACCCATATGGAATGCCGGGGGGATGTTCACACATCTGTCTGCTCAGCAGCAGCTACAAAGCACGGACTTGTCGCTGCAGGACTGGCTTCATCCTGGGGAGCGATGGCAGGTCATGCAAAAGTATGTTATTTAAATCAAAGAGTCTGCGAGCCGTGAATATTCCAGGGTGTAGTTCTGGGTGTTCCTTAGTGTGCTTATCAATAACAATGGAAATCACAAGAGCTGCTTTGGGGTAAAATTTCTTTTTAACGTGTACCTGGCACTTTGTTCACATACTCCTTTCATTCCCTTAAAATGATTTGATTTGGCTTAGTTCACCGAAGTGACAGATTAAACCTGGGATGCCGCTCAAAGAACACTAAAAATTATCACAAGTTTTAAATTAATCTTAGTCTTTATTTATATGTCATCCATTTTCACAGCTCACAGGTACTGGAATGCTGTTAAATAGTTTGTCACATCCAATTTCCACCTGTGCAATCAACTGGTAAGGCAGAAGCAAACTGTTCATGTCAATAAGTCAAGCAAGGTTTTTCTCATAATCCTTTGAAAAGCAAATCTGATTTGTGCAACTGTGATTATACCTAACATTACATATACACAACCTGTTGGTCACCTACAGCCAACAGGAGGGCACTGAAAATTTTGGGGAACACCTGTTTTTTATCTCATTTCTCAATCAAATTGTATTGATTTAGTTCAGGTGAAAAACATGCAGTTAGATACTCTGATGGATGCTGGTAGATGGATATACTTGCCCTCAGTCAAACCTGATACAGTTTTCATTAGCAATTTCATAAAAAAACCCGAACAAACAGAAAAACAAACCTGAGAGGAAGCAGAGAATTTTAAGAGGTATATTGGTAGCATTAAGCCTCTAAGGATATTTATAAGTATATTTAAAGAAAGAAAGTAACTTTACTAATCTTCAGTTTTTGTAATTAACTTAATTCATTAAATTGTAAGCAATCTCCTGAGAAACAGGAAATATTGGTATCCATGTTTTGTATCTCAGTATGGAAGAGCAATCTGTGTTGGTTTATTGTATTCCTTTCAATTTGAAAGAAATTTACTGTAATCTTTTGTGTTGTTTGGGTTTTTGTGTTATTTAGTGGTGGTGTTGTTTAAAAACTTCAGGTGAAAAAAATGGTGTTTTGTATTTGCTGAGTTGTATTGTTGGATTTAATGATTTCTTTAGTCATGATCTACATTACCCTGATAAATCCTAATTAATTGTAAAATTAAATGTCTACAGAGCTATATATGTCCACTTCACAGCAGATGCGGAGTTATTCTGTGATCTAGCACTGCTTTTCAGTGTGCACTTTTACACACAAAAAAAAAATTAGATGTAAGCAGCTTACTGAAGTAATTTGTGTTTAAAATAAGGTAGTATAATTATCTGGATTTTTTGAGTTTAGATACCTCCAGAATATATGAAAGTTTAATTTTTAGTATCAAATCATACTCCTACTCCCCACTAATTGTGTCAGTTAATTAAACAGGGACTTTATGCACTGTAAAGAAGATTAGGCAGCATCAGTTGTTTATGTTTGTAATCTTTCTTTTGCAGGACCAAAGAATGAATTGTTTCTTTTTTATGGGAAGGGACGCCCAGGAATAATCCGGGGCATGGACCTGAATACCAAAGTATCTGATGAGTACATGATTCCTATAGAGAACTTGGTCAATCCTCGTGCTCTGGACTTCCATGCCGAAACCAATTACATTTACTTTGCTGATACCACCAGTTTCCTAATTGGACGACAGAAAATTGATGGCACGGAGCGAGAAACGATCCTCAAAGATGGTAGGCAATGCTAAGTGATAGTGACACTCAGAGATTCCCACTAAGGAGAAGCTGAACTGACGTTTACAGATAATTTAAAGTTTTATTTAAATCTCCCGTGGAAAACAGACCCAAATTAGGCCTTGAGCAGAGTTGGAGATACTCTTTTTACAGCTTCCTGTTTATTGTTCCTGAGGGCAGAAATGTGAAGTTTGATAAAGTCACTCTGCCGTGAATTCTTTGTCCAGTTAAGCTTGTACCCACCAGTGAGTAATTCCTGTGTCATAGATAGATATTTATTGAGCCATCCCACATCCTTGTGGACTTTATAAGACTTCTTCACTCCAACCTGTATCACAGTGTTGATTCTGGAGCTTATTCAAGTAATTTGGCAGAGTGAGACAGTCCATAGTTCTTGAAAAGTCACTAGGGAAGAAAAAACATTGACTTTCCTGATGCATTTTCTATTGTGTATGTGGAAGCAACAGGAACACCTAAATATCTTATAGAACCTTAATTAAGATATTTATACCATTCATTATAGCAATGAGAGAAAACACTGGCAGTTCTCCAGTTTCCACCTCTCCTACTACACTGGTCTAGAATCATATCTTGTCGTACTAAGTGCTGTTGCAGTGGTAAAACCTCCAGTTTGTCAATCCATATTTCTCCTTCCTTTATGGACCTTTTTCTGAAGGACTGCTTCAGCAGGAGGTAGCAACTGCCTCAGCTGAAATCCATTCTAAAGTAATTATTTTCTAGTCCTCAAGAAAATAAACAGTATGAATATTCATCTTAGCCTTCAGAGAGCTTAATATCTTTACTTGTATATTGAAGCTCAAGACAGGGAAAGTACCTAAAAGACCATTGTTTTAGCATAGGGATTTTTCATTCCCTGTCATTCTTAACCCGTGTGTTAATCCATCAGTCTTCCAGAAGTTATCTGCACTGTGCAGTGATATGATGCTCTTTTGGTGTAAGGTCTCTCCTCAGAGTCTTCACAAAGATCCCTTCAGCAGCAGTTGCAAGGAACAGTGACAGGCTCTTTACCCTGCATACATGATTGCTTAATAAAAGGCAGCTGTCTGGGTAAATAAGGAATACTCAGCTGTCAGTTTGGTAATTCTTCATTTCACTGTGAGTATGGGAATGGATAATGTACATCACAGAACTTCCACTGCTCACTTTCTCCTACTGAACACACATTTCACTTTACAACAAAGTAATTCAAATGTGGAGTAGAGGAAGAAGCAGGCAATATGTAGATTTAAACATTATAATAGCAGCAAGGAACATACACACAACATAGCAAAACCACTAATGCAATACCAAAAGAGTTATGGATTTTCTGATGATATATTATTGGTGGTGCTATTTGCAAAGGCTGAAAAACTGTCACTGTCATTCCCTCCTCCCACCCCCTCATGCCCCAGGAGCTTACATTGTTAGTTTGAACTTGATGTAGTTTCATAACTTTAAAGTATGTTTAAGGAACATTTGTTACTGTATTTTTCATAATTTAAAAAATTAATATGGCCTCCAGCTGTAACACCTCAGCTTTTATTCTTGTCAAGTCTCAAGAACTCAGCAGGGACAGATTAAATCATTCCTTGGTGGAAGGTTACTACAGAAAATCAGGTGTGTCAGGAGGTGGTTTAATATTTGCTCTGAACAGCATGTTGCTAAGGACTTCTACCTGTGGTAGGTACCACTTCTCAGAGTAGAAGTTCTTATTTTTTGTGACTATCAGGTTTTTCAAGAACAGATACGCTCACTCAAACAACACTGTAACTCAGATAATTACAGTTTGCCTACACAAGAGCCTGATCCTACCACCTGTTGACTGGGAATTGTGATCACTGAGCACCTAACACTGCTGGAATTTGATTTCCCATATAGTTTCAGCTGTGATTTCATATTCTTCACTTTGGAAAACAAACTGCAGGGTAGTACTGACAACTGTTTGACAGCCCAAAGCACAGCCTAGGCCAGAGTTGGCAGCACAACAACCAGAGCTGCGTGCTTCCACCAGCAACAGAAATTGTTATAATTAAGCTTTCAAACTTGCATATAAAATCAGTTTTTCACATTAAAAAAGGGAACAAACTAGACATTTTTAAAGGGATCTAAATATTGGTTAGTTGATGTAACATAAATACAAACTCTTGGATTTTCTACTTATCTTTGTCCCCCTTAGGTTTTTTTGGGGTTGGTGTGAGCCTTAACATGTTATTTACTGTAAATGCTAATAAAGATGATCAAGGGATGCCTTTTGCTTAAACAAGGCCAAAGTAAGTCTGTAAAGATCTTTGGTTGCTGTTTAGCTGGTTGGTATAGAGCAGAATTATTTTTTCCTCAGTTTTTATGTTTATCTAGTGTTTTAGGCACTATTAAGGTACATGATCTAACTGACATTGATGAGCTAAGCTATTCTATACCAAATTACATGCTGTGCTTATAATGTGTTTCACATTTAAAAGCAGTGTGGCAAATTGTTGCTACTAGAACTACAAGTTTTTAAAAATCTTGTATCTATATTCAGCGTATTTGTAGCCCACATACTACTGTTGATAGTAAAATTCTGGTAGTATTTCCAGAATTACAAATGTTAACTCTTCGATTAGCAAGTGAAGAATGATCACAATGGTATTTTACTCTCTCATTCTTTTTATATGGAATGGGCTTTACTGGTTTACTGTAGTCAAATCAATTTTGTTTAACCACAGTAGCCATTATTTTGTTCCTGTTTACTACTTGTTGTGAAACCCATCTAAAAAGTAAGGAATGCATTTAAAGCTTTTAGATAGTGAAATAAAAGTGAACTTTAAACAATAGCTTCACAAAAATAATGAAATTTGCCTCTATAAGATTGTGCTGTAAAAATCTTTATTTTTAACACTTCCTGATATATTTAGAACCTAGTTAACGTGAGTTTCTTTTTTACTTGGATTGTATTTAGTTTAGAAACACATATGCTCCATAAATCCCACAGAAGGCGTGGTAGCTCACATGCAGTAGCTACTGTGTGAAACTGAATAGCTTTGGAGCAACAGGCTTGTAAATTTTAGGAGGTATCTAACATTCTAATCTAAACTTAGTTTTGCTGTTGATACCAGTGGAGTATCCATATTTGAACTGTTTTGTCTCCCAAAGAAGGAAAGAAACCAAAACACTTTCATGAAAAAGCTGATCTTATTAGTATAAAAACTGTGTTTAGCCCAAAATGACAGGGTGAGACGGAATAAAAATAAAACGCGATTTGAACACCTTGTCCTCAAGTTTGATTTTAGTCATGTTGGTGTTTTCTTGAGTTGTAAAAAACCTGCTGAGACCCCTCAGAGCTTTAAAGGACATTTCTTTCACAGCTGAGGGTTGTCTCTGCTGCCTGGTCTGCTCAGCAGATTTTCTTCATGAGCCTTGGGCTCCGGGTCCTTGGTGAAACATTCTGTTCTTTTCCCTTCCATATTTTGCACTTTTCTCAACATACTTTTTCACTCCAAGACCAAAGGCCACTCTCCGCTCTCAGAAAGTCCCAGCTGGCTCTGACATTTTCTTTTCGAAAGAATGCAGCAAAGGCACTGAGAGACTGAAAATAAACCCAACAGTGTCCATCAGCCTGGGAGACCTGGCTGAGGTGCTGGCACTGATCTCAGACACCGACTGACCCTCGGCTGTTCTGAACTTGGGCTGATTCTTGTCAGACTGGGTGCTTGCTGGGTTAGGTGTCATCATACTGTTGTTTCATATCCTGCAGGGTGCATTTTGACACCATTGCTTCCCTCAAGCTCCTTAGATCACAAGTTAAAATAGTTCCTCGAAAGTACAGTGATGTTTAGGTGTATCAGAAATATGGATAATAATGTTAAAATATGTTTTGAGAACTTCTCCCTTTTTTTCCCCGTAACTTTCTTACATCATGTCTCACAGGATGTACTGTCATCTCTACACCCACGACTGATTTACTAAATTTAGGTCTAGTTTCTTAAGTGAACAAGGTTTAGTTGATAACTTCACTGGGTACCAAATATCTGTAATATTTTTTGGACTTTCACAACGATTTCAAGTTAATTTGATGTAAAGGAAGGGAGGTCCAATTACAATTAAAATCCTGCTGGTGGTAGATTGTACTTTGCAGTAAAGTAAAGAAAGCAGCAAACAAAATCTAGCAACTGTAAAATACATCACAGTTTTATAAACATACATATATACATACGTCTTCATGATGTTTAATTTAACATAAGCAATATGCCTGGAGTAGGATGATTGCACACTTGGAGTTACAGACATCATTAAAGCTCGAAAGAATCCTGAACTATTCTAGACCTTGCTGACTTTTCAGTACAACTAAACTGATTTTTCAATTATTTTCTATGTTGTTGTCAAGATTTTCCTTCATTTAATGTACAAAACATATATATAATCTTCATATTTGTCTTTATTCATCTCTGCTGTTTGTTCACTGCCATGTGCCCAGACAGAGTATACCACCAGGGGGAAAAGGCAATTTTAAAAATATGACACGGCTATCATACTATGAATTTCAGTAACCCTCAGCTTCTTTAGTTTTCTGTTTTAAAAAATTGAAAGCATGCTGTCTGAATTATCTCTCTTCATAATGGTTATTTTTATCTCTCTCAATAAGGGTTATGCTTGTTATTTTTAAATTTTAGTATACAATGCAAGTTATATCATAATTTTAATATACTTCAACATTATGTTGAAATGCGTTTTGCTTCTTTTTTAAGGGAAATTGTTATAAAAATAAAAAATGAAAAGTTTTGCAATGACAAGGTATTTGAAAACATTACAGCTCTGCTAACTTAAGAGGGGCTATAATATGATGGTATTACAATCACTAAAAAACATTGTTCAACAAAAACACCAAAGTAATTTATCATGTTGCAGTGCTATTGAGATTGAAACAGCACCTTTTATAGATGCTGTTAATGCATCCAAGTGCATAAAAAGCACAATATTTCATTGTATGAGTAAAACTGTCATATTTTATCGTAGTGTGTTGCTGACATACCATAGGTTATCTATGGGCTGTGGTGTTTTGTACAGTCAAGAGACAATGGAACAAATGCTAATTGAATGCCCATTTTGCCTATTTTTTTTTTTTAAATAAGAACGAAACTTGTGATTTAGGTAAAAGCAAGGTAATTTAGAGTACTAGAGCTGATCTTAGAAGCTGTGCTTGATTTGAGTGTTAATTCTATTTAAGGTTAAAATTAAGTAGGATTTTATTAAATAGTGATTTTCCCAGGGCCACCTATGGTTAACATATGAAGACTTACAGTTTAATACACAAGTTGTATGACTAGCCTTTTTGTGGAGTACCTTTAGCAGAGACTAATATTGACAGACGCATCAGATGTGATTCAGATTCAAAGAAATAATCTAACTTACCTGTGTGGACTGTATCATGTCTGTTGTTTATATTAATGGATAATGTTAGAACGTAATTAATATTAATCTCTTACTGCTGTCTTCTCTCTCTCAACAGATCTTGATAATGTAGAAGGCATAGCAGTGGACTGGATTGGAAATAATCTTTATTGGACAAATGATGGCCACAGGAAAACAATTGCTGTCGCCAGACTAGAAAAAGCTGCTCAGAGCAGAAAAACTTTGTTGGAGGGAGACATGTCCCACCCTAGAGGAATTGTTGTTGATCCTGTCAATGGGTATGAAGCAAACTGATTTTTGTTTAATGATTGTCTTTATAGTATAAATACAGAAGTGAATTTGCTTAGGATGAGGTTTGTAGAGTCATGTCATAATCTGGAATTCTCCAGGAGTCTATAATATCTGTAATTCCTGTCCAGTATTCTTGCCTGAAGCCATCAGAAGAACATATCTGCTCAGTCACCACTAAATGTCTGTCCTGTTAAGCTCAATGTGATTCACCTTTTTCTCAAACAAATTGAGTGTGTAAGACCTGTATGAATTTTTAATATTAAGTGAACTTTATGAGGCTCTTCTTTATTTCTCTCCTTGTAAGTCTCAGCTTCTGAAGATAATTATGCCCATATCCTTGTACACGTTGTTTTACAAAACTAAATGAGACAGGTACTTTTCATTACTTATTAGCATAATTAGTTTTGATAGGCTGCATAATAAAAAGAACATTAAATTAATGTGGTATAGTTGTGGTTTACTTAGGAATTCACAGTTAGATTTATTCAGGGAATTGTCACTAGAGAACAATGTAGGTGGGTAGTTTTTGCATGGCTGGATTGATTGCTGTTTTCCTATTACTAGAAAATATTTACACTACCAGGTTTTCTGTTTTGAGCATGTCTTTGAGTGGAAGTGACTGTGGAAAGGCTACAATTCATTAAGGTCAAATAGTGAGGGTATAAAATCAGACCACGAACAGTAAGCACACCTACAATTACTTTGTTAAATTTTCCAGCTCAGTAGATACATGGCACATGTAATAGTGTATGAAGATGTATTGTCTGAAAAGGGCTATTATATAAAACACTTTCCTAATAAAATAGCATGTCCTTCATGGAAGCTCTTCCTGAGGGATAGCATTTATTATGGCATTTTAATTACGTTTCAACTATTTTAGTCTTGATTTAACCAGTGTAGAAGCATTAACTGCATTTTGAGATACAATTAAGGCACATTGATGTAAATGTCTGTTACTGTAAGCGTGTCTTAGCTTATGACATGATAACTAGAATAAGTACAGACAAAAATTTAATGGAGAAAAGCTCAGTAATTGCTGTTGAGCACTCACATAAATATTTGTAAAACATACTTTGTCTTCCAGTAAAATAAGTACCATGTTGACCTGCATCTGCCTGAGCTTCAGGACTTATGCAGGTTTTATAATTCTGTGATTAAACCTAGTTATTTCAGTCAAATATGCAACAAAGTTTATGAGGCTCATGGATCAAAAATTGACTGATGTTCTTAGCATATATTTACCAAAACATTAAAGGAACCCAAAATAACCTTCTAGTGGATGACCTGAAAAAGATGAGGGAGAAAAAAAAAACAAACAACCAACCAAAAACTACAGTTGTATATCTGCAAACCTGTGTAACAATGGTGCGATTTTTCTTTATTTTTCCCTGTTCCTTATATAAAATAAAAATCAAATTATGATTATACAGAAGTGTATTTGATTAAAATTTTTTACCAGTTGATATCATATACACAGGTGTGATAACAAAATAATTTTTCACTTCAGTGATTCATTCCTTTGTAAATTCAGAATTTAAATTCCATTCTTCAAAGTGCAGACCCATTAAGTGTGTTAGGATCACAGAAGTTATTTCAGAAATGTAAACCTGGGCAAATAAAAGGTAAGGCACATCAATCCCAATTAAATCATTCAGCTTGAACAAATAGGATCCATTTAGGATTGGTATGATGTCTTTCCTCTGTTTAATACTTAATAACTGAAATGCTGTACAATCCTTTTACAAGTTCAAGTTGTGTATTTTAAATTGTTGAAATCACAGTTTTCACCAGCAAATTCTGTAATAAAATATAATAATCAGATTAATTCAATAATGAAAAAAATATTTAGGATGTATTCTGTAGTGTCCAGTAGAGAATAGCTCATAGAACTCATCTGAACCAATATTGTAGATTCCTTAACAGAATCTTGCTTAAATTTTCCAAAGTAGGAAAGATGCCTATTTGTCAGAGGGTTTTTTTTAATCTACATTGCTGCACTATAAACCATGAAACTATGTTAAAATTGCCTACTAGCTATTTTCCAACTACTTTTTACAGCAAATATTTCTAAACATTTTTGTGATGGACAAAGTGCTCCTAATAGTTTTCTGAGCAATTTGACTGCTTTCATGTGGGATCTGAAGTTCACAGAATGTCAAGGTTATCCCTTGCCAGGTAGCTCCTAAGCTAGAGTGCAATTAATTAATGTATTGCAACTTTTCTCATAGTATTAAGCATAATAAAAATTAGATTTGCATCATAAAGGCAAGTTAGACTAGGCCAAAAAAAAACCTCACTGCAAAAGTTTGAACTTTGTGGTAAAGTCAATACAAGTCTTTGTTTAAGGAAAAAAAAAATCATAATTCTGGTGGGATTAAATAAGGTCTTAAGGAATTCTTTCACTTTCTTGGCTATTGGCCCATTTGATATTTGTGTAATTCATCACAATATAAGCAGAACTACACAAGTGTCACTTCAGCGACATCTACTACACGGGGAGAGTAAACACAGTTGTAGAAACAGCAATGGAGAGAAACATGCCAAAGTCAAAATTGCTCTGGCTTGGAGATGAACTGTTGCTAAAAGTCTACAGTATAATTCACATGATTAAAATGGTATCTGAGTGTTCGTGTTTTTATAACTTAATAGATGGATGTATTGGACAGACTGGGAAGAAGATGAAATAGATGCCAGTGTGGGAAGGATTGAGAAGGCCTGGATGGACGGCTACAGTCGGCAGATTTTTGTAACATCAAAGATGTTGTGGCCAAATGGTTTAACTCTGGACTATCGTGCCAATGTGTTGTACTGGTGTGATGCCTATTATGATCACATTGAAAGGATATTTTTGAATGGAACTGACAGGAAGGTAAAAGAAAAATACTGCTGTTTTTGCCACAGGCAGGCTCTTTCCCCGGATTTTATTGTGCTATGTTAAAAATACTTCTCAAGGTTTTTAAAGTCTCCATAACCCTGAGGCATGTCCAGCATCATCTCTGCTGAAGCAGTGATGTTAGCATTCTCCTGTGAGAGACTGTAATGCAGCTTAAAATTTTCATTTCCAGTAAGTGATGCTAAACTTGATTATTATTTTTTTAAAAATCTATTTTTCTTGTGTGACAATGATTTATGTTTTGATTAGGCCATAAAGAACTCAAATCAAGCTACAAAGAGCTTTTTAGTAGGAAAAAAAACATTTCTTTGGCTCTGCTAGGGAGAGCCTTTTATTTAACTTGATAAGCTGGTTTTGATGAATCTCAATACCCTGCTTGAGCATTTGTGGTAATATGCAGAATGGCAGCAGTCAACAAGTGGAGGTAAGAGGGAGAGAGATTGCTTTAGTTTTTGCCTATTTTTTTGCCTACTCTAGCTAGATACAAATCTGTGTAGAGGTTCTGTGTTGCTCTGTGGAAGTAACAAGCACAGAACAAAACATCTCAAAAATAGTTAAAGCTTAGACTGGAGTCTGATAATTTAAGAAAGGTTTACCATCTGCTTCATAAAACTGATGACTGGTGAATAATAAGAAACACCTGTCTTTACAGGTTTTATTTTTAAGTGTGTCACAGAATGATTGTTTCTTTTGAAAAGTGTTTTTCTGTAGTCCTGGGATATAAATAAGATGCATAACTACTTGAATAAAATCTATGTAGCTAAAAAAACCTGGAAGATACTTACTTTTGATGCTGAATCATTAGTTGTTAAATTTTAACCCAAATATCCTACAACTAACTGGATCAATCACATCTTTTATTCTGTGTCCGTATAGTGAAGATTTGGGGGGATGGGGAGGTCCTTAATTCCACCAGTAGCTGGTGGATTTTTGACTGATTGATGCGTTTTGATCAAAAGCATTTCACTGAGATGGGGAGTTCTGACCAAAAGGATTCCAAGCCCAAAAAGAAAATTTGAAAGACTAAAGGGAACTATGTTTGTCACCTCAAAGTAGTTGTATTTTTAGTTGGCTTTATCTCCCTGTTCCCTTGGGTTTGTGTCTATAAATAGAGACAAGGTAGGGCATCTGATGAACTGCTTCCTTCTCTCTAGAGGCAAGATAGAAATAGACTTTTGGGAATTAGTTCAAGCAAGGATCCCAGCCAGAAGGAAACTCATCATTCCAAACTGCAGCTGCCAAGTTCACCACATCTACATGTCTTTTAAATCCCTTCAGGGGACTCCACCACTTCCCTGGGCAGCCTCTTCCTGTGTTATCTGACAGTGGCCACTTACAGTGAATTTACACAAAATTTTTTGAAATTAGATGTTGATGCTGGCGAACAGAAGGGCTTTGCACTCTTTACTTGATTTTATTGCATTAAGTTATGTTTGGGCACAGTACTTACCTCAGCTTTCCTGTTTCCCAGTTTAAGTTGTCTGAAAAATTAATAATTCATGATGCTCACCTACCACTGATTACTTGCAGGTAGTCTACAGTGGAAAAGATTTGAATCATCCTTTTGGGCTGTCACACCATGGAAATTATATTTACTGGACAGATTATATGAATGGGTCAATTTTCCAGTTGGATCTGCTTACAAGGAATGTGACACTGTTGAGAAGTGAAAGACCACCTTTGTTTGGACTCCAGATTTATGATCCACGTAAACAGCAAGGTACTTACACAATTTCTCTGAAGGTCTGTTATAAAAGGATCTTCTTCCTTACAATCTCTTAGTATTTTGAGGTGAATAGGTGAACAAGAATAGAAAACCAAATATGACTTGTGGCATGACAAAGATACTTTCCAATGTTTCAATCCACTGATGTTGAAGCTGATCATCTCATAATTACTGGAAAGTGAATCATAACTTTATAGCTGAGTTTCTTCTGGGTATTTACATTGCCTTTATTGTCATTTTTTTTGTATGTCCAAGAGATACTGTGAAAGTATCAAATAAAATGGGTAGCATATGTGCATTGGCTCATAGGCATAAAATATTGGTTAGATTTACCTTTTCTTAGACAGGATCTATGATCTCATCTCTCTTTTCCTTTTTAAATTTTCTCCCACATCCTGTCTACAGCAACACTGTATGTTGCACAGAATAAGAGTAAGTAGTTCTTTGAGAGTAGGGGAAAAATCCATAGTTGTAGCTACTTGTATCAGTGGAGAAATGAAATAAAGGCCATAGGTTTGCTTGGATGGAGCTTAGAAAATGAAATTACTACTACACATGTGAACTTACTGACATATTTTATAGAAGAAAACTTTGAAATCAATTTACTCCATACAGAGTTCAGAAGAGTTGCTGAATATTTGCTGTCTTTAGTTAAAGCATATTTCTAGTTAATATTTCTAGTCTGCTGCCAAGCATAAAAATGAACATCAGGAGTCAGTACAAATAAAATACTGTTTAAAAGATCATTTTTTATTTACTGCTTAAAAGTTTCTCCTTTTTGATACCATAATATCTAAATTTTGAATACCTAAACCAAACTAGTATGTATAGTCCTGTTGTGCTATGTCAAGGTCAGTATAACAGCATTCCCCTTATCACAAATGCTTTTCAGGGACTCTCTCTTACTTTCAAAGCCATGTAGAAGTATAGTTTATTTAGGGGTGTTGTTGGATTTGTTGTGGTTTTTTTTTTTTTTCCTTGTCATTTTTGGTTTGGTTTGGTTTTTAGGTGTCTGTTTGTTTGGTTGGTTTTGGTTTTGGGGGTTTGGTTTTTTTGTGCAAAATCTGCCCCGAAATCTACCCTCAAGTTGACCAAGTTTCAGAATGCCTTGAATTGTATCTGCTAATAGAAGATGCACTATTTGCTTTAATTACTTGGTATTTCTGCTGCTTTAGCCAATACTCAGGAAGTTCCCTTTCTTTTTAGAAAAAAGGGGCATTTAAAAATTAATGCAATTGCTATTAGCTTCCAAATAAGCTGGCACCAGGGAGAGAAAGTACTACCTCTTAGACATTTTTGCTGAATGAGCTTAAGTCTTAAGGGAGAGAATTTGCCCCATTAATACATTCTTTGTTTGAAATTGCAATTGGAATTTTGTTAGCTAACAGCAGCCTTTAGGATCTTCCCTTTTTGTCATGCTCAGTGAGGCTGATGTTGAATTGTTCCCAAAGGAGCATAAACATTTATTTTAAAGAAAGTCAAGATCTTTTTTTTCCCCCTTTTATTTTTTGTTTTTGTTGTTTGTGTGTTTCTTCTGAAAGAGCAAGATCAAGGCTGGATCACATGGTACAGAGAAAACCATAGTAGTTAATTTTATGCTATGAATTATATTTTATAGCTTACATACACATACCTTAGAAATATTTAGCTCTCATATTTTGAGGTTACTGTTTTGATGTTGCTGGTATTGTCACTGTCTACACAAGCAAAAACCATGTCAATTAATTTTGGCATAGTTGAATTGAGACTGAATTTTTATTAGGGGGTCTTTTACAGGATACTTGGCTGTGCCAATCCTGTTTTGCTTAGCACTTTGTATGGTGAGATAAAGCTTTTGCTACATCCTTGAGGAGAGTTGTTTTTCACTGTCTCTGTATCTCTTGAGACATGATCCTCTTGTGGAGGAATTTTTTTTTTTTCTTACTTTTGGAGATTAGAATTCATCTTTCTTAGGCTTAGTCTTCAGGTCTCTATGAGAGACCCAAAGGGTCATAGGAGTTAGATTTACAGTCAGCATATAAGTCTGCCAAGCCTGTGGATATTTCCACTGCAGTGAAAGGGGAGATTGCTACTTATATGTAAATAATTCTTGTATAAGTGCATTCACAGCAGTTAAAATAGCCTCTTTTGAAATCAGTTCATATTTTAACTCCTCAGATTGCAAAGAGCTGCTTGAGCTCCAGTCTGCTGCTCTTCATGTTTCTGGTATGATCCTAAGTGTGCTTACACAACTTCAACGGCACTTGAGCTTATTTTTATAGGCAGGTACAAATTCAATAAATACTTCAGTGTATCTTTTAAATGAGAAGATTAAACAAATGTGTACGGTTGCCATATTTTTTTTTTTTCCTGAGAACGATGACTGAGATACAATTACATTGGTTTTTTTTTTAGCTTTGGCCTAATTTTTAGCTAATTAAAATGAAATCAGCCTAATTTTAGTCACATGTAAATGTCAGGGCAGCAGCTGTTTTAAAGGCTGGCAAAATATGAAAAACGTGATAATAGCTTTGAAAGTATTTTAAAGTTTTTGGGACTATTTTAAGAACACCCATATAAAGTAGCTGTTATGAACAATAGTTGAGGAAATATAATTTCCTAAGCACTTGGTAGCTTTAAAAGTTCCACAGCTTGTTCAATAAAGAGGCTTAATCTATTTGAACTGCATTTTGGGAGACATTTTAGCCTAGGAGTTTCTTCAGCAAGACTTATTGGACTGAAGATCTCATTGCACCTTCAGGTTGAAGACTTCACTTTATAAACCTTTTTATCTAGGATCTCTTTGCTTTAACTCCTGGTAGTTCCATTTTCCTTGTCATCATCCTCTCTTTTATCACTTACTTTGCAAGTAACCTACTGAGCTGTAGTTTGTCATCCCAATTATGAGGTTAAGTAGGAACTTTTATCTTCAAGAAGGAGCAGTTGACTTTGATCAGGTGTTTTAATTTTGATATTATTTATTTTAGGCTTTCATTGGGCTTCAGAATCATCGTGACTATTCAATACATTTTCTGTATTTGTCTGATTTAGTCTTTTATTCTTTAAGCTTGTTCTTTTTGAGTGAAATGACAAACACATGTGCATTCTTTAATTAAATCACTTCAAATTTCCTTGACTTGTGCTGTATAATTCTGGAGTCACTTTTGAAGATTATATTTTGGGTTGTTTCTTTTGGCAGCTTCTGATAACTTCTTAAATCTTTGTGTTACTGACATCTTTTGATTTGTACAATGGGTGGCTCTGTAAAGATGTAGAGAGTTTCAAGGCTACTTTTTCTGAAACTGTGTTTTACGTGAGCTTTTCCAAAATCCAGAATCAAATACATCTCGTACTCTTTTGATGTTTTATTCAATTATTTGGGCTTTGGTGAGCACAGATGTAATGAAGGAGTTGATTTTTGTAGTGATTTAGGCCACAGTCTAAGACATGAAGTCAAGATCCAATAATGTATATAAAATGCCCAGTCTAATTTGGAACTGCTCTATCTAAAGCTGTGATCCAACCCTCACACTGCATAGAGAATTCCCAGTTTTCCTGTTTATACAGCTGTGTTCTTGCCATCTCCCTCTCTCCCAACAGCCACAGTGGCTTTTCACAGTGTTCTCTATTAATCATTTTGCACAGATTAATTTGGAAGTTCAGTGGGTTTTTAACAGACATATTTTCATCTAAGAAAGGATGTATGAGGGGTCAGAAAAAAGTATAATAAAAGGTTAGTATTACTGTATGGTAAGACATACCAGGGTTCATCTTAAAATTTGAAAATTTTCAAATTCTTAAAGTATTTGCTGGTTATCTGATGTTCATTTGGTAATTTGAAACGATTTCCCTGCACATACAGCTATGGCTCTGGCAGGACAGTTTAATATTCATGTTCACAGCTACATCTATGTGAACGTAATATTATATTTTCCATGGAAAGTGAAGTGATGGCACTCTGAGGAGAGGGAGTTGTGTGGAGTCTGTTTTAACTCAGGAAGCTGATGAGTGTTTTGTGCACTATAAGAGGAGGAGTAGGGAGAGGAGCACCTGTTTTTTACCAGAACAGGAAGATGAAAAAAAGTTGGTTTAATTTAAAGGTTCAGCAGACATGAAATTTTATAACTTGCTTGATCACAGTCACTTATCACCAACAGAGCTGTGATCATGACAAGTTGGATGTCCTCAGCAGTGCATATCTAAGCAATTAGGTCATGACCAAAGTGACACAAACAGAAATTGTAACATTTGCTTCAGTGGGCTTTCAGTGGTTTCGAGTCTGCTTGCCTAAGGAGTGAGGTGGTGGGAATGCAGCAGCCCCTGGTAGATGATTAAAACACCTGACAGCTGTCAGCATCTTCGTGTGAACAGTGCACAGCTCTTGGGAAGAAACATTAACAGGGAAAAAGAAAGCAAAGAAATAGCAGGTGTGCTCAGAAAAGACTAGTGGCGTTTTTGCCTGTGTTCTATCCGCTCTAGGTCTCATTTTAAGCTTTTAATTTGCTTCCTTTCTTTTTTCCATTTTTCACTTAGTCTGTTTTTGCAGTCACATTGTTTTAACATGTGCACATGACAGTTAACTTCAGAACATTCATTTATATACTGTTTGATTTCTTGAAAGCACTATGTGCATGTAGATGTATCAAATATTTTGCAGTATTTTTTCCCCTCCTAAAAAACGGTGATAGAATGTTATGGGCTGATGGTACAGGGCTTTTTTTATGTGTTTTTTATTATTACAGAGTATTACAACCTGTAACAAAATATGTTTAAGTATTATAACCTGCAGTAACCAAACTATGAGAATAATATATCCCTAAAATGAGAGGAAAATAATTGTAAAAAATTCTTCCTGTGCTTTTGTTGTTAAAAAAAAATAAATAAAAAATCATCTAGTTCTAGCATGGCTGTTGGTTTTAAAGTTGCCTTTTTTTTTTTCTTCTCCCAGGTGACAATGCATGTCGTGTTAATAATGGAGGCTGCAGCACTTTGTGTTTGGCCATTCCTGGAGGCAGAGTTTGTGCCTGTGCAGATAATCAGCTTTTGGAGGAAAACAGAACAACCTGCATGAGTAAGATTCCTAAAGAACATCTGAGTTGATGCTGATGTCAAGGGATCAAGTCAGACCTAAAAAACAAAACAAGGGAGTGTGGCCTCCTAGAGGTTCTATAAGATAAAGAAATATTCCTTGGATAAAGATTCTAGTTGAAGACAGTTTATTAAATATAATAAAGATTTTTCAAAGAAGACAGAATATTAAGTACACAATATGTGAGAATAAAATGCACTGAAAATATTTCAGAATGTCTAATATGATAAGGCACTTAAATATTTCACTGAACTGGTTTTAAAAATTTCCAGAATTAATCCATATAATTATTATATTAAATCTATACAAAGTTTTCAGATTATTCTATGAACTAAGTTTCTTAAACAGAAGTCCGGCATTACAATGTTCATGCTGAAACTGTTCACAAAACATGTGAAGCAGATGCATTTATGTATAATAGATTCTGACACAGGCTGTGCAAATATCGGTTTTTTTTCATCTCTTCCTTGGATATATTCATTGAAACAAAAATAAAAAAGTTTTATAATAAAAGGTTGGATTTTTTAAGTAAAAAAAAATAACTTGTCAGGTACTACAGGTGGTTTTTCTTAATGTTTAGACCTGATACTCTCTTTTTTTTTTTTTTCCTAAATCTCATTGATCTATTTCTTGAAGTGTAGTGTGTAAAGTCTTACATAAGTCTCCAGCAAGAAACCCAGTGGAGATGAATAAAGCATAAGGATTATTTCATACCATGATGGGCATTATTGAGCTGGCAGTGACCTTGAATTTGACCCAAATTCATGGCTGGCAGAGCCATCACTGTTGCTAAAGAAAACTACTTTTCTTTTTAACAGAAAGTACTGGAAGGTGGACTTCTTACTGGTAAGATGGAAAGTAAGCATTAGGAAGAGAGACTTTGAGATGAGAATGACTCAGGTTTCCTGTTTTTTCCCCAATACACTTCACTACCTGGCTCTTTCCAAGGACTTTGGTGTTCCTTACAGGGTCATAGACTGATATGTGGTATTTACACATTAAGCATTCTGAACCTGATGTTGAGAAATATAACTGCCTGGATTTATCAATAAGCCTGTAGCTTGCTACTTAATTCTACCCCAGCAGAATTTTATCCTTTCTTCTTTTCTGAGCCTGTACCAGTGCATAATGCAGGTGTTTGAGTTGTTGCTTGGATACAAGATTCAGCTTTTCAGTAATCATTTTCTAGCCCCAAATATGCACCGGAATTTGGTCAATGTCTGTAAGAATATATCCTTTCTGCTGTTGATGAGGTATTGTAATATTTTAAACTGGTATTTTTACACTATCTTCTAAGCACCAATTTAAAAAACAGTTTGAGTGCCATTCTATTCAGAGTTCTTTCCATTTATTAAAAATATATTACTTCAACCATGCACTCAGATATGTGAGCTGCTACAAGCTTCAGGTGGAATTACCTCAAACATGCCAAATTTACTTAGAAATGTTCTGAAGACCAAGAACAAGAATTATATAGAAGTAGTATTGCACTGTGTATGTATCAAGCAGATAAAGTAGATGTCCTCCTTTGATATTTTTCCTAGTTAAAGATGAAGAAGTGCCACCCCAGTTGTGCAAAGCTGAGCAGTTCCAGTGCAGCAATAAACGGTGTATCCAGGATCGCTGGCGCTGTGACGGGGATGATGACTGCCTGGATGGCAGTGATGAACACTCTGAAATCTGCTGTATGTATGCATTTACATTTTAATCCACAATCCATAGTTTCTTTTAAAAATTGGACACAAAATAGTGTAAGTCTGAAGGGAATCAAAAGAGCTAATCCTTAAGTCACTCATGTAAATCTTTCATATTCTTCTTTTCATGCATAGCAGTCCTTTCAAATGACACTCATGTACTCATTTCATAGCATAGAGGACCAATCATCTTTTGTTTTCGACATCATCATATCTGATTTTTTAAATGTTGGTATTTTTTGCTTTGTTTCCCACTGTTGCCCTTTTTTTATATGGGTCACGGTATAATACCCAATGGCAGGGAACAGGAGGCCAGGCTTTTCTCCTTAGTGCCCACTAGCAGGACAAGAGGTAATGGACACAGACTGAAAAGCATGAATTTTATCTGAGCACAGATCTGAACATCTGAAAGAAAACACTTCTTTTCTGTGAGTGTAGTCAAGCACTGGAAAAGATTGTCTGGAAAGGTTGTGGAGTTTCTGTCTGTGGAGATACTCAACATTTATATGCATGTGGTCCTGGGAAACCTGCTCTACTTGGCTCCGCTTGAACAGGAGATTAGATTAAGTGATCTCAGCAGTTCCCTTTCAAGCATGAACATTTCTGTGATACTGTAATGCATTTCTTAACAAAAAAAAAAAAACACAAAAACAAAAACAGCAAAACAAAAACAAAACAAAAACAAACAAACAACAAAAAAACCCCAAAAGAATACCCAAACCAACCAACCAACCAACCAACCACAACAACAACAAAAACAAACAAACCAAAAAAAACAAACAAAAACACAAACAAACAAAAAAAAACAAACACAAAAACCCCACCAAGAAAAACCAATAAAAAAAACAAAATCCAACTCCCTACACCACTTCCAGTTTTAAATTAGATGTAGTTTGTCTTTAAAATTAGTTTTACTGGAGCTGTATTTTTTTACAGTAGAGGAGTTCCACTGTTGAAAAGCAAAGTAATAGAGAACATATCAATTATGTATTTCTGTCATTCCTGGAAGGTACTTAGGTAGCCTGCTATAAAATTAGTGTTGCAGCAATGACAGTTCTTTCCCTTACTCAGTTTGTTGCACTGCTTTCTATTTCTGTCATTAGATCATTTCTCTAAACCAAGTCTCCTTTACTGAAATGAAAATATGTTGTTTTTTTCCCAGTCAGCTGTAGACATGAACACTCTTCTGCTGTGCAGCATTGTTCTATGTGTCTGAAAACTCTCATCATAGTCTCTCATTCTTATCTTTTTGAGATCGACTCTTTTTCCAGTAGATGATGAGGTTTTTTTCAAATCTCATTGATTTTTCTGACTCGATTCTAAGGGTTGGATGTCCAAAAATGGATGTATGTTCTTCTGCTGAGGCTTCTGTAAAACTGATTAGGCTGAGAGAATGTGTTGTGTGAGTTTGCTCATACATCCTTGGGTAAATCTTGCCTGCTTCCCACTGGCCTGATGTTACTGATACATACTGAGCTGTAATGCCTAGATCTTTTTATATATGTCTGTTAAATAGCCAGTTTTGGGGTTTTCTCAAAGCGTTTATGTATTTTGATAGTTCTGTCTAGAAGTCATTACTGATTCCATCCTAGTTATTTTCAAAATATTTTTCGGGTTTTGAATTGTAGTGCTTGCTAGCATTTTTAATACTGGGTTTCTTGCACTTAAATTAGGGAGCTCAACTAATAAACACAGAGAGAAACAAAATCTTTTGGTAGATTGGACTTGATTCTGTATTAAATCAGTCTAATGAGACCAATTCATTGATCAAAGCTTGTAATTCTCTGAGGATTTATGCAGATACAGATGAAATCATAATCTGATCTTAAATCCATACATGATCTATAGCTCATGTGGCCAGTATGATAACATTGATCTCTCTTCAGCAGTTGCTATAGTAACTTTAATAGTTCTTTATGAGTTTGAAGTATTTATAATTATGAATAGAATACACACATATATTACTAAATATCTGTGTGCAAAAGCTTAACTACCACTTAGAACGGTATCTGTGTCTAGTAATAAAGTCAAATTAAAAAAAAAGTCTTCAATTTGTAATTTTATTACGTGGATGCTAAGAGTTTTGTTCTCCAGTCACATTGCAAACTAGATTTCTTCAGGAGTATTAGATTTGGAACACCTTTCTGCTCGTGTTATTAATTATTTTCTACTTGCAGTGTTTCTGTACCCTGCACCCAAAACACTCATGAAGGGTCATGTGCTATTGATATCACCCTCACTCTGTGTCATCTTCAATAGGAAGAACAGGTAGAAAGGTCAAAGATAAAAGCTACTGAAATGTCAAGGATAAGCCTGCAAGACATCCTTTCATTTTAAATACCGTTTGTTTCTAGATGTATGTTAAACTTTAGAAAAGACTGTGGTTGGCTGAGGAGGTGAAAAATAGCTCAAGATTATTTTTAACCCAGCATTTGAAACTGTGTGTAGTTTACTGCTCTTGTCTAGATGAAGATTAACAAGATGTGGTAATAACAGATGTTATTAGCATGAAAGAAACACAGCATATACACTTGCTACAGGTACAACAGCAGGCCAATAGTTTTGACATAATTTCTGTGTGTTCAGTCTTCATCCTTTCCATGATACTTGGTAGAGCCAGCAAAAAAATGTTTGAGAGATACCTTGTTCACTCTTGAATACCAAGGGGTTTTTTGTTAGTTTTACACTGTGTTGCATATTTCACTTTTTGACACCTACAATTTCATGGTAAGTAAACAGCAGATCTATATGTGGCCATTGACAGTAATGTGCATCATTTTAGAAGCATTTTATGGCCTGCCCAAATCCCTCCTCACTGTGGTACAGTATTTTGGATATGCACTTAGCAGTTTGCATCTGTTCCCTTTGGTGTTTTCCTTTGTTTATATGCACTTCAGTTAGCAAACCTCATCACGCTGCTAAAATGTGACCAAGGACATGTTTCTTTAAGGAGATAGCAACAGTATAAAATGCTGCTACCTTTTATCACTTAATAGAAGAGGATCTCCATATTGACAGTAGTATGACAGAAGAATCTTTACTATGTATTGCTTAATTTATGATTGGAACACTGCAATATTTTTTAATTGACTGGTTTGTCAAACAATTTTTATGTTATGGTGGTTATATATACAGGATAACTCCACTAACTGCATTACCAGGAAATACCACTTAATGTGCTCTTTTCAGCTGCTTTTTTTCAGATTATTTTCTTAGGAAAAACCTCTCTTTTTTTTTTTTTCTTTTCCTCCACAGTCAATCATAGTTGTCCTGATGATCAGTTTAAGTGCCAAAATAATCGCTGCATTCCCAAGAGGTGGCTTTGTGATGGAGCCAATGATTGTGGTAATAATGAAGATGAATCAAATAAAACTTGTGCAGGTAAAAATTACACTTGATTATGCATACAACTTGTCTAACATCAGTTCCATCAATAGTACAGGACTAATACGAGCTGAACTGAACCAGTCTGCTAGTAGTATAATCTGATTATTGACATTTAAAATTAATTCAGATTTTGGTGCCATTAAGGCTGGAATAAAAATTATCTTTTACTTAATCCATATGCTCAGCTGTGCTTTCCAAAGTACTTCAGCACTTAATCTGTCCATGTGGGTTGACTGTCAATGCAATGCTTAGGTACAAACTTCAGGTACAAATTCTTTTTGGCAGCTAGAATTTTGTTTGTCAACATACCATGAGAAGAGCCATGTCACTAGTAAATTTTATGTTGATTTACTTTATGCCTAATTAGTTATTCAGTTTCCACTCAGTGCATTTAAATTGTTTTCATTTGTAAGTTATTAACTGTACAGTGGATTTTTAAGGAAATACCCAGATGAAGATTGTTTACTGGTTCCACTGCAGTAAATCATGGAGTTCCCAATCTGCCTTTTGCTTTTGTGGAAATGATGTTTAGTGCTTGTTTTCAGAGTACAGTAAACAAGCATTAAATATCAGAATACAAAATATCAGGCATCAATAAGCTGATGATTATTTTAAGCTGAAATGCAGTGAAAGACAGCACACACTGTGTGCTAAAATATTCCCTGAACTCATTTTACTTGATCTAAATTTTCTTATGTATAATAACCAGTTTTGATTGTTACTTTTGTGGTTTGGCTAAAAGCACTGTAGCACAAATGCAGACCTATAGTGTCCATATCACCTCTACTGTGTTATCGTGGATTGTAATACATCTTGATATCCTTTGATATTCAGCTGTTTGCTTGTAGGATGAGAGTCTTATTTGAAGACCATGTTTTTTATGCCTGTGTCAGTTGGATATGGATTGAATTTTCTATTCTTGTTTTTCCATTTATTCCTGCAGTGATAAACACTATTAATGTTTAAAAAAAATTATTTCTTTGAAATACTTTAAACTTATATTCTTCTCTTGTATTTCGGGCTATTTCTATGAAGAAAAAGGAAAATGGTAGTTGAGAATACCAAATGAAGAAATATTATTTTGATTATTGAGGGGTTTGAAATATCAACCATTTTTTTAAAATGTAAAATGACATACACAACTCTATTAAAAAAACCCTTACATTTGGAATCAAAATCTATGTCACTATCACTGGCATTGTTATAGGTTTACATTTAAATAAACAAAATTCTAAGTAATGACAGGTTTACATGTTAGATTTTCTTAGTGATGTCTTACTATTCATCAGCTTTCGAAGTAATTTATGTAGTTACATAGCATGATTTCTTTTAGTGATCTTTATTTCTTCAGGAAGATGACATGCATTGATTCCTTTAATGGATGATTACAATTATGTATTTGCAAAGGCTATGATTCTAAGAACAGTGAGGCCAGGCACAATGCACACATGCTGTGCCATTTTTCTCTGTAAATATAAATTTCACAAGATCATTATTTATGTTATGGAGTGCAATTTGTTAATATTCTGATCAGTAGACATTTTCATGCCCTGATTTTTGCTTGCTTCACCTCTGGCATTAGCGTTATTTCATCTGGCACTAATGCTCTTCTACCACCTAGTTTTGTATCATGACATGTCTTATATGGTGAAGAAACCACTAAGAATTCCACATAACAGAGGTAGAACAGGTGGCCTCAGTTTTCTCTGACGCCAGAGGAGGTGAATGATGTTTAGTTGGATCAGGTGAAATGTTCAGCAGGCCAAGGAGGTGCCCTCCAGACTTGCCACTTCTACACACAGACATGCACCGGGAGACCTGATGGATTTAGTCCATTTCCTCGCATTTTTGGAGTGTTTTGTCTTGACAGCAAGAACGTGTCAGGTTGACCAATTTTCCTGTGGGAATGGACGCTGCATTCCGACATCGTGGCTGTGTGACAGGGAGGATGACTGTGGGGATGGGACAGATGAAATGACATCCTGTGGTAAGTAAATTCTCTTTTAGGGAAAAAAAAAAAAAAGTGAAATTATTCTGTAAAAAAGTAAAACATATGGGGATTTCTGTTCATGTGAAACTGATGGGTATGAGGGACCATCTTGTTTTTATATGAACTGATGATGGTATTTCTGAAATGGCAGATAGAATTTGATTAATAAATAAACCCAAAACAGAGGCAGAATTTTCTATTAAGGAGCTCCTGACTACAATACCAAATATGCAGATCAATCAGCTTAACACTTTTTCTAATTTACAGCCCATTATCAAATACTCTCACCCTCAAAAATTATTCTTTATCTCTGCCACATACCTCTTCACATGGGCTCCCTCAGCATATTCTAGATGTCAATATAATAAGCCTGTTTTAAGTCTGAACAGAAGGATACTTTGATGTTGTATTTTGCAGAAAAAAAGTAGCATTTCTTGATTATATTATGAGAATTTCAGCAGCTGTGCTGATTGCTGCTTTGCAGAGATATTGCAGGGAGGTGTGCTCTTTCTAATCAGCTGCTCCCAAACAATTAAGGTTTTTAATAGTCATCTGTTTGGCAGGGCACAGGTAACTGCTGCGAGTCTGAGAGCACAAGGGTCAATGAGCTGTCTGCAAATATAGAATCATGGAATGGTTTGAGTTGGAAAGGACCTTAAAGACCATTTTGTTCCAACTTCCCTGCCATGGGCAGGGACACCTTCTGGTAGATCAGGTTGCTCAGAGCCCCATCCAACCTGGCCTTGAACACTTTCAGGATGGGGCATAAAATAAAGTCATTATATGAGTAAAAACTATAATATTATTAAGGTAGACTTCTAATGCCGTGCTTCAAATCAAATAAATTCAGTTGTGTACAGAGGTAGAATAAGTCATCCCGTTGCATTTTGCAATCTCTAAAATTATAACACTCTGGGTAATGGTAAAGCATTGGCACTCACTGCTAGAACAGTTTATCTGACTGGCTGTGCCTTGTTCTCAGACACATTAGGAACACGCAGAGTTTAATGGCATCTTTGTAATTCCTTCCCATAGATTTTGTTTAGTGTCCTCTCAGCTGATCTGGAATATTGCTTCAGATCATTTAATCAGGATTTATTTTGCCAGCTGTTTCTCTGTTTAGCCAAACTTTACATATGTTTCATGGTTTAGAATCTTGTTTCTTTATCCTCGAGCACTGTGGTTGTGGAAATATGTCAAATACTTTTCGTTCTGCCTTATATTTTGATCACTAATAGCATTTATTTAGCTTTCTGTTTAGTGCCATATATTTTCTTCTTTGAAACATTTTAAAATTCTTGCATGCACAAGGATAGCAGAGAAAAATGAGATCTGTGTCTCCACTGTGGAGAGACTTCACTGTGAGCTCAAGAAGCACCATTCTTGCTTTCTCTCTCTTCAGGACAGCCAGGGTAGGGCAGGATATGAATCAGCTACAGGATGTGCATCTCTGCTGGGAAATAGGAAAGAAAGGTGGTAGAGAGACCATAGGGACAATGAGGGGAAGTGTTGTGTCCTCCAGGATGTGAGGAGGAGCTGTGGATGATGGTGGAGGCTGGCTCCATGAGAAGCAAACACTGGAAGGGCTGTAAAACATCCTTGGAAAGGCTGTGGGGGGCTGGAAATCATGAGAGGGATGATGATGTTGGTGAGGATAAGCATAAGTCATTTTAGTTAGCTTCTGTCCCTTTTTACAGGTCTTGGGTAGACAGATGAACATGCAAATGAAGTCATGGAGGCATTAATGTGTGGGAAAGGGAAAAAATACATTTAAAATATTAGTTAAATTTCTGGAAAAATTATTGAACAGCTAAAAATCAAAATTAAAAATTGCTTTCAGCTTTGCTTGAAGCACATAAGGCATGTATTGTAGCTAAGTACTATTGCAGTTGAACATTTCCATAATTTCCATTATTTGTCTCAGAAGAGATTTTTGTTGTCACTGTAATGTGTTCCCCAAGAAAAAAGGTGGGTTTTTTTTTATATAACAAAAAACCAAACAACCCCCATACAAAACAACCAACGAAGCAAAACAAAATGAACAAAAATCACAAAAAACCCCAAGGCAAACTCCAAAACTTCCTAGTTTTCTAGGAGTGTTGCCATCAATATTAGCTTTTTTCCCACCCTTTTCTGTTTTGAAGCAGGATAATCACGTCCAGTGAAGTTCTTGGGGATCTCTAAATTTGCTGTTTGATGCATCTGCTTTGGCTTAGTGCTCTCTTGTGTGACTCTTTTTAAACCAAGGCTTTTTAAGACAAGCAATTTCATTTCTTGTCCTCAGGAACTTTTACATTTAATGACATTTTTTAAAGATTTAAAAAATCTCATCAGTACTTTGGGGTTTTTTTGAGAATTAGGCCACATAAGTAGCAGTGAGGACTCAACTGAGACTTTTAGATTGTTTTCTTTGAATTGCCAGGTTTTGTAAACTAGATCTTGTATTTTCCAAACTGTTGAACAGGTTGATGGTATGAATGCACATATCTGGCTATGTCATGGGTTTTAGAAGAAAAAGAACTCTGGAAAAAATTCAGACTATATTTGAGTAATTCTATGCAGAGGCATATTAGACAATTATAAAAACAAATATCTGTGTAATATAGATTATTCTTTATTAATTACTTTGTTTCAGATTTCTACTACTTTACTGGAGTGCTTGGAGGAACTGCTTGTAAATACTGATGCTTTAATTTTGGATTTTATTATACCAATGTAGAGTAACTTTCTTTACTTTTGCTTAACCTTCTCATTTTAGAGCCTTCCATTTTCTGTCTTTTACTGGCAGTGCTATTGCAATTGGAGAACTCTTTTATATAAATAAACACATAGAATATGGTTCATATCAGTTGTTCATATCAAGCTATAATTATTCATAAATATTATCATGTTTAGTAGCAAAACCAGCCCTGGTCTGATGGGAATGTAGGACCATGTTATATGGCACAAAATAATGCATTTTAGTCGCCTGTGTGGAGGAAGGATGGAGTTTGGACTAGTAGTTACTGTTTTAAAGCTTTTTTTACCCTCTCTTTTTGATGTCTCACCCTTTTTTCCTCTCCAGATTAAGTAGCTGATGTTTGATACAGCACACTTTTGTGACTTATGCGCATAGGAGGGTGGAAGAACATTACTGAAGAGGATATACATTAAATAGTTTTTATTTCTTTTTGAACACTTTCACAGAATTCCCAACATGTGAGCCACTAACTCAGTTTATATGCAGAAATGGAAGATGCATTAGCAGCAAATGGCTCTGTGATTCAGGCAAGTATCAAGTGCTCCATATGTGAAATGAATATGATGGATATTACATAAATATTGCTTTGATGCACACACTTCTTTTCTGAGTCTGATATTGCCAGTTTGACTTGTAAGTGGTCAGAGAATAAATAAACCATTTTTAAATTACTGACCTGACCTAGAAAGCAGCAGTATTGAAACTTCATATAAGGAATGAAACATTGGATGTGGTAATAGTTACAGACAGTATATTATGTAGAATCAAGTATGTTACTTCATTATTAAAAAAAAACATGTCAAGCTATTGCTTATGAAAGTATCCTCTGCTTTTAGAAAACAAAATAGTTCCAGTGACCAATATATCTGGTTTTTTTTATTGTTTGTGGACAAGTTCAATTAAAGAACTAGGATCCCACGAGAATGAAGGACAGGAAGACTTTACAATGTATTTGGGTTTTTTTGTCTAAAAGAAGTACATATTTGAATGGCAGCTGTTCAAATGAATCTTAGAACTGTTGGTGTGGCAGTGATGTCATGCCAGTCCTAATAACATTGGGTTGGTTCTTCATCCATCAAAGCATTTAATGTTACTTTAATTTTATGAGTCCAGCAGGAATTCGTAGCTGTAAATGGACAAATTCGCCAAATTATCACTCTGTGCTGACTGAAATTCTGTGCAAGGAGACCCTTTAGAGTTTATCTAACATATTTATCTTTTTACTCCCTTCATGACCACAATCAAATTACAGAAATTGCCTTTAGGTTGTTGTAATGACTACAACATTAGAGTAAAAAGAAACTTCATTCCACGCTTGTTATTATTTCATGCAACCTTGCACTGTTGCAAATACATGGAAACAACAGGTTTAATACTATTGAAAAGAAATTCTGCCATCAGGGTTTCATTTTGGTTTATATAAAGCTCTTTTTGTCTGTGATTAACTGTCTTAAGAGAGTAAAGTGAACCCAGTGTGTCTGCAAGTCTGTGTAGTTACACACAACTAAAGAAATTAAGAAAATCTACAGCCTTCTTATGCTTGCTGGTGCCTGTGGCTGAACAGCTGTAAAGGGTTAGATGATCCAAAGTGACAGAGTTGAGTGCTGTTGGTAAATAAGATTTAAGGTGTTATTTGCATTAGAAATAATTTCACCATGTGCCTATGGGCAGTAAGCATATTACTGTATTTACTGTATTTATACTACACTTTTTTTTTCCTCCTCTTTGGAAATATTTTTCCCTCCTCACATCTTTTATTCAGATTTTTTTTGTATTTTAAAATATTAATATTTGCAGATGATGACTGTGGTGATGGAAGTGATGAGCTGGGCTGCATTCACTCCTGTTCTGCTGACCAGTTCAGGTGTCATAATGGTCGATGTATCCCGGGGCACTGGGCTTGTGATGGTGACAATGACTGTGGAGATTTCAGTGATGAAACCAAAACAAACTGCAGCAAGGAAGGTCAGATTTATTTTTTTTTTCTTCCCGCATTTTAATACTTAGAAACACAGAGAATACTTTGTTAGAAATACCGAAGACATGTCTTCAGTCAGTGGAAAAAGAGATGATGCTTTTAACCTCAGTAGAGGTTGGGATGGGAAACATGTCAAGTGCAATATAACACAGAAGTGTATCATAGAAGAAGAATGCATTTGAAAGCAAAATGGGTATTACACTGAGATAAATTTTATAGTTTACTGAATAATGCTATTTGTGAGGTTTGTCTTATTACAGAGATGCATGCTGTCTAGGTGAAGAGACAGTAAGAAGCATTCCTTAAGTAGTTACTGATATTTTCTGTGTATTTTTTCATGCATACTCTCATTTTTGTGTGATCCAAGTTTTTGAGTTTGTAAGGATTTTTTTTTTTTTTAATCAAAGCATTTTAACAAACTACAGCCTATTTAAATGCTATATATTGTATTTATTTGGGTGGGCAGAGAAGGGAAGGACATTTGTAACAAAGAATAAATAATAATCAAACCAGAATGAAGGAATATCTTTCATATATTTTTCATAATGATTTTTCCACAACAAAGTAATTGTATACAGTGTTATTGGTCCCTTTTTATGAGTTTATATTCTAAATCTAGTTGCAAACCTCATACAAATAGATGAATTAGCAGAATGCATCATGACTGAGGTCCTTAATTTTTATACACTTACAAAAATTACTTTTATTTTAATTAATCTGGAACTGAGTAACCCACTTATACCCTTGTTCATGTCCATCTTGAAGCTTAAAGCTTTTACAATAGAATGCAAGAATGTAAACTAGTTAAAAAAAAATCCAAGGCAACCTTAAATACTATAAAATGTATATTTGCAAACAGTGCTACAAGAATTTATTCAAATAGTGCTTATTGGTACAAACAGGAATGTATAAGTATGTCATTACTGTAAAGTGCATGTTATTGTTGTTAGTATGTTATTTAATAATAGAAATACAGTGGTAATAGTTTGGGAAAAGGAAAGCAAGGATAAGATTGAAAAGGCCATAATCTAGAAAATACTTAGAGAATTATGTATGTGGTGAATAATTAAACTCACATGGTAATTATGCTTTGAAGCAGCCAACAGTGGTTCCATAGCTGCGTTGAACTCAAGTTCCCTGCTGTGGAATTTGGAGTGGCTGCAACTGTTTTGCCAGTGCTGTGATAACACAAACCAGGCAGGTGTTGGGGCCTTGTTAGAGCGCAAGTGTGACCTTTCGTGTTTTGTGAACTAGGAGATGGGCTTTGTTGGATAAAAGAGACTGAGGGAGGAGGAGGGAATGTAGCTTGAGAATGAAAGGCAGAGCGTGTGAAGCACCAGGAAAGCTCACTCGACCTTGGTCATCTTTGCATCTCCAAACTCATTCCTGTCTGACCTCTGCGAAAAAAAAGAACTAAAAATTGGTATTTTCCTTAAGCCTGTAGTAGAGGAGAGGAGTGAAGGGCGTGAGCGGGATAAGAAAGAGCTTTTCTGAAGCTTGTGTTGGAGTGATGAGTTAGGATGGAATAGTGAGTTTTTAGTGTTATACCTGGGGACTCTGATTTTGGCTTTTGTTAGGAAGCTGGATTCTAAGTCAATGTAGACTTGGAATGGGAAAAAATAAAAAAATCACATGAGCAAAATTCTTCAATGTAATTCTTATTTTTCTAAGAAACTCCCTCTCCTGGAAGGTGCAATGGGAGGGAATTTCAGTGCAGTCCTGATGGGAACTGTGTCCCTGAGTTGTGGCGCTGTGATGGAGAAAAGGACTGTGAAGATGGGAGTGATGAAAAGGGCTGTAATGGAACTATCCGACTGTGTGATGAAAAAACAAAGTTCTCTTGCCAGAGTACAGGTATGTGCTTGCAGATATGTTTTACTTTCATTTGCTCAGTGTGTGTATGTGTGTGTGTTGTTTGATCACATACCTACTGTTTGACTAGTGCTTTTAATGATTAATACTTCTGAGGTGAGGTTGCTTATTGTGCTCATACCAGGAAAATACATCCCCTAACCTGTTTTCTGATTTACAATACAAAATGGATGAGTTCTGAGCTTACTCAAAGCTGAAATTACTCTTTATGATAGTACATCAAACCAAATATTTAAATGTAGCATTTAATAGTACTCCAAAGTCCAGGTATTTTCTTCTATTTTCTGTCTTTGGCCTTAGAAGTAAGTTGAATAAAGTGGTATAAAGTAATTAGCTAGAAGACTTTGAAGAATTAGAACTGCAGCACTGGAAGAAAAATATATTCTTTGAGAATGTTTAAAATAATTTTTCCCTAAGTATACTTCATTAAAAGATGTGAAAAGAGCGTGACAATAATTACATGAGGATATTTGGCCAAAAAATGTTTAGATGGAATTTTTTTTAAGGAAAAGTCCATTTAAAGAAGAAATTAATATACGTCAATATTGTATTAATATTTTTGTAATTTCTTTCAAAGCTTAATGGGATATTAAGGCTAATATAACTTTCAAAACCAAATTTAATTCAGATTATAATAAGTACTAATATTATTTTTATTAGGCGACTGTAATTATTACAGGAAAGGAGAACCCATTCTAATGCCTGTGTTATAGCTAAGCATGATAAAAGTGGCAGACTAATTAAGTGAGCTGTGTAAAAGCAGTTTGCTACTGTTTGAATTTTAAAGTTATAGAAATCATAATGTCCTGATAAAAAAACATGGAATACTGAATTTTGTCTAAATAAAACATTTCCTTTTGTGTTCTCACCAGTTCCATGAAGATCTGTAGATTAGGCAGTTGTTAAATTAAATAGTTTCCATAAGTAAAAATGGATTATTGCCTTCTAATAGAATGGCTTGTTTCCTGAAATAGACTGATGGAAACCCTGACCCAGGAAATCCACTTCTTGCTGATGCTTTTTCCTAGTGCTTAGATGGGGAAAAGGTAATACCAACCCAAGTGACTAAAGCTGAATTATGAGAGAGAAGAAAGGTGAAATCTCAATAGATGAGGCTTATTTTCAGCAGTTGCATTTGGAAAACTAATGAGATGTTACTACGTTACTACTTTAGTTAATAGAAAGCAAAGAACAAGGTTAGAGGCAGTGTGGAATACAAGATGAAGTGTAGATTTTAGTTATTAGTCTTGACTACCTTTTGGAAAAACTTACTTCCTAGGCTGAACTTTGGTTTCTTGCTTGACCTGAATGATTTTAGATACAGAGAGTGAAAAACCCATTCTGGTGGTAAGCTGAAATTTTCCCAAGTACAGCTACAGTAATAAAAGGAAATAACAAATATTTAATTTCAGCATAACCCTTTGAATGAGTTATCTTTGCAACATAAAGAACTAGAACAACTTTTTAAAGTCCACAGTTTCACTTCCAAACTACATTACCTCACTGTACACTCCTCTAAGTTTGCAGTCATGTGTAAGGAGAGCAACATGTTTTTTAACAGGATGAAGGATGACATCTCTGGCTGCCACATAGAAATGCAGCAAAAAAAAAAATAAAAAATATTTTCATCAAACATTTGGGTTAAATTCAAGGGTTTATGGCTTTGATTTAGAAGAAAATGGAGTTATGCTTGTTAGTTTTGTGGAAATACACCACTTTAGGTATCAGCTGTGACAGTTTCATCCATAATTTTTTTCTTTCACAATTTTCCTTCCATCAGTCCTGGAAGGAGCAGAACTGCTGCTCTGGAGGAGGCTTGTTGGCAGTGCACTGTAACAGAAAACAGCAAAGGCAGTTTTTTGTTTAGCTACTTTTCAGTTTAATTCCTTGTGGTAGGACAAAGGAGCAATAATGGGTTTATGAGAAATAGTCATGTTTGAGGAGAAATGCAATTTTCTCTGTGGATTCTTCTAAAGAAATAATGCTACCTGGCTTCCACATTTATGAGAATTGTACAGATGAGGTGGTATTGGCTAATTTTCCCCTTATAGATTGCTAGGTGGTGGCATCAGGATTCCTAATACAGCACGTGATGGGTCTGGGTAGGAACGTGTGTGTGTGTGGAGCTGAAACACTCAGTACTTCTGAAGAGAAATGACAGTTGGTGAGAACAATAACAGTGAGATGTTACTGCCCACTTTTGGTTATTTCTTTTTCATTTTATTCTTTTCCATACCTGGAGGCGCAGGGTCTTTCCTTACTGTAGTTTTTGTTGGCTCTGGTTATTCTGTCACAGTGCCACATGTGTGAGTGCCATGTTACAAATACAGCATTAGTCAGCACTAAGCAAAAAATGTGATTTTTTTTTTTTTCTGCTTAGAGTAGTAGTGGTCTCAACTTTTTTTCCTAATAAATTATCTGACTGTTTGAATATCAAAAGACCTCTGTTGTATTTCTCTTTAACCACATTATTTGTTGAATAAACAGACACTTTTATCTTTCCCCTTGCATGTCTTCTATTTTTGTTTTATATTTTTAAACCTTTAGTATTTTGTTGGTCCTGCTGGAACTTTCAACCTGGACAGTTCTTGAGCTGTAGTATCCAAAGTCAGCCAAAATTGCTTCAGGTTACTTGAGTTTCCAGATTTCAGAATTGCTTTTCTAATTTTTTTAAGAGCATCACATGGTTGTTTGTGGTGATGTGTGATGAAAACTATACTAGAGGTTGTGTAGCAGTAGGATATGAAATGCAATAGCTACCTGATTAGGATTGACTACTGTTGGGCTGCTTCTAGCCAATTATTTTCTGGTTTTAAATTAGATTAGACTTCTTTTAAATTAGACTAGATTAATTTAAATTAGAATAAGACTCAACTTTCTATTTTAAATTCTAATTCTGAAAATTATTGCAGGCATGTACTTCAGCTGAGTTTTATGTACTACATAAATCTGTCCTTTTTATTCCATCTCCCTACTTTTCAGTTAGTAGTACTAGAGCAAGAGCTGAATCTCTGCAATCTTACTTAAAAAGTCATCTAATTACTCTGATGATCATAATAAAGTACTTCTTTGAAGGCAAATGCAAAAGAGCCATGAATACTTCAGTTTAGTAAGCAGTAGATCTGAACTTTAGTGTATATTTGTCATACAGTTCTTTACAATTTTTCAAGCAGCAGTTAATTTTGTATCTTACCATTTTAATGCTACCCTGTGGGCTATTATTTTATACTTTTTTTCCTCACAGTTTAATAATATATCAGAGGGTGAAATAAAGATGAGGGAAGAAGTAGGATTCCTTTGGAATGGAAATTAAGGAATGTGCACAGAGGAAATAAAGTCAATAGGTGACCATCACGGGGATACTGGAAGAAGAGAGCACTGGTACCCTCTGGATGGGGCAGTGTGAGAATCCAGGTGTGGGTATGTGACAAGTAGAGGAGAGTGGAGAGAAACTGGTACTGAGGAAGGCTGGGAAGGAAAGGTTGTCCAGAAAAATGATGAAGAAATTGGTAGGGCTGCCCTACAGATTCTCTGAGGGTTTATGAGGAGGAAAGAGCTACTGTGGAGTTACAGAATGGGAGGAATTTTGAAAGAGGGGAAGATTTAATAAGAATGTAACAATGGGATGCATGGAGGAACTCAAAGGGTGGGTGGAAAGGGTATCAGTCATAAGGTGGGTTTGCCAGTGTTCCTTCCACTTGTTTCTTGCCTTCCCTGTCTCCTCTCATACTTTCAGATCTTTAGAGCTTTACCTCTTGTACAACTACTTTGATAACCTTTTTGACATAATGATCTTTCAGACTGATGAAATTTCTGACTGAAGGGGTGGATTCAGTTGACTTTATAAATGTGAATAAAAAGAAACAACTACAGCAAGTAAACTAGAAAATTATGTATGTTGTTCCAATCCTGTATTTTTATCCTCAGTTCATTGTTTTCTGTGGTAACAAATATCTTCTTTAGGTCCTTTTTTTTTTTGTCCTGTCTCATACAGGAGGCTTTTGTAAAGATCTAATTTCTACTAAAAGCTTTAAACACAAGAAATGTCCATGTTCTTGAAATAATGTGGTTCAGTCTAAGTCACAGAGGTGTTCTATGAACAAGATCATTGACCATCACAACATTTTATTTAATATGTCACATTGGAACATTCTTTCATTTCGATGGGAACAAGATTGAGTCCATTCTGCAGGTTAGAAAGACATCACAGCTTTAGGCAGCAAGAATTACCTATAAGAGGAAACTGAATGCAATTAATGCTCCATCAAAATAGTTTTCCTAAGGTTGAAATTGTAATCAATCCAAAAACCTCGTGGGCTCGGTATCCCAACAAGCACTGAATGGTATAAAAACAGTTAATTCTGTTGTATTTGCTAATATTTGTAGGAAATAAAAAAAGTTGGAGAAGCATTTGGATCAGGCTTTCCCACATACTTGTTGCTTCAGGCCTTCTGTTTCGCTGTGTTACACGTATTTCTTCAGTGTTACAGAAAAGAGCAATGGAAAAAAACAGATATTTCCATTGAGGCAATTAATTTATGATGGAATTTAACTAAAAAGGTTCCTGGAAACCAGAAATATGAGTTTCCCTAAGGGGCAATAAAGCAAAAATACTTCGATGAATTTTAAGTAATGATTTCAAGACAGTCGTAATATTTCATTAAGTCCATCTCTTTAGGATTTTGGCAAAGATTAATTCTTTGAAAGTATATTCTACTTAAGAACCTGTCATATATATCATGATGAAAGATGAATCTTTCATTATAAAACATATCTTCACTAAGGTATGAGAGAGGCAGGAAAACTGTTTTGCCCTGTAAACATTTGAATGTATAAAAGATTAAAATAACAGATTAGGAGCTCTACTGGAAGCAACTTTGATTTATTTTGGGTTCTGGTTAGTTTAGTTGATGTTGGTATTTTCCATTAGCTTTCATTCTACTGCTGTTTTATAATATTATATAAAAATCAATGATCATTCAAGATAAAAAATAGGGATAATTTTTTGAAACATTTGTGATTGCAGGTAATGATAAACTGCATACATAACATGCATGCAATTTTGATTCCTTGTGTTTGTGCAATTCTGTCTGTTCAGTATAGCATATTTGGGACTTTGGCCACTATAGAAATAATGGAAGCTTTTCATTCTAATTGACACCCCTCCCTGTTTACATTTTACAGGTGATTTTGCACTGGTAAAACAATGTTTTGTTGTTTGAAACCACACTCAGTGTAGTATGGTCCTGAAGTTTTTCTTGCTTTTCTTCACCAGAAGTGCAAAGAGTCTCACATTTGCCTTGTGAGTGCTGCAGAAACTTATTTTTTCATTCTTCTTTCCCTGTCTTTTATCCCATTGACATTGTGAGAACATCAGCACCCTACACAATCAAGGGAAAAGCACTGCACTAATCTTAAGCGTTTCCTTCCAAAGAAATTGAAATCTGATTCTGTATCCCAGCAGACAGCGGAGCTGGGGACAGTTGCTATGTTGTGTGGAGAGAGCACAGAATCTCTAACCATGCTAGTTTTACCCTATCTGATTATTTTACACTCTCACTCACTTGCTTTCCCCCCTCCAAGTCATAATCAGTCTCAGTTTCCTACTGGGAAGAATGCTGCTGAACTGGGAAGGCTGGACAGAAAGTCATGTGGGTTCACACTGTGCAGGTTTGAAGTTATCAGTCTCAGGCATTGCCAGTGAGCCCCTGGGCATCCACCAGCATTGCTCTGAGTGGATCCAAACATTTCCAGGACCTTCTTTCCCATTACAACTTGATTTTGTCTAAGTGAATAGCTTATAGACCAAAAAAAAAAAAATAAAAAATTGTCCAAGATCAGCTTCGTAACCGATGGTTCTATCTGTTCTCTCTTTGTTAAGTGGAAAATAAAGTATGTGACACTTTTGTTCAGTGTAGGTGTTGTCAAAATTTACAATTAGTCCCTCCTGGTTGTATTTAGCAAGTAGCAAGTTTATGCCTCAGAGTTGAAAACCAGCTTGGGACAGGAGTACACACACACCTGTAAGTGGCAGCGTTCCCAATCTTGGCTCCTTTTCACCTATTAAAATCCCTGGCTTTGTTGATTCTAATTTAATACCTGTATTAATTTTTTTAAAGATTAAAACCCCTTTTTTAATCAAGAAACTATTTCATCTCTAAACATTGATGGTCAGCACAAAGGTGGAAATCTTTTTCTGCTTTTGAGAAATGAAGGCACTGATCTGAGCACTGGTTTGACAAAACTGAAATCATGTAAGAAATTTCCTCCTCTGTAGTTATTTTCTCTAAAAGCTGATAATTTGTCTGATATAATCTGGGAATGTGTTGTGTATACTTCCTAGAAGGATTTTTGCTTCTCAAACCCTTGCTAGTGGAAACTCTTACGTTGAAAATTTGCTCACATGGAGGACTGTTGGAAAAAACATGAAGAAAAGCAGAAATTAAAAAAAAAAATTAAACATATCAGTATAATTTGATATATTTAACAGAATATGAGTATGTGTCCTGCCTGTATGCAGTTCTGTTCAGCATAGAAATAACTAAGATTGGTGGTGTCTGGAAAATTAGTCTGTCGACAGTGTTGCAGATGATGCTTCAGAATATAAGTTTGTTTCTTTCTGTTCATTAGAGGAAAGTGCTATTAATAGAAAAGCAGAATTAAAAAAAAAAATCTATATGTTGTTACTGAAGCTTTTTTCACCAAAGTTTGCCTCCAGTCTGATTTCCTGTGTTTATTGTCTCTTTTCTCCAAGGGAGATGCATTAGCAAAGCGTGGCTTTGTGATGGCGATATTGATTGTGAGGATCAGTCTGATGAGGATAATTGCGAGGGCTATATGTGTGGACCACCAAAATACCCTTGTGCTAATGATACCTCCATCTGCCTACAGCCTGAGAAGCTCTGCAATGGGAGAAGAGATTGTCCTGATGGATCTGATGAAGGCGATCTTTGTGGTACTTCTTTTAGACACATTTTTCTGATTACTCTTGATATTGTCTGTCTCAATGCTTCCTGTTGGAAAAAATGTTCCCATGTTAATCTTACTGAAATTTTATCACCATAGCCTATGTGAGGATTTTTGTTTCATTAAAATCATACTGAGTTTATGCTTGACGTATCAGTTTTCTTCAAATAAGAGAAAACCTTGTTCCTTAGTTAAGTCTTTCATTTTCAACCCCCTTAAAATACTCTTGGAGGTAAACAATTTAAAAGGCATTGGTATGCAGGAAAGGACTTAAGCTCATTTACAGTTCTCTCCAAGTACAGTATCTTGATTTCACATCATAGAATGGTTTGGGTTAGAAGGCACTTTAAAAATCATCCAGTTCCAACTCCCTTGCCATGGGCAGGGACACCTTCCACTAGACCAGGTTGCCTGCCCAAAGCCACATCCAGCCTGGGCTTGAACACTTCCACGGATGGGGCAGCCACAGCTTTGCTGGCAATCTGTACCAGGGCCTCACTGCCCTCACAGTCAAGAATTTATTCTTAATATCTAATCTAACCCTGCCCTCTGTCCCTTTGAAACTGTTCCCTCTTGTCCTGTCACTCCAGGCCCTTGGCCAAAGTCCATCTTTAGCTCTCTTGGAGCCCGTTTATATACTGAAAGGTGCTCTAAGGTCTCCCTGGAGCCTTCTTTTCTCCAGGCTGAACAATCCCAACTCTCAGCCTGTCTCCATAGCAGAGGTTCTCCAACTCTCTGAGCGTCTTCACGGCTTCCTCTGGACTTGTTCCAACAGGTCCATGTTCTCCTTATGTTGGGGGCCCCAGAGCTGTTTGTAGTGCTTCAGGTGGGGTCTCACAAGAATTCAGGGAAAAAAATCTCCTTCACTTGAAATCACCCTTTATTTGATGCAGCCCAGGGCACAGTTGGCTTTCTGGGGTGCAAGAGAACATTTCCAGGTTCTGTCAAGCTTCTCATCTACCAACAGCCCCATGTGCCTCTCAGGGCTGCTCTCAACCCATTCTCCACCCAGCCTGTGTTTGTGCTTGGGGCTGCCCTGACCCAGGTTGTTGCACTTGGCCCTGTTGAACTTCATGTTTTTCACAGGCCAACCTCTCGAGCCTGTCAGGGTCCTTCTGGATGGTATCTTTTCTATGATGAATATTTACACACTAGATAATGTTAAAAATAAATATAGAAATCTGGTTTAGAAATGTAAAATTTGGTTTGCTTAGAGGCCTTTTATGTGTTTTAGTTGCCCTGGTGACTTTAAGAATATACAATATAACTGAGAGCCCTTGTAGCCCTTAATTTTTATTTTTTTCTCCATATTATTTCAGATGAATGTTCACTTAACAATGGTGGATGTAGCCATCAATGTTCTGTGGTTCCTGGAGGAAGAATTGTGTGCTCCTGCCCTGCAGGATTCAGTCTTGGTATAGACAACAAAACTTGTGGGGTTATGGATTACTGTACCAAGCACCTGAAGTGCAGCCAAGTGTGTGAACAGCATAAAAACACTGTCAAGTGCTCATGTTACGAAGGCTGGAAGCTCAGTAAGGATGGAGAAAATTGTGTTAGTACTGGTAAGTTGAAATTCAGTGTATTTTCAATATTCAGGATGTTAATAGATGATGTGGAAATTTACTGAGAGGTTATTTCACTTTTCTGTATGAAAATATAGGCTTGGATTATCCAAATGTGGGGCTGATGGCAATCTAAGGACTCCTTAAAGCTGTCCCTATTCTTGATGGACAAAGGGGTATTGAAATACTAGGTTGTTGCTTGTAAGATTTTCTGAGAATGTTAATAACAAATAATTCCTAAATTGTTGGAAGTTTTATACCTTTTTCATGTATATTTAGTATGCATGAGAGATAAATATGTGTGTGTGTCTATATATATATGAAATATGGGGAATTTACTATATATTTTTAAGAAACAGATCCATCTGTGACATCATGATATTGATCAGTATCAGCTGAGGGTTCCGAAGGTTAATTTGGAATGTGCAGTTATGTGCTGCCTGTTAGCATTCATGATTTCAGCAATTTTTCTCCCCTAAGATATTCTAGTACTTGTTTTTTGACATCAGTTAGACACTTTTCAGCTCAGTAATCGAGATGAAAACCAACATGAGCCAAAAGAGAGGAGGGGGGGGTGCATTCCCCTGGTTGTTCGCTACTGATGGGTACTGAAGCAGGATTTAGAAACTCTGGTAGGGGTGTCTTTTTCAAGTGCAGTGCTGTGTGTAAAATACAGACACGTACATGCAATATAAACTGTCATCACAGCTTTACCTGCCCCATAGGGAGTTAAAACAGTATTGATTTTGCTGTCTAGATTTTCAGAATTTCAGTTGGGGATTTTTTTGATATTTTTATTCTGTATTATTTTCTTTTTTGATAGTGTCTTATCAATTCTGAATAGAAACATCTCCCAGACTGTCTATTGCTTATTTGGATATTTCAGAATTCAGTTGGTATCATGATTAAGAAATTCTTATTCCACATACCTTTCATTTCTTCGGGTGATTCACATGAAAAAATTCAGAGTCAGCAAGTTAGAAATAAAAACCTAATTTCTTTATTGCAGATCATCTGAAATTATTTAGTAATTAGCAACCAAGATAATGGTTTGTATTTTAGAAAGACAAATTCTGATCTTTCCACTTTGACGATGTTCTGGCTAATTTACACGGCATTTTAGAACTCTGCTACAGTAGTAACAAAGCAAACAACTTACTTAGGGCCAAAATATTTATTGGGTGTAATAAAAATAATGTTTCTCTTTTCAAAACAATGAATAATTAAAATTTAGTTTTATATCATCGATATTCTCTTGAGGAGCTTTTAGCAAACGCTCATGAATTGCACGTCTTACCTTTGAGCTTTATATTTAATTTGTTAAGAATGTGGTTTACATTCATCAGGCTGGAATAGCTGTTATAATTTCTAGAATGATCTCCAAGTTCAGTGTTTGTGACTCTATAATTGTTACAGTAATGTGTAAATAGTTGCTACCATGGTATGGGATCAGGGTTGCATGTTCAGACTTTACTGAGCTGATAGTAGACCCTCAAATCAGGCTTCACTGGTATATTAATGTGGTTCTGTGTATCTGAAATTTGTTTTATTCATGTCAAAGTTGTTATTTTATGACAGTATCTTAGTCTTATTCTCACTGATTTTTTTGATCCAACTGATTTGGGTTTTTTATGGCTATTTCCAGTAATTCAAAAAAATCCATTCTTACTGGATTACAGACATGAAAGGGCTAAAAGCATTTCAGGCAGAGTTAGTAACTCACTTGAGGAAAACTTCAAACAAACTTTAAATTAAAGCAGGTAGAAATGACCAGTATTTGGAAACTAAGGTGAAGAAAAACCCCAAGGTGAAATGAGCTCATTTGTGCTAAAGTAAGGCTACAAGTTTCTCAGTTTTCCTTAAGCCCATGAGATGCTTCTGCTTAAAGTTTACTGGTATTGGTGAGAATCTGAAGTTACAGATAGATTTACCAGATTTTCTCAAAGAGTTTAATACTAAATATATGATCTGAGACCTGAGATGTCAGCTGAAATAAAGAAAAATGATACTTTTCTGTACAAACTAGAAAGACTTGTGCTAATGGCATCAAAGCTGCAACAAAATTATTCCATATTGAATATGGCATATGCTTTTACAGTCACTAATAAAATAAATTTCAGTTTATTTAATTCAAAAGGCACAAGAAGTACTCCGAAGGAAGGATCCTCTGACACTTCAATTTTTTACTGTGTGAATGGCGTTTTAGTAAAGTGAGAACAATTTTGGTCCCATTTGTGAATCTGTGAGCCTCACAATGTCCAAACCATTTATGTCTCTAGGCGAGAAATCTTGAATGAACTTAAAATAGCAAAAAAACTTTTATATAATACTATTATAAGTAAAGTTCATCATGATCTTACAAAGATAAGCGGTCCCCCAAATGCCAAACTACTATTTCAATAATTCCAGTTGGTATGAATTCTTAGAATAGCCATAGTGATTTAAAATGCCTTGAACCAGGAGTAGGAGTATTATATTAGAGCACTGTTTTCCAGGAGAAAAAAATTACTCACAGGAAAATGATTACATTGCCCTTGACTTCTTTCTTTTTTTTCCTCTCCAAAATAACCCTTTCCTATATACAGGCAAACATTATAGTAGTCCACAGCAATAACATGTAAAGCCAGCATGCAGCACATTTTCAGAATATTGTAAAAACATTTTCTGTGAGTCTGTCACCAATTTAATGGGAATATGAATGCTGAAAATGCAGTAATGTATGTGATTTGAACTTTTGTTTTCCTGATTGCATACCAGAATCAAATACTGTATTTGTAAGTGCAATCTAATGAATTGCCAGAGAAATATAATGAGTTATAGGATAATAAGTATATAGAACTAAAATGCTTAAAATTGAGTTCTTTTCTTTTTAATTCCTCTTTCAAACTCTTTCTTAGTTTCCCATTTTCTCTTGTTTCTGCTTATGTTGTCTTTGTTTCTTGAGGGTTTTTAATGTTGTTTTCTTCTCCTTCAGGGTTTCTTTACTTTTCATCTCTTATTTTTGTCTAGTTTGCTGTTCTGGCATTGTTATATTGCTGACTTCCCAAAGACTAATTGTTTTGCTTATATTTAAATTTGTATTGATATAAGAGTATGTTGCAGAGCTCCATTATTCAGATAGAAAGTCAGTACAAATTACATGTGTTCATACTCTTGTCCCTAGTTCCTCTTGGAATACGTTTCAAAATAAGTTGTGCTGTTATATTGTACCTGCTCTTTTAGTTGATATAAGCATACAGAAAAAAACCACTGTTCTTGAAAGATACTTAAATTTTGTGTTTACTTTCAACCTTTTAGAATTGGGTTTTCTAAGCTTTGGGGGACCTCTGTTATATCACTATATATATAGATATATTTGTATGATGTATCTGTATGTTTTGTCTGTTTTAGCAGGTTAGAAATTCAAATTTGTTGTAGTTTCCAGATTGCTTTCAATACTAAAATGGAGGAAGGGTGAGAGAGAGAGTAGTCCAGTCCTCTCTGAGCAATATCCAACTTTTAATGAAGTGGTTTTTGCAGAATCCTTATGAAATGATTGTTTTCCTTTGAGGTGATTGTCATAAAATCATAGTGTAGATCACTTGCTGTTACAATAAGCTTCAGTGAAACAGTTATCTGCAGTTAGAATTTTTCTCAAGACAGAATTTTAAATTTAAACCGTTGGAAAAAGTGAAACATTATTCTTTATATACAGTCTCTTTTGATTGTATTGTATAGGCAGTTTTCTTCTATCAGAATTTTTTCTTACAACTGTTAATGTAGTTTTATGCTTTATGTTTTTCATATATTTTCTGTACTTATATGTATGGTAAAAAAAAGTTTTGGTGCAGTTATGAAATAAGAAGGTACAGAAATGTATGATTTTTCTCTAATAAATTGTTAACAGTGGATTTTCCTTAAAGTTTTAAAGAATGTAATCAATAACCATTACATTGATTTGAGATTTTACAAAAAAGCTCTTAGTCAACTTGCAGAATAAAAAGTATTCACTTTCAATTTCTAAAAGAGGAATCAAATGGGAAAATAATATCAGATTTTGGTTTTAGAGGGTGATGGCAGTATAACTTCAAATAACATCGATTTGATTGAGCCTGAAAATTCTAATTCACTAAAATACAGCTCGTTTTATAGAACCATTGAATGATAAGGTTGGAAGGAAGATCAAAGGCTGATTTTAATACTGCTCTTGTTTATCTGCTTTCCAAGACCTTCAAGACACCCTCACTGGTAAACTCCAAGTTTCCCTGGAGTGAATTGTTTCAGTTCCTCACTCTCCTAAGATTTTTGTTTCTTTAGTCTTTCTGTGTCTTCCTGGTCCAGTTTAAGCCTTTAATCCTTGGCCTACTTGTTATTTATACAGAAAACAGGATTTTTCCCATTTTCAATTCATAGGCTTTTTATGTCTTTGGAGAATTTTATGTGCTTCCTGTCATCATGTTATTCTATTTTTTTTTATTTTTTTTTTTTAGACTAAGAAGTTCCAGGTTGTTCATTTTTTCCTTGCAGACCATGCTTTCTAGATCTCTTAAAACACTTGCTCTTTTCTCCTTGCACTTATGTAGTTGATTGACATTCTTTTTTAAGAGATGTGTTCAGGAGAGGGTACAGTATCTTGGCTGTTGTCAACAAAGCTTAGGTGAAGGGAGTGGAAGGGTTATGTCATATTTATTTCAAGTGTCAAGATCCCATAGAACTTTAATCCTTTTCATCAGTGTTTTTGATAATTTTCACTGTAGGTTATTTATCTTAAGCTATACTTTGAATGAAAAAAAAAAAGCTCTGCTTTGAATGAAAAAAAACATCCAACATAGCACATGTTTATTAGGTTTCTTTTTTTTTTTTCCATTGTGGTGTCAATTAATGAGAAATATAAAAGAAGCCACTGTTCATGATCATGATGTGTGATCTTATGCATGGGAATTGCAAAAAAACCTGCATAATAGCTGTGAATTGATCAGAAATTGGGAAGTGCCACTAAAGTATTTCTCAAGTTCAGATAACTGGTACTTGTGAAATAGCTGCTGATGTCAGTGATCCTGCTCTTTATTAAATTATCTAACTACTGCAGAGCTTTGAAAATGACTTTGCAGGAAGTCATTCATTGCTTTCACAAACAGGAGGATCATTTGGAAAGTTCAAGCCAGATTTGAACAAGTAATGCAAGAGCAGAAGCAGCTCTGCTGAGGTAACTGATTAGCTTAAAACATCATCATTTATTCTGTGTGTGCAGTGGGTATCAAGAGAAGAACATAATGAAGTTAATGTTTTCAAAAAGTAGTATTAACACATCTCTCTACTTGAGAGTAGAGAGTAAAACTTGTGCAACTTTTTCTTTGAATATTTTAGAAGAACAATGCAATACTGCCTATTGCCATAAACAGCCAATAATATTTTATATAAATGGGGGTTTAATTGTATGGGAAACAAGACTCGCAGTATAATTTGTGTTTTACCCCAGGAGAAAGAACTGGGGGGAAAGAAACCCAATTACTTCCCCACAGGAAAGGGTTACTGTGAAATCTGTAGTAAAGTGGATATGGCAAGTTGATTCAACAATTTACAGAATCCAATTTTAGTCTTTCTTTTTTGTTTTATTAACACAGCTACTTGTTTGCAAAACCTTTCCTAATTTAAAATATGTAAGAACTATAATAAAAAAAATAATCAATTTCATAGTATGGTTTGACCTATGCAGAGTGTGTTTACAGATATTTATATGCAATTTGATGCAATTTGATTTAAACTCACTGGCACAAATCATGTAACACTAATTGAATAGAAAAGAAGGAGAACTGTAATGGTAGCTGGATTTGTGATGAAGTGTATCAATAAGCATGTACAAATGTTAATTTTCTTGCTTGTTAGTTTGAGGTGAGGGTTTTTTTAAGCACTTCAATTGAAAACCAAGGTACATATTATATTGAAAAGGTACATTATCTATATTTTAGTAAAGTGTTTCAACTAACTGGTATTTGAAACAATGTATAATTTAATAGATTAATATTTTCTCAAACTTTGGAGAAATCAGCTTTTGATTTTGAGACTGTGACTTTTTATAGCTCAAATTATGGGCTACAAAACACAGTTCAATAGCTGAGTTTGATATTTCCGAATTTAATGTTTAATATCTATCATTGGGATCAAAGGTAATGTTCAAAGGGAGAAGTGAAAAGTTTGTGGGACTGAAAAAGTATTTGAAAGACTCCTTATCAGAAGATGAATTGTTTTAATCATCTGTTCCTCCTGATTAAGTGTTCTGTCATTCACCCTCTACTTGTCATTTATATCAATATGTAACAATATCTTCTTTATTATGCTTTTGAAATGTATAATCTTCTACTTCCAGATCCATTTGAAGCTTTCATAATTTTTTCTATTCGACATGAGATCAGAAAAATTGATCTTCACAAGCGTGACTACAGCCTCTTAGTTCCTGGACTAAGAAATACAATAGCCCTTGACTTCCATTTCAGTCAGAGTTTACTGTACTGGACAGATGTGGTAGAGGACAAAATTTACAGAGGCAAGCTCTCTGACACTGGAGGTATGAATTTAATCTTTATTTTCTTAACAGTAAGAACAACTGCAGTTACAGGATGTTGGACCTGTTCAGTCATAACTGAGCTGCCATTCACAGAAACAGAATTTATGATACTATTCTGCCTTTGAAAAGGTATATATCTAGATTGTACTTGATGTTGAGCTAGAAAAGACTTCTATTATCAAAGCTTCTTTTTGCAAGAGGCTATAGGGGGAGGAAAATGGCAAATGCAAAAGGCTGATATTTCCTTCTGATCCAATGAGTGCAATATTGATTTCTTTCATTTTTTTTTGTAATTTACCTTCATCTTATTAACAAAGTATAAGAATTTTTTTCAGATGTCTGATAAATTACATCCTCTCACTAGGTGACAGATCCTACTTCAAAATTTTATAGCATCCAGAAAGACATGTTCTTTGCCCTGGTGACTTAATGATGGCCTTTAACTCAGTACAATCTCATAACATATACAAAAGGGTTTCTACAAAATGTTCTTTGTTGCAGTGTATGTTCCAGTGCTTCCATTCCTGCAAGAGCTAAGAGGCATAAGAATATCTGACTTGCTTCTGTCAAAGTTCACTTATGCATTCGCACATATGTTCTCTGAAATGCTTGATTTTAGTTTCCTGGGGTTTTTTTCTGCTCATTAGTAGACTGTGTTTGTGAGTATTTTGTATCCAGAGATCCAGATGAGGAAAGAAATATCTTACACTGTTAAGTACGTAAAAACAGCAAAAGAGCTGCTACTTTCAGTCATAGTTTTGGTGTTTGTATGACACCAATAAAAACCTGTTGTTGTCACACTGTGTTTTAATCCCACTATACCAGAAACCAAGTGACTTCTGTGGCATAACAATTAAAAAAAAATAATTTAATCCTTTAGTCTTGCATCTGTCAAGAACTGACTTGCACCTGCAAGAGCACTGTGCCTTCCTGGAAGTCCTGAGGACTAATGGAGTGGTTCTGTAGTTGCAATTTGTGTGAAACATTTTGTGATTCTCTGGAAGACATATTTGGTAGAGAAGAGCTGTTAGTTGACAGCAACAGTGTGAATTGTGCATGTGAATTCAAAGGAATAAAGTAAGGCTATTTATTGTGGAGCTTCTCAAAATATGTATTCCAAACAGAGTTCTCCCTGACATTTCTGACTTCGTCACAATCTTCCAGTTTTCTCTTTTTCTGATTGAGAAGCAAGGGAAGTAGAGCTGCATGAGTTCTGTACCTCTCCTGTGTTACTCTGCATCTAGCCTCTGACCTTTATGGAAAGTTTCAGGGCTTTACTTACTAAAGCATTAGAGACCTAAACTTTTTTATTGCTGTGGAATGAATTTTATTTGTGTAACTTCCAAAACTGAACTTATTTTCAGCATCCTGTTGCATTTGTAAAGAAAAAATGTCACGTTGAACAAAGTGTTACCATCCATCAGATGTAGATTAATCAAGAATTCACTCCAAGAACATATGATAGACTTGTATGTCCATGTTCACTATATTATATATTCAGACTCTGTATTAGTTCTTTAAGACTCTTTTTTGTTTTCTCTTTTTTTTCTTTCTCTTTTTTTTTTTTTTTTTTAAGGTGTTAGTGCCATTGAGGTTGTGGTACAACATGGCCTGGCCACACCAGAAGGTCTTACTGTAGATTGGATTGCAGGAAACATATACTGGATAGACAGCAATTTGGACCAGATTGAAGTAGCAAAACTAGATGGCACTCTGAGAACAACATTAATAGCTGGAGCTATGGAACATCCAAGGGCTATTGCTTTGGATCCCAGATATGGGTAATTATAAAAATGTTGCTTTTTCTTGTTGCAAAGTATTTCAAAGTTAGAGGTTTAAATGTGAGATTGATTGATTTCCTTTTTTGCTGTGAGTTACAGTTTCTAACTTATTCTTAGTAGTTCCTGAAAGTATGTTTTGACTGATAAACAATCCATTATTGGTGGGTCTTGTCCCAGTGAAAAGGGTTAAAAAAAGTACATCAGGAGATACAGATATCTGTTTGTTGGCAAATTACTTCCCTTGACATGTGGTTGTTTCATTTATTTTTTTTTTTTTAATGTGAATGATAGTAACTGGAGCCTTTGGTCTAACCTTCCTGTATGGTTAATGGACAGAATTAAGTGTTGTCCAGGTGATTCATCTCACTTAGAGTCTGATGTTTTTTTTGGTGTGGCTATAAAAATGTAGTTTAGATGTTACTGGAAGACTAACAGTTGAGTGAGGTAAATCCCACCTTTTGTATTTGGTTCTCCATCTTTAAAGTAGAGATAATGTTTGACAGCTTCTGTCAGTATTTTTTCTACCTGTTCATTAGGGATATCCTATAAAACAGAATATTAGGTGATAGTCAGTAGCTACATCCTCTTCTCAGAATTATTATTCTTTCAGAGGAGAAAAAGAAATAAACAACTGAACAACAAAAGCAACAAACCACCAAGCACAAATTAAATGGTGCAAAAAATAATACAAATTGTGAGTTTGCAGTCATGATATTTAATTTTGGGAATATTTAATTTTAGGATTTGCTGGGGTCTGTCATGTCTTCACTGGATATTTCTTTCAGAAACAAAGCTGTGAACATAAAAATAGATAAAGGTCCCATATTCTGGTACCTGAGGTCTCTCTGGGACCTAAATTGTGAATTAGGATGTATGTGCTTTAAATGAGTAAGGATATTGCCCTCTCAACTGAGATAGTAGAAAGCTTATTTACAGAGTGCATTGCTTATCTATAGAGATCTTTAAAAAGAATCATCTTGTTGGCAGAAAAATTGGCAGACAAGTTGTTCAAATTAAGTGGTTGGAAGGCAAAAAAAAAAATCAAATCACCCCTCTTGCTGAAACTGAAGGCTTAATCTGCCTTTTGAAAAACTGGAAGCAATTGATGCTACATTATGTTAAAAGTAAGGAAAGAATAAAATCTTTGAACACAGATAGGAATAGCTCCTCAGTCTTTTCACAAATAAATGTGAATAAACAAACGCTGGTGATTTAAAGCAAAGGGTTTTGTTAGGACTTCACAAATCCTGTGTCCCAATAAAGGTGTGACTCCAGAGCTCCATTCCAACCTGCATTGAGGCCAAGGATGTATTCTCAGTCTACATATGCACAGATGTATTTAAAATAAACTTTTATACATAAACATGTGTGTCCACATGGGTCTACACAGGCAGAAACTCAGCACTAAGACAAACAGAATCATGTGGTCTTATCCTGTTTAACGTCTCTGTTAAGGTTGAAGGTCTTTTAGTGGGAAGTATGAAAACTTGTCACAAGTTTGGTTATAGTCTGACTCTCTGCCATTAGCTCTTTAAAGCTAATCAGAAATTTTCCTATCAAAGGTATTATTTTCCTTTGACAAGTAAAAAAGTTTGTATGGTGTTGAAAACTCAATAAGCTAAGAACAGTTACAGTGTATTTTTGGCCTTTTGATGACACTGCTTCTCACCTTTAACAAGATACTACTTTGGTAATACAGGTGAAAGCTCTCCTTATTGGAAAAACACTGGAGATAGTACATAACTAAGGGAACCAACCATACAACACAGTTTTTAGTTTTCTTTCGACTGATCTGTATAAAATTTGTTGATCACATGCCAAAATCTAGGGGATCTTCATTGGAACACTCTTAATAATGGATAAAAAAAATCTCTGGTTTAGTCTGTTCCTTGATCCCTGCTACCTCAAATCACCTTTCTTCCCATTCTCCTCTCCCCATCCTTCTCATTTGTGAATTGCTTTCAGAGGCTTTCATTATAATTTCATTTAATGGGCTGGGTTTCTAATTATAGAGGGAAGAAAGACAAGCTGTTACTTGTATAAATGGACATGAAAAAAAGAATTAAGCTCCTAGCTTTTAAAAAACTTTTATAATTTCATGATTGCTCTAACACTAATGATGAAATATTACCCTTTTACTTCAAGGAATTTATATAGTTGCCCAAATTGATCTATGTTTTTTTCCTTTAATTTAAACCGTGTAAACATTTGAACATTTTTTTCCAGCTATTGTCTTATTAAACCATTTCAGATTATTCTTGGTGCTTTAATATTTTCCTTCTATCCCTTTTCTTTTCCTCTTCGTCTTACAAGGATTCTGTTTTGGACGGACTGGGATGCAAATTTTCCTCGCATTGAATCTGCTTCCATGAGTGGAGCAGAAAGAAAAATCATCTATAAAGATATGGATACTGGAGCCTGGCCTAACGGCCTTACTGTAGATCACTTTGAAAAAAGAATAGTGTGGACAGATGCCAGGTAAAATGATAACAGCTTTCTTATTATCTGTTTATAAACCCTTATTCTTGCATGAAGAAATGTGAAATGCATTGTAAGTGGAATGTAGTTATTTACATCATGGACATAAATCAGAGGCAGGGGTGAAGCCTCTGCCCTGACAGCTCTGGTGTCATCCATGGCTCCTGGCTCCCTGTTCTCAGAGAACAGTTCCCACCTGTCCTCTCTGACACTTATCCATGGAAGGCCCAAGATAGTTAACTGGTTTTTTTCCTGTAAGTTCATCTGAAACTGATTTTCCTGTTGTATTTTTTACAGCAGAGAGGTAAATTTAAACATTATACAAGCAAACCAGTATTTCATATCTCTAGTTAAATTATTAATATGAACTAAATAATCTCTGAAATTAATGGTTGCACGGTGAACATCCTTTGGTCTTACCAGTATGTAAGAGTGAAGTTTTTATATATTTTGCCCAATTTCATAATGGTGGTGTGATGTTTATTTTTATGTTATCTTAAATTTGGGGGTATCTTGTAGGTCGGATGCCATTTATTCTGCACTGTATGATGGAACCGGCATGATAGAGATCATACGGGGTCACGAATATCTTTCTCACCCTTTTGCTGTTTCTTTGTATGGGAGTGAAGTTTATTGGACAGATTGGAGAACCAATACACTGGCAAAAGCCAATAAGTGGACTGGCCAGAATGTCAGTGTAATACAAAAAACAAGTGCTCAGCCATTTGATCTTCAGATCTACCATCCGAGTCGTCAACCACAAGGTGACTCTTTATGGAATAATTAATTATTGCTCCTATGAGAGGAGGAGTAAATATTCTTTTTATATATAAATATCTGTATTATTTGTAGAATAATTTAGTATTGTTCCTATGAGGGGGGAAAATAGATTTTTTTTTTTATACATAATTATCTGTATGTGAATTCGCCTTGTATTCAGCACTAGATGAAGGCATGCAACCCATGTGGCAGAAGGTTGTATGGAGTTCATAAATATATATATATATAGCTTATATATATATATATATATATGTACCCTGAAAAATACCAATGCTGCAAAAAGAATTGCATATGTTTTTCTATTGTGTGATATAACAAAAACAGTCACTGTTTTGTTCATAAATGTAGGAAATAAAAAAGACCACTGGAGGATGACCACCAATCAGTTATAGAATTTCCCAGGTTCACTGGATAAATTTCAACTCTTCTGTCAAAAATTTGATGTTAATAGAAACTACTTTAAAATTCATCTCATATGCACCTTTTTTTTTTTTTAATATTGAGAAATGATATTTTGTTTTTCTTCTTACCCAGGGTTTGTAGCACTCAGTAAGCCATTTAGACTTTTATATTAGTAGGTTCTGAGCAATCTTGATTTGAAAACATTAAATCCTGACAATTTTGTATGGCTTTGTAAATGTCTTGAAATCTAGTTCTGCATCAGTTATGCATAGAAAACTATGGATAAAGCTCTAATATAAATGAGTACCAGCAAGTAAAATTCTCTCTGCTCACTAGTAGTCAAAAGATTTGAAGGATGTTCCCTAATAGCACATGTGGAAAAAAGGAGAGCAATGATACAACTCATTTGCTAGTTCGTGAAGCTTTGTGATAACTGTGATAAAGACTCACAATGACCTTCTCATCTACCTCACAGCAGGTGACATAGAATGCCAGGATACATTTTTCTGATGGCTTTATTTTAAAATAATAATGAATGTATATTAAAGAAGAATGTTACTTACTGGTTTACAGTGGATGCCAAGTTCCTTGGACTTTATTACTTTTTGAAATAAGCCTCTTATTTCTCTAATTTTTAAGAGGTTACTTTTTAGGGCAGTATACTGCTCTAACAAAGCTGTCTGACTTCTAGACAGAAGAATATGTTTGCCCAGAATGTGAAAATAACGGGTGGCGTAAATATGCACCACTGCACACCCCTTTCAAATAATGTGTCTTTTGGGATTGTTTTTTGGGGGTTGAGGATTTTTTGTGGGTTTGTTTGGTTTGGTTTGGTTTTTTGGGGTTTTAGTTGGTTGGTTGTTTTTTGTGGGTTTTTTTTTTGTTTGTTTGTTTTGGTGTTGTTGTTTTTTTTTTAACAGGGAGGGGATTTAGGTTTTTTTATTTGTAATTAGTCACTTCCAGAGTTTTGGGATTTGAGGAGCTCTGTTCCATATTTTCAGAGTAGCAATGGAGTTCCCATTAGCCTTTTCTTGCTGTCAGAAAAAGAACAACTATTTTCTGTTTGGACTGGGGCCAGGCAGCGTCTTTGGAGAGAGTCTATAGCCTAGGGAGACATCAGTCGGTATTCCACAGTCACAGATATCTTGGCCTCAAGGCAAGTAAAAGCTGTAGAAGAGTTTTCAGCTGTTATTTTCCCAAATAAAGAAGTTCAAATATTAAGTTGTGTAATTGCAACTTTTTTTTTTTATGATGTAGAAAACACTGGATACTGATTTTATCATTGGCCTTTTGGGTTTGCTCTAAATTGTTCTCTTTCAATGGACGAAATTTGTTTTTTTCCTGAATCTCCAGTACCTTACTTTATTGGAGCTAGAGAAAAATGGTGATACTATGCTGTAATTTCTTATTTTTCTTTTGAATTTGTAGCTATTTTTCAATAAATGAACAAGATATCATGCAGGTTGGAATCTCAAAATAAAATTAACGATAAATTTACATTCCAAACTGTCAGTATAAATTTGGTACTGAAGGATGAACATTTTTTAGTTTAATCTCCACAGATCTACATCTGGGTCACCTATGTAGGTGAAAGTTTATTAGCTTTCAATATATATCATGCAAGTTATTTTGATTGAAATAAAGTAGAGCAGAGCTAAATAAATTCCCGTAGCCTCAAGCAACAGTCAATCTGGGACAGATGCTAATTTAAGGATGTGAAATTGCAGTGAGATATTTGTATGGATGATAAGTTCATCTGTCAGGAAACCACAGTGGATTATGGAAGCCTTCTTACCTAATGCAGAATATTCTCAGGAATATGAGCTTGAGACCCACTCATCTTCACAGAACCGAAGCTGTGTCAGGAATACTGTTAACGAAGCAAACACAGGGTTTCTAAGAAGAACATTTTCTTTCAACTTGCTCCATTATATTAGAAATCCACTTGCTGCCAAGAACAAGGTCTTCTATTTTAGTCACAAGAAGTTGTACCAGGAGATGTAATAAGGATAGTGATAAGAGGGGTAAATATAGTGCATTGGAAGGATCAGAGCTTGAAAATAAAAAACTGTGAACTTCTCACACATTTCCCCCCCCCTTTTTTTTTCTTTCATTTCTCAAGGATATTACTTTGGAATAAAGGGAAAAAAAAACCAAATATGGATGTGGAATTAGTTTCCTTTCTGCAAATGAAATTTTTATTTAAAAATCATAACAAACAGTATAACAACTGTTGAATATAAAGTATATTGGTACCACTGGGCTCTTCTGTAATTAAAAAATGAAAAACATTGAACTCCATAGCGCTCCCTTGTTACAATATTCTGTTGAGACCCAGATTGCCAGCTGTTAGAAATAAATAACTTTTTACAGAAATGTAGCTTAAGATGGGTAGCTTTAAAAAAAATAATTATTAGTTTAAGATTTTATCTCAACCTTATGTACATCCTTTTTTACTTCAAAACCTGAACAAAGTGCTATATGTATTATAAATCATGCAAAATACATACAGTTTTTCTGAGCTTTAAACTGGATTCCTTAGTGCCTTGTGAAAGTTCCATTTTTGTTTTAGGAGTTATAAATGCAATCTCTCCTCCCATTGTCTTAACTCAGCATCCTGTCTTTGACAGTGGCTGATCAGGACCTAAAGGAAGGTGTAGACCTGGGGAAAGACAGCAACCATTCTCCTCCCATACAGGTTTCCAGTAGCCTGTAACTCAGTGATTTTTCAGCCTAAAATGGTCTTTTTGTTCTTTAAAGGCTTTGACTTATTCTTCTTGTATGAATTCTTCTAGTTGACATATTGTCTGCAACTTTTGGGGCAGGTGGTTCAGGTGTGTAACTGTTCACCATGTGATGGAGGAGCTCATCTTGCTTGTTTTGACCCCAACAGTTGATAATAAGAGCTTCAGAATTACCATGAAGTTACCATCCTCAGTACAATGGCATATCATGAAGAATTGTGCTAACTTTGCCCTAATAATGTTCTTGTTTATTTAGCTTCATGGTGATACGTAGATTTTTGTTAGGTAGTGTGTTAACTAATTCTTGAAGTGAATGATTACAAACTGGAATAGAAATAGTGATTAGAGGAAATAATTATTTATTTTAGAACACACCTTATCTGATCTGTCCTAACCTGTGAATTCCCAAGATCAGTGCTAAAGTAATCAGATGGTATAAAGATTTTAACTTGGCTGACTGCAGCAAGAGGATGTTTGGCCTTATGACAAGCAATGCTAAAATTGTTGAAAGTGAACAGAGGATTAGATCTATAGCTGGTTTTAAATATGAGTGGGAATTGATTGTCAGCAATTTAAAAGGACCCTTTTGATGTAACTGTAGTGCATATATTTGAAGGTGTGGGCAGAATTTAATCATGTTGTGCACCATTAAAGAATAAATATGAGTGGGAATTGATTGTCAGCAATTTAAAAGGACCCTTTTGATGTAACTGTAGTGCATATATTTGAAGGTGTGGGCAGAATTTAATCATGTTGTGCACCATTAAAGAATAAGATCAAACTATGTCTTGCTAATCTGATGCCATGAAGGGACAGGTTCAATATGAAGTTAATGGGGAGGGTAAGTTGGTCCACAGTGAATGAGCATATTGAGAGGTTGTCAGAGTAACTGTTCATTTGTCAGCTGGTGATGGGATGTCTGAGGGGTTTTTTGAGGGTTACTGGTCAGGAAAAAGAAATGTTTTGCTTAAATAAAATTGGAGAGCAGTCAAGAAGTAACATGATGACAGAGTGATGTGTACGTGTCTGTGCTCAGCACCATAAGAGAAATAGATTGACAAGCAATCAGCAGTGGAAATCAATTAAATAATGCAAAAGGCTGGCATATTGGTGAAAATGCCAGTTCTGTGGGTTACTATGATCAAAGGGAATATATTGCTGGAAATGATTAGGAAAGGAATAAAGAAGTATAGACAGCGAACTGTGGTGCTGTATAAATCCATATTATTCCCACATCTTGAATACTGTATACAGATCATACAAAAGCTATTGAGAAAGCTTGACAGGCTGATCAAGAGTATGGGAAAGGTTTTGGTCTGAGGACAGGTAGACTGATACTGCTTGAAGTACAACTTATAGACAGGCTTCTGTATGATGGCAGTCTGTGAAATCATAAATGGCATGGCAAAGGTGAATAAGGAATGGTTATGTGGTTATTCACAATAGAAATAGAAGAAAATATTAGAATCAGCACAAGGAAATAAAAGCCAAATTTTTGAGAGTCAAAGCACATATCTATGTGCCTTCGGGAGAATTAGTTTTTGTTAGAAAATAGAGAATGGGCTTAGCTGTTATTCAGTGAAAGCAGTATGAATATGAAAGGAATATGTAAATATGTGCTGTTAGAAGTAATTTTTAGATTATGATAGTTTGCTCCCAGAGTTGCTCACTCATGTGGAAACAAACACATCTGCTTTAGAACACTTCTTTTTCCACCAGTTTTATATTCCATGCTATAGGAAGGGAATCGTGATGGGAATTGTGATGTGAACAGGCAGTACATGAATTGTACTGGCTCCTCTTTGTGGATACTTGGAGCAGACTGGAACCACAACTTCAGTGGAGAAGAACAAAATGCACTACTTACACTGAAAGACAAGTTGTATTTATTATTTTTAGACCCTAAATAAATCATTGTCACAGATGGTTATATGCATATAGAGAAGTTGAGGTTCCACAGGAAACACTGTTTTGTGGTGTTGGCAAATAAATTAAAGGAAATTCTGTTTTACAAAACATACGACTAAATTTTAAATCTTGCAGTAGCAATGTTAAAAATATCAAAAAATTGCAGGTCGAATCACTAGATGGTTTTCTTAGGTCCCTTACAACCTAAATGATTCTGTGATCTCCTTCACAATATTGTCAGAAGTCTGAGTTATGTTTCCTTTCTGATGTATAGGTCATAGAGATAGATGACTTATATTTACTAATAGTGCATTAATAATTATTATCTGTGAAGGCTCTTTGAACCTTCTTCAGTGTTATTTCCTTAACTTCATGTTTTTTGTCTTCCACACAAACTTGTGAGCTTATTAAAAGAGATCACCCCCAATTTTCTCAAAATTGGTACTATAGATACAAGAAAAGTGATATTAAATAAACATCTCTGTATTGTAGTTTTTGGGAAAGGCAGAATCAAGTACAGTCATCCCATGAGGATAATGAGGTATTTACAGTCTATTAGCTGTCAAAGAAGATATTAAATCATTAAGCAGCAATAAGTAGTTTTAAGCTTATTGGCCCAGGCGACGTTTTGTCAGAGGTTTAGGAGACCTGACAGAGAGGATATGGGATGCTGCTTTCAATAAACTTTTGGAATAGCAGGGCAAACTAAAGGCTGGGAGAGTGCTGAGTGGCCTCCTGTGCTGCCAGTGCTTAAAAGGGACAAACACTTTCACTTTACAGAAAACAGTGAAGCCCTATGATTTTTTGATAGAATCATGATGAAAAGAATTTCATTAACCTGTTTAACCAGGGTTTTGAAAGCTTCATCCTTCCTGTAGTACTGGTTAGACAAGTAAGTAGTTAAAGGCTCCAGAAGTTGGTGGATAAATTTAAGGAAACGCTGAGGGGGGGAAAAATGGTTCCATGAAGCAAACTTTGATTTTTGTCTGCAAATCTTAGTGCTTGAACTAAATTTTTTTGCAAAGAAATTCATACATCAGATTTCTCTAGTTGTCTAATTACTTGTATTGCAGGCCAGCACAGTGCTGGAGGACTATATTCTAAACTAATAGGTTTTGATAATTGTAAATTTGTCTTTATGAGTCAGTCATTCTCACTTTCCATCAATGTTAATTTTCAAAGCTTTTTTTTAGTAAAAGGAAAAATCAACATTGCTTTCTGTTTATGCCTGAAATGTCTCTTCAACAGTGCTCTGGAACTGTGTGTTTACAGTAATTAATAAAGATAATAAGAATGATTTCCAGGTTTTGTAAGACTAACAGGTCTTCTCCAGTCAGCTTTCTTTCTCCTCTTTAAAACAATTTTAGCGCACTTCATTCAGTCAGTGAACTATAGTAAACTACTTGTGGAAAGCTACACTTAGGAAAGGTTTTTCTTTAAGAAAAGTAGAAATACTTTGCTATGTCTTTTTTGCAAGTTACCTTTGCATGTTAGATTTCAATCTAATATTCTGGCAGAGAGATCAAATTGAGAAGAAACACTGAATTTGCCAAAGTTCATATCATAATCTAAGCTTTGACTAAGCTTTCACAAAATTAAGTCATTTTTCAGGTCCCTATCATGTTAACATTTTTTTAATCCCACGTGTCCTTGTTAGGATTGAAAAATTCTATACATTTAAATCTTATGAATAGGCTGCAAAATTAATATCTCCCTGGGAAAATTTTTCCAGTGTCTTCATGAGGTTACAATAATAAATTCTGTGGCTGTATTAACAACAACAACAACAACAACAAAAGAAATTAAAATATATGTTCGTGGACAAGAGTTGAATATTAGCCTAGAAAAAGTGATTAGAGCACAAGCCCAGTTTATCACTGAGGTTGGGTTTGTCTTTCAAGAGAATATTTACCGCTTTCTCACCAGTGTAGCTTATGCCAGTGTGACAAACCTTAATTTGAAAAGGTGGTTTTACTTTTTGTGTTTCATTATTCAATTTTAGCTTCCAATCCATGTGCTGCTAACGAGGGCAGAGGTCCATGTTCTCACATGTGTCTGATCAATCACAACAGAAGTGCTGCCTGTGCCTGTCCACACCTGATGAAACTGTCTTTAGACAAGAAAACATGTTATGGTAAGTTTCCCCCCCAAAGCCTGACAATTGTATTGATTTTAGAATTTTGGACTGGACATATTAATCTTAAGCACAATCTCTGCAGTGCTTTTTAATGGTATGTTTCAAAGGGGCATCTACTTGTTGAGAATCAATAACTTACTCTCATAATTGAGGTCTGTGGTGCTTTGATATTTGTTACCGCAGCCATTTCTTTGTGCTGCTTATGTGTGTGATATGTTGGTAAAACTTTATCTCTGCAAACCAGAGAGCTTTGTACTCTCATGTGCGTCATCCGAAAATTATGAGTCAGGTAAGCTGAATAACAAAAAGATGCTTAATAGCTTAAATCTCTACCTGTTCTAGAGTTGCCTTGGTTTCATTTTCAAGGATTAAAAAACAAAGAGTAAATGTTAGATGTGCAGCCTTGCAGGGGAGTTAAAACGAAACAATTACAATAAACACTTTTAAGCTATAAAAGCCCTCAAAATGTCAAATAATTGTGAGTATTATCTGTAAAACCTTGTAGTAAATTACTCTTTTCAGTGTTGATTATTAACGTTTAGGAAATAAAAAAATAAAAAAATAATATGTTGTTGTTTCAAGGATATTGCAGGGGGAAAAAAGTTACTTTTACTGTTCCTTCACAGGCATTTGCTCCAATAATTTAGACTTTTGAGATTAAAAAGAGAGCTTTGTTTTGCCTTTAATGTTTCATCCTTTTTCTTTAGTGAGGGTGCAAATTAGAAGAATCAATTTACCCTTTTTGTTCCAGGTATTTGCCTTCCACTGCTTCCACAAACATTCGTTGTTTGCAAAACTTCCCTTACACTGAATCCCTGTTCCCCTGAGATACCAAATGTTAGTGTCTGATCTGATGTGCAAGTAAAACTATTTTTTTTTGAGTGGACTAGGCAGGGCAAACTTTTTATAAAAAATATTTCAGCATTTTTTTCTTACACATTCATAAGATTCATTTAGCAGAGTGGTAACACCACGTCCAGCTTCCAGAATTATTGTATTTTTCCTGTGATTTTTATGCTCTTTACACATTATTTCTCAAGTGTCACTAGGCTGCAGGTTTTCTGGAGATGTTTAATCACTCATATAAACACTATTTACACATTTGTAAAGCGATCTCAAACTAATGACTCGGATTCCTGTTAGAGATGTAAAGAGGATGAGGAATAATGTTTTCCTTTTTTTTTCCAACAGAAAGAAAGAAATTTCTCCTCTATGCAAGGCGTTCAGAAATAAGAGGGGTGGACATAGAAAATCCATATTTCAACTTCATCACAGCCTTCACTGTTCCTGACATTGATGATGTGACAGTCATAGATTTTGATGCTGTTGAGGAACGCTTATACTGGACTGATGTGAAAACACAAACCATCAAACGTGCCTTCATCAATGGGACTGGCTTAGAAACCATTATTTCGAGAGGTAAATGGCATAGCATTGAAGTAAAAATAATTAATTCTAGGTACATGTGAGTTGTAAGCATGCTAAAATACGGACATGCAAGTTCTCAATTGGTGTGCCTTGCACTGGTATTGGATAATTGATCTAAACAATAAGCAAGCAGAATTATTTTCTTTAGGATTCTAGTTCATTTTATTGATTCATAATTCAATTTTATGTAAACAAATTGGGATGTAATTTTAACATTGATTTTATACAAGATTGAAATGTGTAGTAAAAAAAGGAAATAATATTTTCAGGAGAAGGTAGAATAAAGATAAAAAGGAGGAGAACCATAATATCCTGTCACAGCTTTTCATTGAAGCATTTCCTACATTCCATGGATTTCCTGTGTCCTTTGGCTACCTGTGCTGACCTAGCAAAGAAATTATCTCTGTCAGAGCTGTTTTTTTTCTTTCCAGTCCATGTAGATCTTTCAGCTTTGGCACTACTGGTGAAACACATGATATGGTAGCATTGTAATTTTGGTGATACTGATGATACAGATTTTTTTTCTGTACAGAATACATTCAGAAGTACAGAAATTTAATGAAATATAAAGTCTACACCTTGATTGCTTCAACTCTATGTCAATAGCTCTGGTATTAAATTGATACAATTCATTGTAGTTGGTAGTGTTTGTTTGATTGTTCATTCTATCTGAAGGGAAATTTTACGCACTCTGGTTCCCCAATTGTTAAATGTATGTTTGAAGGGGAAGAGGAGAAAAAAAAAAATAACTCAATTGTGCAAGATCAGACCTTTTCTGATTTTGTGAACAAATAAATCAAATAGGTTATTATCTGGGGGACTTCAAAAAGTTAATTAAAGCTCTGTCCCTTGTGTCACTTTAGAAGAAATTAGTCTGTATTAGCACATTTTGGGAAATGATTGGACCAATATGGCAGTATCCCCATTTGGCTATGCAGATTGATGAATTCATTTATTTTGTGTGGCTAACTTTTTTTTTTCCCTGCTGTCTCAGAGACAACTTTATTAACAATTAGACATATTTTCAGTCCCAATAATGAACACAAGGTTTACAGTGCCTTCTAGAGCTCTTTACATCAGGTATTCCAGCACCCAACAGAGAGACTTGTTGCTTGCTTCTTTAAATTGTAGTAAAATAAAAACATTGTTTATTATAGAAAATATATAGTAAAAAGTCACAAAACTCGTCAAAGAACTTAATGAAACATACTGTGTGTGAGTGTTTGTTTATCAGCATTCTTTCATATTCCTTTTATTATGGTAGCTTCTGTGGTAGAGTTTTTGTGGGTTTTTTTGTTCCAGATGTAACTTACTATATGAAAGTTTGCAAAATTACAATTTTCTGGCACGTCAAAATATTGTAAATACTATTTATTATGTGTAAACTATCTCATTTGCTTACAGTTATATTTTTATACTTCTTATAAGAACATAAGAAGCTTTGTGAGCACATACAAGTGGAATTCTCACTGGATGAAGTCTTACGCCAATGTTACAAAGATGCCGAAGTCATACTTTAATCTTTTTAAGAGTATGAAATGCTCATTTTCTAGTTTCTCCAACCAAAAAACCCAGAAGGGCAGGGTATCAGTTTTAAGTGGGTCAAGGACTATGTATTTGGTGTTCTCTGGAGTTGGCAAACTTCCTAATGCCCAATCACAGCTCAACCTTATGTCCATTCAACCAGTCCACAGCCACATCCATGTTAGTTTGTCAACTCTAATAATTCTGTCAGTGGAAATTACCACATTAAGTTGACAAAAGATGTGTATAAACAATGAACTATAATGAAATCTTTAAATCACCCTTGGCCTGCTCCTTGCCTACAAAGATGAGAATCAATATGAACCAGCTCTGTCTCAAGGCGAAGAGACATTGATATCTAGAGCTTGAGCAGAGACTTCATACTCAGTATTTCAGGCAGATATTAACATATATTAACATTTCTTTTAATACCTGGCTAAAGAAGACCATCACATAAAAAGACACTGTGAAGCAACCAAATTGATCATCTTATGTTTTGCTGCCTCAGCTGCTCAGTCAAAGCCCAAAGTGGGACGGGGAAGAGAATCAGAAGGGTAAAAGTGAGAAAGCTCATGGATTGAGGTAAAAGCAATTTAATAGGAGCACGAGCAAAGCAAAATAAAGAATTCACTTGTCTTCCCACTGGCTGACAGATGTTTAGCCATAGTCAAAAAAGCAGAGGAGTAACTTGGAATCTTCAGAGCCTTCAGGAATAAACTCAGAAAACTGCTTCAGTGATGTAGCTACTTCTGTGCCATGGAACTGTTCTCTAGGCCAGTGGTTTTAGTTCAGATCCTCTGTACTGAGCCTTCCTGGTGCTGATGAAGGAATTAGATTTTTAAACTTCAACATAATATTGTTTTAGAAAGCCACCAAGTAATAAATGCTTTTTTGAATAGAAAAATACGATCCAAAAGTTTAGTATCTGTCTGATTATTATATTTGGACAATGGATTTTATGCTATGAATATTCAGTGTGATTTTCATGTTCATGTTTTTATTTCAAGCGTATCAGGCCCAAGAAGAAAAATAAAGTTTAATTATTGGCAACTAGTGAATAAATACATCTGAAGAGAATATTGCTCAGTATTGTTAACAAACTCTAGAAGAAAATATTCTTTTTCGCCTGAAAAATAAGACTGAAAATAATCCAAAAAGAAAATCAAAATAACAACTACTTTCCCTTTTTGCAGATATTCAGAGTATCAGAGGTCTTGCAGTGGATTGGATATCACGTAATTTATATTGGATTAGCTCGGAATTTGATGAAACACAAATTAACGTGGCACATTTAGATGGTTCCTTGAAAACCTCAATCATCCATGGAATCGATAAACCTCAGTGTCTTGCAGTTCACCCAGTAAAAGGGTAAGGTATCTGCGGTTTTAATAAATAAACTACAGTAAAACTAGTCAGAAGATTCTTCTTCATTCATATTTTGAGTTTGCCCATTCTGTTTTCTTTCAAACTTAAAATAAAAGCATGCATTTGAAAGATTTTTGCTGAAAATTTCTTACCTGAATGCTGATTCCTTACCAAAGCTGTTGATTAAATCTTGTAATCACTGGTTGTACATTTTGCCTCCTCCTAAACTGATGAATGTTTTCTCTCATGATGCATTAAAAATGCTGTGTACACGAAGCAACATTTTAAATATGTTAATTTTCTTCTTCAGTAAACTCTACTGGACCGACGGTAACACAATTAACATGGCAAACATGGACGGCAGCAACAGCAAAATACTCTTCCAGAATCAAAAAGATCCTGTTGGTAAATACCTATTTTCCTGTTTCTTTTTTGTTTGAGTGATTTACTACGGGCATTATCTTGAACTGCTATTTAAGTGTACCATGATGTTTTTTCATTTAATGTACAACAGTGACAAGAACAGGCATAAAGCCATGAAGAACACTCACGTGATTTTGTGTTTCGCAATTTAAGATATTTTTATCCCATTCTAACTGAAATCTACTGTACTAGTAGTGGATTATTATTAACTCCCAGGACTACAATGGACTGAAGGAGAACCCATCTGTATTTCTCAATCTTTATATCGTGGTCAAAAAAAAAAGTAGAGATCAAGTTTTTAGTAAGTTATGGATATATGTGAGAGGGTGCTTTGACTGCAAATGTAGATTCTTCCTCACCAGAATCTCAGTTGCATGATCAAAAGATAAATTGGCTCTTAACTTTTCACATAGAGAAAAAAGCAGCAGTTAAAGCAGACATTTCCTATAACAACTTAACCCTGGTTTTAGTATTTGATAATTCATACAGTTGATGATAAATGATGGCATTGTTTGGAAAAAAAAAACAAGCTCTCTCTGTGTGCACTTTTTTTTTGTTCAGATCTCTTACTTTAGATAATTTCATTTTTTAGAGAGCTGAAGTGGTTATGCCAATTGCTGATGACTTATTAATGGCCCATCAATAAAGTGATTATATTTTAAAGCGTTTATTTTTTCATAACTGAATACATAAAGCAAGCAGAAGAGAAAATGTTTTAAAGAATTCAATAAATTTGACATAAGAGCGACACAACATGCTTTTAAGACCCTAAATTCTATGAATTTTGTAGAAATTACTTGATGACTGTTTTACTGTTATTTGGATTTGCTGTCTATCCACTTGAAGAGACATTTACCTTTTTATCTGGAGAAAAAAGAGTGGTAAACCCACAAATTTTAGGGTGAAGCATAAGCACATTAAATAATATTGGGGCAATATTAAGAAGTATGGGGAATATGCAGCATTTTGCACTGAATATTCTGTGATCACGGGTCACAAGGTCCTAAATTGCAATCTTTATGGTTTCTCTCACTGGGTTTGTTGAATGGTAGTGAAGCGACTGAACCAAATACAAAGAATGCTTGTTCAAATCCATATTTGGACAAGGGAAAAAGCTTGGTTTTTTCTGTAGCACTGGATTAATTTTTAACACTTTTGAGATCTGATGATAAATATTTTAAATAGATCATATTCTAAGTTGAAGGTTCTTATTACATTAACATGAGATATGATACGTATGTGAAGTGTAGAATATGTAGTTTGTAAAGAGTGTATGTGTGTATATGTGTGTAAAGGGAAAACAAAGCTTGTACCTTTCTCTTGCTGGAAAACTTTTTAATTGGTACCATCTTGGCTCAGTTTTTTTGTCAGGTAGGACGGAGTAATGCAGTTGTATGTCTGATGAGAAATGATCGGTTATACTATAGTTCAAATAAGTATTAAGTGTCCAATAACAAACTCTATATTTGAATATATGTAAAATACCTGTTTCAGTGGTTTAAATTATCCTTACCCTTAATATAAGATATTCCCATGCTAAGAACAAGAAAACACTGCTGAAGAACCTGAGAGCAGCAGTCTTAAAACCTTAATTTAATATTTAATTTTTAAATGACAAACTGTCTTTCTCCATAAGTGAAATTATGGCTCCTGCAGTGCTGATTCTGAGTGTTTCGGGAGCTCACAAGGTAGATGAAAAAGACAAATATCTGACTTATTAGAGTTGGATGTCCTGTTAATTGACTGGGATTTTGTTGTCTTGATACATAATTTGGAATTTGGAGAATGAAGAAGAGTTTTCCTGTCTGTGACCTGAAGTAAGCTGATTAATTTTTTCTGTTTGAGTTCTATGAAAAGAGGAGATGATTTTTCAATTACAGTATTTTGTGTTATCACTAAGAGTGTGTGTAGTTTGGAAAATTTTGGAACTGATACTCTTAGGATGACAGATGGTGTCTTTTATTTTTATATTAACTAGTACATACTAGATATGACTTGCTGGTCCATTCTGCAGCTCTAAAAGGCTCAAATGCTACCAACACACATGTATTGGTTGACAAAGCAACTGAAGTTCCATTAAACTGTATTCTTAGGAATTCAGAATTAATGCTAATTTCATACTTTCTTGGGCAGGTCATTTGGTCACTGGAATTCCCTGAGACCAATATTGCACAGTCCTTATGTTCAGGTGGACTTTAGCAGCTGGGTAATAAGGTTTAAGCCAGTCACCCACAGTAGAATTTATCCTGAGTATCTATGATGCTTATGGCTAAAAAGTCACCTGTTTTCAGTAGCAAAACCAGGACAATTCCTGAAAAAAATCTAAACATGCTTTGCCTACATTAGAAATAGCAAGGGTTGGTAATAGATGGAAAGCGTTTTGGGAAGAATAATGTGGTAGACTTGATAAGAAGGAGTTAGGAATGTTCTTGTTTTGTCATTTGCTTCTGTGTAATTGCAATACCCATGTGGAGGAACACCAGTTTAATATATGAAGTAAAACCTGACAAGATAGGATGGTAATTCCTGGAGTGAAACAGGATGGGCGGAAAATAGACACTGAACATTCCGCCTAATAATGAGGAAGGACTTTACTATGTGGGTGACTGAGCATTGGAACAGGCTGCCCAGAGAGGTGATGGAGTCTCCTTTCCTGGAGATACTCTGCACATAATCCTGAGTAAGCAGCAAGCCTGACAGAGTTCCAGAAGCATTTGGACAATGCTCTCAGGCACGTGATGTGATTCTTGGGGATGGTCCTTTGCAGGGATAAGAGTTGGACTCGATGATCCTTGTGGGTCCCTTCCAACTCAGCATATTCTGTGATTCTGTGTAGCTTGTATTGAGAGCAACTCCATAAAGAGATGTCATCTAGGTGACATCAGTGAGCAACTGACTGGGAGCAGTCGGGAGTTGCAGCGAATAACAAATGCTGTCCATCTGGGAGTAAGGAAAACTTCATCCTTGTGTATTCCCTTTTAACCCATAGGGAAGTTGATCAGTATTCCCAGGAAAATTCCCTGTTCTAGGCCTGTGTACTGCAAGTACTGCTTGTCTCCAAGATCCATGGCACTGTATTTCTACTTTGAGTGATGCTTGTTGTACAAGCACGAAAACGTGTGCGCAGAGATGCTGCAAGGCACAACTCTGAAGCCTTATCCTTTCTTGAGTGTGTTTTGTTTTCTTCTGGGTGATAAAATTGCAGGGGGGAGAGGGTGTCAGTAACTGTAAAGGAACTGGAAAGCTGTTTTTCAGAGGCTCAGAAGGCTGAAACCTTTTGGCCTGTCATGTCAAATCTGCGTAAAGACGTAGTGACATGATGGCAGCTGTAAGTGCTGCAGCACAGGGCACTGCTTCCCTCCTGTCAGGGTTTTCAAAATAGCTTTCCACTTTACAGGATGGAAGAAGACTACAGTACAATATCTAAAGGTTGACCTATGCAGTGAATTACAGTATTTTTTGGCAACTCGCTGCTGGATACATAACATGAATTCTGGGAAAGGTCTGGTACCAAAGCAAATTATTATGGCATATATTGTCACCATGCCAAGAATATTTCACTACAGAAAATCTCCTGCTTCCAGTTCTTGAACATTTTAAAAACATTTTAAAATCATTAGAGAAGTCTGAAATACATCATCTTAGTTCTTTACTCTTACTTCCAGAAAATCATGTTTGTTCATTTAGCAGGTTATTTTGCAAGTATTTTTATTTCTACAGTTCTCTTGCTTCTAAGTCAAAAGAACTGATTATGCTTCTCTATGAAGCAAAATGAAAATTAGTACTGTACATTTATTAAAAATTTGGGTTAGAATTTGGTAGTTCAGCATTCTAAGCAGAGGGCTGTGCATGCAGGGAGAGAAAAGATTTTTTTTTTTTTAAGTTCAGTATCACAAAAAGTAGATTGTTTTCTAATTCTTTATGTATTCATAATTTTAAAATATAAATTATGGTTCCTGTTTTACATTTACTAGTTTTTAATGACCTTGCTTAGGACCTCAGCTTATTCAAGCAATTCTTCATTGCCAGATAATTCTCTTTCATCAGTCAGTTACTGATTTATGTAGATGCTGGGAGAAATACAAGGCACAAATCTTTCTAAAAGTGTGGGTTTTTTCACTATAAATGACCAAGTTTTGTTTTCTCAATTTTTTTTTTAAAGTATGAGTAGAAAATATAACTGTGTGTTGTGTGTATATATATATTTCGTAAATACACTTTTATTATGAAAACAGCTCAATGCTAAATGTGTGTTATCTATTCAAGCCGTAGTTAAAGTTGTATGCATTAATTACAGGCCTGTCAATAGATTATGGGGAGAACAAGCTTTACTGGATCAGTTCAGGAAATGGAACCATAAACAGATGCAATTTGGATGGTGGTAATCTTGAAATAATAGAATCAATGAAAGAAGACTTAACAAAAGCCACAGCTTTAACCATTATGGGTAAGTCCAGTGATAATCACTTTTTTTTTTTAATTATTCAAAGCTATTTAATAATGAAATATAAAAAGCTTACGGAAGATTGTTTTGGTTTCATGTAAATAATACATGCAGTACATTCACTAGCGAGACCGTATTGTCTGTGAAAAAGTTCTTTATATTTGATTGAACAGACAGTTTGCAATCTGTATTGCAAGTATGTGTTTCTAAATGTAGTCTTGCATATATATGTATACACACACAGTATGAAGGTAACAGATTGATGGCTTGTATTTGCCATAGTCACTTATGAAGTGTGTTGGAAGGAGAGGGAGCTCTTTTGTGCTCTTTGTTACTCAGAATTATCCATGACTTGTTTCCTCTGCTGCTCAAATCTTCCTACCTAGTTCAGAACAGCCCTAGTTTGTTGAATTAGCTGGCACTTTGTGAAGATTTCTTTGGGTTCTGAATTAATGATTGATGATTTGGATTTTCAGATATCTGCTAATATTTCATGTATAAAATATGTTGAATAAAATATTCCGTTTGTTATTAATCCTCCATTTGCACATTAGAAGGGTTTAGAATGTTCAAAAACACCTATCAAAAAAAAAAAATCAAAAGAACAGTAGCATAAGGAAAAATTCCTAAAAAATTAACTAGTTACAGGTTGCCGAATATTATAAAAATATTGCTTCAAATTGACTAGTTCTCATACTTGTCTTCAGGTCTTGTCCCTTTCTGTAACTGGGACAAAGTGTGGTAGGAAATTCCAGTCTGACTCAGAATTAATATTTCTGTTATTCCGGAGATAACTTTAGAGCTTTCTATATTTCCCCAAAATGCTTTGTTGACCCTTATTTTCTGGTTCAAAAATTATTTATATTTGTCTTGGATGTTCAAAAAAAAAAAAAGTTCAGTTGATAAGCAAACCTGTAAGTTGGGATAGATGTCTCATCAACTGCCAGAATCTTTTTATGAAGTGTTTTATTTGATTGATTAATTATATAATAACTGTGTACTTATAGATGGTGTGTTAGTGAAATTTATGCTAAATAAAATCTGAAGACTTTTATGCACATGGTGTAAATTACATCATAGTGTAAAATGGTAATTGCTAAATTAGATTTATTATACACACATTTGACCAGTATTGAACTTCAACTGCTGTCAGTGTCTCTTGGAGAGGGGATACTTTTATACCTGCATTCATAAACACAAGCAAGGTTGGTGTCAGGAGTCACAAATGTTAATATATACAAATTGTCTTTCATTGATTGGATTGTGGCTGGAAATGGATTGAATAAATGACCTTTACTCTGGGGGGCTGTTGGAAGTCTTTAATAGGAGATGTAAAGAGTGTTTGTTCATCCTGTCACTGAGATGTCTGTGGGTATCAAGTCTTCATCTCTGATTCACAGAACCTACAACAGTGATGATGCATTTGGGGTCTGGAACAACGAGATTATAGCAATCATGTAAAGAAGAGTGTTTTGTGATTGTTTGCACAGAAGTAGTTGAATTTTTGCAGGTGTGGAGATGGAAAATTTTCTGCTGTGTAGTTTTTACATATCTGTACCCCTACTATTCGTAGTTTGGATGCTTTGTTTTTATGGGTAATGACAATTCTTCCTACTCAAAAATGGTAAAAAAAACTTTTGCTTTTGGGTTTTGTCTTTGTTTTGGAGACATAGGTGTGCCAAACTGCAGCATGACATTGCAATATGATTCCACACATAAATCTACTGGAAAAAAGGGAAGACAAATACAGTTTTATCAACAGTACTGTATGTGCTGATTGAAAAACATGAAAAGTTTCTGTGTTCATCTGTCTCACATGTTTTCATATTGTAGAAAACACTGTGGCAACGTAAATGCCATTTATTTTCCTGAAGTGCTGGTGGCTTTACATATATTTCTCATAGGCAGCTTCTGTGCATGTAAAATGGATCAGAACAGAAAATTCATTGCTATATGAAGCAAGTTAACAGATCTGTAATGGATAAATGGTCATAACTAGTAATGTATAAATAAAGAAGAATGACTAATTTGTTCTAATGTAAGATTTAACACGATAGTGTGTGAAAATTTAGTACCCCTGCTGATCTCTTTGCCTACAAGTTTAATAGGAGGTTGCAGCAGGTAAATCACAGTAATTGCAATGTTTATTGCATCATTTTTGCTCCATTTCCTAAATTTTCTTGACTACTTTTACAGTAAACACAACTAAACAACATGAATGGAATGAATATTTCTTCTCTGTGAATATACTAAGCTAACTTTTTTTTTACTATTTGAACTCATCAGTGACTGAAAAGAAAACAGATACAATACCTGTGCCCAAATTTTGTAGAATTTAGGTTCCACTCATTGCCAGAGAGTCCTGTAGTCTTCTACTGTCTTTTCCATTTTTCTGTCTTTTGCATTTATTGTCTCCCCAGCTAAAAGCAATATTTTGTACAGCTTATGTTTTTTGTTTCTTTATTTTGGTGTATGATCTTATCATATTGTTGGGTTGTGGTTCCACGGGGGCAGAAAGAGAAAGTACAGTTCAGTATTTTAAGACTCCCTTTGTAAAGTTTGTCACCAGGTCAGTTGATGATCATCAGAATCTTTGTTGGACTAAAGAGTTAAATCAAGAAAATGGTGGAGCGAACCTCGGTGGTTTTAGGGGATGGGTAGTGTGATCTGAAATTTGTCAGAAGAATTTTTGGAAAAATTGTTGAATTTCTGATAAATTTACCATACCAGTGATCTCTTCAAGCACCTCAGTTATTGCTTCTGCAAACTTTTTAAGTGTTTGTGAAGCATCTTCCCCAGCCATCAGTGTCCTTGTCAGAAAGCACAAGCTCCCAGAGGCACCCAAGGAGAATCCTACAGTCTGTGTCAAAAGCTAGTGCCTTCTGTTCATTGTCTGGACAGACTTTTGCACAAAGAACTAACAGATCTTCTGCCAGTCTCCAGTGGGTTTTACTGTATCTTTAGTTTACGTTCCAGAAGATTTTTCAGAACTATGCCTTGGTAATTTCTGTGCTGTTCTGGTATCTTGAGTTTCTTGATCTTAGATTCTGTTAATTTCAAAATGGGACAGGAAGGGAGAAGCAGGCACTCTGTGGTTGTGTTCTGTGGCATGAACTCAATAGATACTGCAGCTGAGTCTGTACAGTTTTGGTTTGCTTTTTAATATAACTTATGGAGCAGTTCAGAGCTTCACCAGGCAACGATGATTCTCCTTTAGTTCTACCCCTCAATCTCCTCATCGTTTTTATTGTTTTCAATTCCTCTGGTTTAGTGTTGCAGTTTAGCTGTTGTAAACCATTTGGAAGTTACCACTACTCTTTCAGATGTTTGCTGTTGTTTAGTCCTTTCCAGGCTCTGTTTAACATTTTCCTGCTATTATATTCTTTAGTGGGAGCTTATAGAAGTAATGGTAAGACATGAAAAAATAATGTTAGCAAACAAGCTGGTGCCAAAGTAACTGTCAGGTTTATCCTTAAGGGAAATGGAAGCAGGATATATAATTCACATCCTTATGCATTTTGGTTCTTTCTTTTATTGGTTTTCTACTCAGTAGTGTCAGTCATCTTTCTTTTTTCCATATGCTGAGCAAAATTCCTAGTCTTTTGGTGCCTGCTTTTGCTACATGGTTTTGAGCATGATATAGATGGGAAATTACATTCTACTTGAAAGTAAAGCATTTGAATATATACAGAATTACCATTCTTCCATGCACTTAATCATACAAAAAATGCTTTTGCTGTTGCCATTCTGTATTACAAAGCAGTTGTTGTAAATCCATGAAGCCATATTTGCTTTCCTGCTCTTCCCACTTTTTCTTCAAATACGCATTCACTGTGTGAAGTGTCAATGCATGCAACATCAGGCATTTTTAGTCAATCTATCATTAAAAAACACATGTGAACGCTTTGTCTAGTACCTCCCACTGTTTAATGTCTTGCATTTGGTCAGTGGTAATTTTCTTCTGCTACTATGTTAGCTTTCCATTTTATTTTCTTCAAAAAACTCTGAAGTTTATTCTGGTCTTTTAGAAGCTTGTCTGATTCACAGCACCCTGTACCCTGTATCGTTTCCGACACCTGCTGCTGACACCATTTACAAGTTGATATTAAATATATCTACTGCTTTGAAATTCAAGATGTTCCATGTGAGAGAATCTCTGATTTTCTTATACAGTAGAGCAAAGCTCTTTTCAACAATACGAAAATGCTTCCTAAACTTGTCTTAAGGTTTGAGTTTAATATATCATTCAGGAAATGGTTTTAGCAATTTTTCTGGAAGCAAACGTCTTGAGCGTGATCGAATTATAAAGATGTATTTGGCATTCTGCATGGAGTCTCTTCTCCTGCCCTCCAAGTTACTCAATGAAAATGGTTCCTGGACTGTAACTGAAACTGGTTGGAAATTTACCTTTGTGATGAGAACTGTGTTTCTGGGTTGGTGAGCAGAGTCATTATATTACAGGATTTGAATTGCAAAGGAACTCGCAGCAATGTCTGATGTGTTTCCAAACTGGTGTGTTCTTTCTTGAATGGTATATGGCTATGAATCATAAACTGAACATTGCTAGAAAAATATTGATTAGGTACTGTAAGTTTTTAGCTGAGAAGAAACAGATGTTGAAGACTTCTGTCAGCAGTTTTGGTGAAGGCATTTGATTGGATTTTGTATCAGGTCCTCACAGAAGTTCAATTTACATAAACCCACAAAATTCAGCTCATATCTCAACAAAATAGGAATATGATGTAGATTGTGTAGACTGTATAATGAGGATATAATTTGTTGTGAATTGGTTGAGGTTTTTAGTACGAAATAGAATAACTTCACGTAGTGAATGATTTTATGTGTAAGTGCTATTTCTGTTAAAATTCATGTATAAACAATTCCATCAGCAATACAACAAAATCAGATGTACATAATGGCTTTTCAATGGGTGTTCAGGTATTAGAACAATGCCTTTTGAACACAAACTGTATATAATATAACCATCAAGGTGTATTATCAAGCAATCAAAACAGAAAGTAACAATTACAGTATTTCATTTTAGACAGAAAATGTGGGTTCATATTGCCAAAATATATTCATGCTGACATTTACTTTTGTCATGTAGTTAGCTGATACATTGGTTGTTTGACTTCTGTTTTATCTTAAATAATGTTTCAAAAACAATACCAGAAAGCTTTTGCAGTAACTCAAAGGGTGGGAGCTGTGACTTTGCTGGATGTAATTGCAAAGTGAAAGGGGCTGCTTAGATCAGGAAACTTCAAATACACACACCTTAATTTTCCAAGTCATCAGTCATCTAATTGCCATAACACCATTCATTACATTACCATTAATATGTGAAATATATCTAGGCAATTTGCCCAGTTTTAAGTGCAGTACATAGTTGTCTTCCATAAATACTCAAACCACCATTAATGAAAACTAATGGCCCATCAAAATTTGCATTCACAGTACTGTTTGAAATCTCCAAAGGACTGTCCACAGTGCTGGTGTAGCAATTTTTGGCATTTGAAATTGCTGTTTCCCAATATGTTGCTGTACTTAATGCTAATTAACCAACAGAATGGATAAATACAATGATTTTAATATATATTATAACTCAGTTTCAGCAACAGAATTGTAATTAGTGATCAAACAACACTCTTATTAGCATAATCAAGCAAATAAATGATATTTAAAGGTTCAAAATAGTGTTGTTTCTTCCCTAGTTTGTAAAGCAAGTTGTCTTTATGCTAAAGTCAAATGTTTTTTTTTATTATCTACGATATTTTAAAATTAATGTAGAAATTCATACCAGAAATCATAGATGAGTTATCTACTGACAGAATGTATCAATAATGGAGAGAGAAACCCAAATTTTGCTTAGAATTATTGTCAAAAATCTCTGTGTAACATGTTAGGGTCTTTTTGGTATGAGACTGTTGTGTATGTTGGCCACCCAGCAGTTTCTGAAAAACTAGAAGATGTATTTTTTTAGGTCTTAGGCATAACTGGCCAGTCTTTTGGCAGATAGTCATAAGAGATTTGGCCTCAAGGTGTCTGTACTTCAGAATTTATGGGTTATTTTTTTGTGGTTTTAGCGTTTTTTTGGTTGATTTGGTTCTTTTAGTTTAGTATTTTCTTTGGTTTTGTGATAGTTTTTACTTTTTTGGGGTTTTTTGTGGGTTTTTTTTGTGGGGTTTTTTGTTTGGTTTTTTTTTGGGGGGGGTTGTGGTCCTTTTTTTTTTTTCTTTTCAGTGTACCTAACATGTCAGGATTTGCATGAGCTTTCTCATTTAACTCCCCTCCTCTGTCCTTGAGGATTAGTAAAGAGTTTATTCAGTGCTGTTTCTTCTGTCATGAAAGGAGAACAACTCTATGATGTGAAATGTCTGACAACATTGATGGAAATTGTTTAGATTCTATTAACTGTGCATGAAAGCAGATGTGTTCTCATTGAGTAGCTCAGTAAACAACAGAGGAATCTGGTGGAACATTCAGCTGCTCATGTAGAAATGGTTTTGGCTCTGTACCAACACCAAAAGGAAGAAATTAAACTATTTGTGGTGTACATAAGTATTGGTTATTGAACTTCTTGAATAAGCACATGCCATGCTTTCATCTCTTGGTAAAATAATACACCAAGTTGGTTATTTGGGGGTTTTGTTTCTTTCCTTTTCCAAAGGAGCCAGACAAGTCAGCCAATGTCAGATTTTGGGAGGCTATTTAAACCATGGTCAAAGTTGGGGGTTTGCACAAAATATTAAAGAAATACCCAAATGAGTTTAATCACTTCTTTCAAGTGCCCGAAAGAGTTTAATCCCTTCTTCGAAATAAATTATGAAAGCACCAAAATTCTGTGATTTGCTTCCTTTCTGTACTAAACTCTTGCAAAAGAATATGTATGGATATGTAAAATAATAGGCTCTAGTTACTGTGCACAAGACTGCAGCCATTACCAAAATTATTTAATGGGCTGTTCTGATTCATGGTCAAATAGAGGTTGTGAAGAATGAAAACTCTTCTTCATATACAAATATTTAATTTAAAAAGTCTAAACTTTTAGGATTGTAGGTTATCATCTCACAGAAAAAAAAAAGAAAGAAAAAAAAGGAAAAAGTCCAATTTTCATTATTTCATATATGGGCTATAGCAAATAGTCATTTTTCTAATCTTATCTTACCTGTACCTTTTTGTTATAATTGACACCATAAAAATTGAACAAAGGAACTTTTTGTTCTAAGGAGTTTCTGCTAAAACAATCATCAGATGCAATCTACTATTAATTGATTGATATCACATGGTGATGTTTTGACTCAGTCAATTCTAGTAACGTAGGGGGACAGATTTTCTTTAAATTTTGCCCAAATTTAAATTGAGAGTTCCGTTTCTGTCTCCAAATCTTAATATTTTCATTCTGTAGATTGTGGTCTTGTCATATACCTGTGAAGAGTTTACTCTTCTTTGTCCTTGATATTTTCAAGAGGTTTTCTTTTCTGCTGTAACTTTTTAGAGTTATTGCAGTGGAAATTATTTTTTAGACCTGCAGTTTCTGTCATGAAACACTCAACTGTGTGACCCTATAAATTAGTTATTGAAATATTAAAACTGCAGCATAGGCAAATAATTCATTTAACTTAAAATAAAATGAACTAAAAGTGAATTAATGAACAATATTTGTTGGGAACACAGTGTTCCTGGAGGTTAAAAGTTTTCAGTCTAGAGTTTTACTTTTGGTTCATCTTCTGTAATAACTTTTTCTGTCTGAAATGAAAACGCTGATGATGTTTAACTTGCAATTATACAGACTTGCCACATTTAATTATTTCATTTAGATGTTCAAAAGATATGTAGTTATTTTAAGGAAAAAAGTAATATTCATACTTTTTGTGCAGGACATAGCTCTGAGATTGTATCTCACAGTAGTTAATGTTTATAATGTAGTCATGAGTGAAATGTTAATTTACTGCAGAGCAGTATTTTGTTAGTAACCCAAGCAAGTGTCCTGTTCATGTACTGCCATCACATTGTTCCAGTTTAAAAATACATGTAACAAACCCAAGATAGAGTTGAAATCAAATTGCTTCTATAATTTCTTTTCCTTTTTCTGTTTTCCTAAATGTAGTTAAATTTAATATACACACAAGAATTATGTCGTGTTGCCCTTGAGACTATTGGTCAAACTGGTCCGAGGTAATACGGTGTTAAAATGTTACCTAGTTCAGTTTATTTAAAACAGTTACTTTTCCAAAAGGCTGAGAGCAGAAGGGAGCTGCTTGCATTCAGTTTTATACCACTATATTAACTCAGAGAATATAATAGAGATGGGCCAATGAAACCTTGTTTCTTCATTGTGATTTCCTAGAAGGATAGTGCTAGAGTGAAGTTTTATTTGACTGATTACATTTTATTAGAAAAATAGCTTAATTTTCTTTAGTATGAGAATATGGAAAAATATAGGTAGTGGATCCTCAGAAGTATTATTTTAAATTCATGACATAAAAATTGATTACTTCTTTTATGAATTGGGAAACTGTAGAGTGTTATCCAGTCACTGAGGAGACTTGACTAAGCCAAGAGAAGCTGATAACCCACAATGAGTTGGAAGGAGGTCATTGTAGTGTCTAAATCTTGTGAAGAGAGTAAGGACTCGGGTGGAGTTTTCTGGCGTTCAAAGAAAATGAGAAACAGACACTGTGAAACTTGTTATGGGATGTGAAATAGAATCATTAATGTTGGAAAAGACCTTTAAGGTCGTCGAGTCAGACCATTAACCCAGCACTGCCACGTCCACCACTAAACCCTGGCCCCAAGCATCACATCTCCTTCTCAAGCTGGAAGGCCAAGATCATCTCATCAAACACCTGTGTGGGCCCTACAAGTGAGGACTCACGTGACAAGGACAGTCAGAGTTTCGCTGAAGTTTGAGTTTGATATCAAAGCTCTGAAAGATTTAATTCTGAATCATTGGGAGGCAGAGACTGATATGATTTTTTTCATGATTTCTTAGTTACTGATTGTAATTTGTTTTTAATGAAAAATGTGTTTGAGCATTACAAGCAATTTTGTTTGCTTGTGAAAATGAATTTCTTCCTTAAAGTTTTCTAGAATTTCAATATATATATATATGGAAAATGAGGCATTTTAATTTAGGATTTTCTATATCAGTAGACTTAAATCAGCAGTTGTCACAGCAAAAGTGGAACTGGTGAGGGCTGTTTTCATGTTTGCAGAATCTTAATAACACGCAACCTTCAGATTCTCTCTATAACCTCTTTAAGCAATTTTCCTTAAAATTGATCTGATAATTAACCTGAAAAGCTTTTTCCCACCTTAGATTTCAGCCACATGTAATTTGATAGTGACCCTTTTGATTTCTAAAACTTGAAAATTTTACAGATAAAAAGCTTTGGTGGGCAGACCAGAACTTAGCTCAGATTGGAACCTGCAATAAAAAGGATGGAAGAAACCCAACTGTCCTGAGAAACAAAACTTCAGGTGTTGTACATATGAAAGTGTATGATAAAGCAGCACAACAAGGTAGGTTACATTTGAAATATGTTTAACCAACCTTTAAAGTGCACAGTATCTTTTCTCATGTTATACTCCAAATGTATCTAGAAGAAAATAATACTTATTTCATTACAATTCAGTGATAAAATATAGTGTATTGGTAAAAAATACTTTGTATTAGAATAAATTATTGAATTTAATAAGGATAATTGAATTAAAATATCTGCCTGATGTATTTTAACTTATCAGATGTTCACACTATAGTGAAGTTTAAAGTTCTTTTCGAGAGTTTTATATTTTTAGTCACAAAAAAGGCTTAGCATGTGTACCTCATCTCAAATTATTGAAATTTTTAGAGAAGTATTATGAGATAATTAATTAATATTCTTCATTATCCGTTTTGAAACATGGTTTAATTCATCTAAGTTGACAGAAGTGGCAGTAATATAAATCAGAAGTGAGACAGCATAAAAAGGGGGGGATATTGCTGAAACTTAGTTGGCAAAATGGAAGCTAAGATAATATAAACCAGTGTAATTTGGGGTTATGCACACAGTTTTATGAACTTGGAGATTGGTGATGAAAACATTTGGAAGTTACTTTAGAAGGAGCTTATTTCTGATTCCAGTTACTAAAAGTGATGAGGGTGGAATCTATGAAACGAATTATTTCATTTTATTGTGGACTCCCCATCCATGGAGGTGTTCAAGGACAGGTCGGACAGGGCTCTGAGCAGCCTGGTCTAGTGGAAGGTGTCCAGATCCATGTCAGGAGAACTGGGAGGAGATGAGCTTTAAGGTCCATTCAGACCCAAACCATTCTGGGATTCTGTGATTTTGTGAAGACGCTTCCAGAAGAACACAGGATAGTTTCTGCAATAAGTAGTCTATAAATGGAACACATTCTGTTCCATACTGAGCACTTCTGGGAATGTTTGCCCTTTTACCTAATCTGGGAAACACAAATAGTGCTTTGCCAGCCTGACTCTTAGTTTTAAGTGTGGTGGAACAATAAGTAATACAAATTTAGGCATTCAGTAATGTTTCTGACATTTAAAAATGCTTTACATCCAACTATGGAGACACACAGACAGCTCACAAGTGCCCAAACATTATCACTGCTGGATGTCTTCTGCATGGAAGAAAACTTCCATGTTTTAGGTGAAGAAATGCTTTTACTTCAAAATTAGGAATGCAAAAATAAATGTAACAAGTAGCTCTCTGATTCTTATGGGCTTGGTAACTTGTAATCAACTAATTACTTGAATATCTTAGTGGATTTCAATGTTTTTTCATGACTTCAAATTTCTGAGATGTGTTTAGTGTGTTGTGTATTATGTTTGTTATATATCTTATTTAAATCTTATTTAAAAATGGTCATCTATTACTTAAAAGTAGTAGGAGCATGGATTTTTAAGATCACTTCATAATATATCTTAAATATACTTAAAAAATGCTGGTTCATGAAGATGAGTTTAATATAACATTTGATGAATGAATAAGGTATGATCAGTGATTTGCTCATGGTCTAAAATAAGATATGCTTTCTAGACTAATGTCAATGAGATTTCATCATTGCCAGTCCAAACTTAATGTAATATTTTCAGGTTTTTCTCAGGCTTTTACTTTAAAATAGGCTGGTTTTTTAGAAAACTGAGTTATTTATAATCTGAAGGAAAATGTGTGGATAAAATGCTGCAGAAGGAAGCGTGGAAGGGTATATGAATATATGAAATATTTTATGCATATCTCGATTTTTTGAAGAAGTTAGCTGAATAAAATTTGGGTTTGGTAATATTAATATATCAATTTTGGTCAGGACTGCACTGTTCAAGTTTTGCTTCCTCTTATGTCTTCTCCCATCACATTACAGGCAGCAATTCCTGTCAGTTAAACAATGGTGGATGTTCCCAGCTTTGCCTACCAACATCAGAAACCACCAGGACTTGTGTGTGTACAGTGGGCTACAACCTTCAAAAAAACCGCATGGCTTGCAAAGGTGAAGTGCCTTCAGTATTTCTTTTAACTGATTTAAGTTTTATGGGAACATTGTAATGAGTAAATATACTTAATTTATTCATTTCAAGTTAAATAACTATACTTAATATGCCTGATTGAAGCAGTAACAGATGAATGTCTCTTGTGGTGAGGACAGAATAAAATTTAGCTTTTAGTTTCATTATTCAGTACTGCATAGATTTTTGTGGATACTCAGATCATTTGAGCCTTTATTAATGGCACTAAATATTTGTTCAAGGTCATATACCTTATCTTTAAACTAAATTACAGGTTACAGTATCTGAATTGTTGGGTGTCTCATTGTATTGCTCTTAATATAAAGTAAAGCCTGATTTTTTAAAGTATTTTTTTAATTAAACTTTGGTCCACTTGAGCTGGCAAAAAATCAGAACATAGCTTACAGACAAAGCCTTACTTTGTTCCTGTAGAATACAAAACAACCTCATGGTCAAGGTGCCTTATAGTTTTATGAAGAGAATATTATTTGCTCCTGTTTATTAGGACTAAATAACTTCTGAGAACTGCTGCATAACAAGACCTCTACACAGTAGCATTTATTCCTGCCTAATAGAAATAGGTGCATATGGAGTGTGATTAATCTAACATGAAAGTAGACATTTAAAAGACATCAAGTGCACTGGTCACTAAAATGATGTCTTTCTCTCTTGTCTGTAAAGGAAGTGTGCATGACTGAAGGAGGGGAGCTGAATTGCATGCCTTAAAAATAATTTACAGTCCTGCTTTCCACAAGTCTTTTAAATTGTCTCTTGCTGAATATGTTCAGAAAGTATAGATAGACACTGAAAATATTCTTAAATGTCATTATAATTAGAAAACATTTTTAAGTTTTAATTTTCATTACTGCTAATTACCTGATTATAAGGTGGTATTCAAAATGGACAGTGATTCCTTTCTCTTTATAAGACAGTATTTATCATTTAATTAGAAATACACCATAATAACTCATGGATGTTTGTTTCAAAGAGATGGAGTTATCTATTTGGAAAACAATGGAGCAGTATTGGAAAACTATGTCTAGTGCATGTTAGCTCCTCAAATCTTGCTAATTGGGAAAGTCTTTACTTTGCTCTCATTGGCTGCTTTATCTTTCCCATAGGTATCGAATCATTTCTCATGTATTCTGTTCATGAAGGAATAAGAGGAATTCCTCTTGATCCAAATGATAAAATGGATGCTTTAATGCCTATATCTGGGACTTCATTTGCTGTGGGCATAGACTTCCATGCAGGTAAATACTATGTGCAATTTGTTGTATGGATGGTAAAAATTGTATATTGTTCTCATGAATGAAATAACCCTTTGTTTTCAAACCTTCCAAGTAATTGCAACTGCATTTAAAGGAATTGGAAGTTCATTATGTTACAGTGTTAACCAAAGAGATTTTACATTTTGCACTAAATACAAAATCATGTATTATGCATATGTAGCTTGTTTTGGCAGCACTAGCTGCTGTTTTTCAGTGGAGTCATCACCGAGAACTCGTGTAGGAGACTGGTGGGTTTGCAGAAAGTGATCATCAGTCTGTAGGAATGCAGGTTTCATTAGTTCTTTTTTCACAGAGAAAGGCTTGTTCCTGTTATGACACTTTTTCCATGGAATTTTCTTTATCCTGTGTGTTGTACCCAGCAGGTGACTTTGACAGCTGAGTTGAAATAGTTTGCTTCCTGTCCAGCACAGCTCAACCACTTCCCTGCAGGGTACAAGCCAACTCTGTATCTGTTTCTTCATTCTAGAAACAGGTGCTCTGACAGCCTGAAGAACAGGCATTTCTGCCATTCCACCCACATGAGGATTTTACTGGGGATTTTACATCTTGTAGTTTTTGGGTTGGAATTTTCTTTTAGCATAGTCTACTTATATGATATGCTATCCTACTTTAAAGAGTTTTGTTTGGGCTTCACTAATCAATATCAAACTAATATTTTGGAAGAATAGGGGGTTTGGCTTTTGGGAAAAACAAGATTTGAGGAAGGATGAAGTTGAGTGAGGTTCTCCAACCTGCCTGATGATCAGTTACAGCACAGGGAACATGAACACACTTGACAGTGACAAATGCATTGGGAAACATGGATGGTAAATAGTGTGCAGCAGTGAAATCACAAGAGGATAAAAAGTTACAATACAGTTTTCAGCTGCATTTCAGCTTAAAACCCAATTCTTCTTCTCATTTTGATATATTTTGATATATTACCTTGAATTTTGTAAATTCATTCCTAAAACCTCAAATATGATTCAGAATGCAAGTGGAGGTACTTTCAGATTTCATCCTGAGGTTGAGTTTTTTTTTTTCCACTTAGTGAATGTTTCTTCATTTCTTTCTTACTCAGGAAGCATTCCCAAATTTTGATCTACTCTCAGTAATGTTTAGATATGCAAAGAGGCTAAAATAGATTAACATATGCAAGTAGTATAACATATCATAATTAAAAGGCTTATGGCAACGTTTTTTGCAAACATGAATGAGCTAGAAGATACATGCACCTTTTTTCTCCCTGTGTTTTGATACTTCTAAATTCTAATTAAAGAACTAAGAGTCATTTTGACCTTTGGACTTTTTAGGCTATTGAGGAGTAAGGTTGCCAGTGTTTTTTAAGACACAGGTTTATAAAACTGAGTGTGATCCTAGTAGCCCTTCACTTCTGTGTTGTTAAAGATCATAGCACTGATTCTTCCCTGCTGCTGAAGACTTTTTCACAGTATGTCAGGCAAATGCTCGTTGTTTCTTCCTGTTGATGTTGTTCCAGGAAGCTCAACATAGAAACGTAAAAATACTTCACTAATAGATGTGCATTTGTTGAAATAATTATTTCACATACTGGGAGGGTACTCTGTACTTCAAAACTTGGTCTGGTTGGAGGAGAAATATTGCTGAAATATTGCTGGATATTGCTGAATATTCAGCAATATTCAAACAATAGTTTGTATGTTGAGTTTTGGGTTACACAATTTTATTGGCAAAACACCAATGATTAAATGAAATTAATTTTCAGTGTTTGCTGAAAAGCATAAATTAAGAAAACAACACTACAATGTTGTGCTATATCCGTTAAGATTTAGTAATGGAAGTGAAACCACAGATCTCCGTGTTCTTGTAACAGTTTCAAAGCTGTTATGTGGATCCTTGCTCGCCTGACTGACTTAAATAGTCATGGTCTGAATACAAAGGGGCTTATTTTTGTGGAGATGAATTAAAATGGAATAAGAAATACATAAAATTCAATTGTAGGGTGTCTTATCTAGTTGATAAACATAATAGTTTTGGCGGGTTTTTTTATTAACTATGTGTTTTCAGATAAGACGTTGTAATTCTATATCTTGTGTTGCACTGCAGGGAACTTTGCATGCAACCATAGATCTGTATCTTATTGTTGAATATATATGCAGCTAGTTTTAAGATGTATGTAATTTTCATACTCACTTGAAATAAGCAGCAAAATACATGACTCCCATATTTGTTTGGGCTGCTTGAAGTCAGAATTTGTCATTTGTTTTATTGGTAGTGTGACTAAAATTCTTGAGGATACCAGTCTGGTTTGGTGTCAAATAAATCTAGTTATTTGAGTAAGTTTTATTTTTCTCTTCTCTAACTCTGTCTCTATCTATCTATCTATCTATCTATATATCTATCTATCTATCTATATCTGTATATATACATATTTACACATACATTCACATATGTACATGGGTGTATATATAGGATTAGTAGATATAAAATATTTTATAATTATTTAATAGTAGACATAAAATATTTATATGTATAGATATAAGTAATACTTCTATAAATATACTCACACTCTTTTAGGGAATTAAAAACAGATATACAAAATATGAAAAAATAAAGAAAATACAGCATATTTATTGTGATTTTTAGCAGAGGTAGTAGCTTCCATCTGTTTTCATGGCCCTAATTGTGCTATAAAAGTAGTACTAAACAAACAGTAGAAAACCTGGAATTTTGACAGAATTTTTAAAATAAAATTTAAGAAAAGGAATGAGAAATTAAAGCTGATAGTTTTGATACCATTATTCTGCTTACTCTGAATCATATTAATAAAGTTATAATTAGCAGTTTTCACAGTAACTGATGTCAATATTTGGTCTGAAGTACCTGAATTAATCTAAGAATCATTGCCACGTATTTTATAGGAAATGATACAATCTATTGGACAGACATGGGTTTCAACAAAATTAGCAGGTCTAAGCGAGACCAAACATGGAAGGAAGACATTGTTACAAATGGTTTGGGAAGAGTTGAAGGCATTGCAGTGGACTGGATAGCAGGTAGGTCTGAACCTGCTTCAGGACATGTCATTATTTCCAACAATACGCCCTTGCATCTTCAGCTCAAGACTAATTAAATTGGTTTTGCTTTTAGTTCTAATTTCTAGTATTGCACATGTCTGGGCATTATTTATGTATCTTGGATGCTGCTTCTTAGATGGACAGTTTCAATGGTGACAACAACAAATACAAGTTTATACTCTACAATGGAAGGCTGAATAAGACTGTAAATTACAAGTATAAGATACATGTAAATGAAAATACAGGAGTTAGTTTCTGGTCCTGAATTACACTTTTCATATAGTCTGTTCTTCCTGCGGTAACTTCCTTGTGCTCTTCCCAGGTAACATATATTGGACGGATCATGGCTTCAACTTAATTGAAGTTGCCAGGCTCAACGGCTCCTTCCGATATGTGGTTATATCCCAGGGCTTGGACCAGCCGAGATCTATCGCAGTACACCCAGAAAAAGGGTAACATGACCATGGCTACCTGTATTTCCTTTAAAGTTTGCATGCCAGCATTGAACCTTTTAGATAAGCAAATGGATGCCTTTGATCTAACAGATAAATATTTATTAAAACCCATCCGATTGTATTGGAAACTGTTGTATTGTAAATAAGCACAGGTGGAAGGAAGTGTTACTCTTGAGACACGAAGACTTTTTTCATTATTCTCTGTATTCATGACATACTGCAATTTCTTTGCAAAATAGTTTTGATTTTCCAAGGAAATCATTTCACCTGAAGTTTGGATGTTGCTTGGAAGCATGCTTAAATCTGTTCTGAAGTTTTCAGCAAATCCAAGGAAGCCACATGAGCTTATGAAGGACCTCAATGTCATGATGAAATAGCGGAACAGTGTAAGCCTTGGTAGCTGTAAACTCCAGTATCATGTAACATCCCATTACAGCAACAGAGAGATTGCCCAGGGTAGCTGAAAGTCATGTGAGATGAAGCATGTGGGTAGGAGAGTAAGAACTGGCAAAACTGAACTGCTTGGCAAAAACTCATCCAGCTGATTGTTGAGGGCAGAGACTGCACTGCAGCATTGATAGAAACAGGGAATGTACTGTTCCCTTCCAGCTCCAAAACTGCCCAAACTCCCTGTCCCTGGAGTTGTTAAAGGCCAGGCTGGATGGGGGGCTGAATAACCTGGTCTAGTGGAAGGTGTCCCTGCCCATGGCAGGGGGGTTGTTTATAATCCTTAAGAAGGAGAAAAGGACCACAGATTAGTAACTGTTTTACAAGTCTGGTGCATCTTCTGTGAAAGAGGGTAAGCTTCATCTATTTTATAATAGTGTGCCACAAAATGATAACTAGGGATATCTCCAGTCAAAGTTTCTTCAGGAGAAGGATAGCACTGTTTTCTAGGGAAGTACAGGTATGCCTTTCTTTGGGAAGATTAAGGCCTTTGGCCTTTTTACTCTTTGCATTATTGTCATGTCTCTTTCCCTTTATGAGGCAAAACTTTCAAAGGTATTCTTCCCTCCCCTTGCCCTGACTTCACATTCTGCATTTCTCTTGAAGCTAGAGTTGACAGCTAAAAGAATAGAGAGGAAAATAGTAGTTATTAAAACTCGTTGAATCTGCCAGTTATACCAAGATATGAAGCAGACAGCATTCAGCTGGTTGGTGACATTATTTATTGTCACTGAGGAAGAAGTGAAGAAGGTGTAGCCCTACAAAAGGGTGTCTTTGTCCTTCATCAGGTTTATTTATTCATATAACATGCACATGCCTGACTTTTTCCTAATTTAATAATAGTTTTCTGATCAAGCTCAGAATTGAGATTGAAATAGGGAATTAAGCTCATAGTGAAACTTTTAAGATGCCTCCTTTAACAAACATTTAGAGAATTTCATTTGTGTTTAGGGCTTGGGGTTGGGGGTGGGAGGAGCTTAAACTGACTGAATTTTTTCCAAAGAAGATTTTTTTGAAGATTCTATTCCAGCATCAAATTTCCACCCCTTGCATCTCCATGTCAGCTGTGTAATTTATATGAGGGACAGTTCTGAAATAAATTGAGTCATAGTTATTCTATAATCACAGTATATACATCAATTATATCCATAGCATATTGCTGCCTACAGAGGTCTATGAAACAAGTATTTTAGTTGGTACTTCCCAGAACTTTTGAGAAGATGTGGGAAGTTTTTCAATACTAGTTAATGGTTTGTGTAAGTCGATGTATTAATATATTTATAATCATTAATGCTCTAAGGGAGTAATTAATAACTTGCCTTATATTTTTGGCAGCTATTCAGGATTTTCTTCGCAGGATTTTAGATTTAACCCACTAATTATGGGGTATCATTTTTTTTTCTCCTTAGAGTAACTAGTTTAAGGAAAGAGTATGGAAAGTTTAATTCAAGTGTGTTGAATGTCTACCTTTCTGTATTCAAGATTTAGTTCATGTCCATGTATTTAGAAAGTACCTCTAGTTAGATGCCTGAAAGCAAGTTGAGTTCTGTTTAGAGGTGCTGTTACTAATCTATTTAAAGTTGTATTAAACTTAAGCAGTGATTGTTGATATCTCGCTGGTTAGTACTGTCTATTTTACCATTTCTCAAACATGTTTTTAATTTAGCTAAAGTTGCAGTTCAATTTCCTAAGGTAGTATAAGTTTTGTAGTTAGTATAAATATTATTGTTTGTTCTACCAAGAAGTATGAGAACAGATTCATTTGTTTCAGAGCCAGAAAGCCCTACAGTGAGAGCGAAAGTAAGATGAACAATGTTTCAGAAGCTAAATTTGATAAGAAAATTATAAGATCCATATTTTTTCTCCCTTATCACATTTTTATTCCTGATTATTTCACATATTTACAGTCATCCAGTCAAATACAGCTACTTAACAAGAGATTGGCATAATGATGACACCAGACACAGGGAGAGAACTGTTTAGTAGTGTCCAGAAGATTTTTGTAATCTTTAAAAACCAAGTAATGCATACACAGAGGAAAGCAATGGAAAATGGTTTCGTATGTTCTGTTCACTTTGTTTACAGCATATTACTAAAAAAAGTTTTAGTGGGTTCTGTGAATATCTGCTATGAAAATCCTTCTCTTTATGCAATTAATATTATGCAAGGCCTCAATTATATTATCTTCGAAAGAGATTTCTTCCTCAGAAAACTGTTACTTTTGTGTGTTTATAATATATTTTAACGCAGATATACATACATGTGTATTTGTAGACACACAGATATTCCAATAAAGGTATTCTATAGGTTACTGTTCAGTAAAGAAAGTGTTCTGTGTAGATTAACTGGCCTCATTTTGTTATACCTGAATGAGAAGTAGGGGTCAAAGCAGAAGTTTGAGCCAGCACCCTATCCCAAATTAGTGATGTTAGTGTGCCAGTAAGTGTATGGAAACACAAAATTAGGTAAGCAAAATGAAAATTCTTCCCATGAGCATTTGACAGAATTTGAAAAATATTTTCTTCTCAAATAAAGTCCCTTTGCTCTGCCATTTCCCACAGTGCTGCTCATTACTTCGTATTTAAAACATTTTAAACATACATCTCTTGTATTATCACATTTGTTAGTGATAATTAAATGCAAGAGCTTCTGTTCCAGTATTTTATTTTTTTTAATTTGCCTTTATTTTTCCAAGCACACAGCTAAATTCTTTAAGGAATAGAATTTCATATTGATTGATCGAGTAGTTTTAAGAATTTCTTCATATACATAATTTGCAAAAAACCCTTAAGTGTTCTATTAAACAAGTATTATGATGCATTTAATTTCTTAATATTATTTAGAGACATGAGCCTTATCATGTTTTTTAAGTACTTTTAAGTACTTACCATGTTTGTAAGTACCCATTTAACGGTAATAGTGTATTTAGCTTGCAACTGAAGTACGGTATTACATATTTGCAGTTCCTGTTTTGATGCTAAATTTTAACTGGTGATTTCTGCAACGTTTTAGGTATTTATTTTGGACAGAGTGGGGACAGACTCCTTGCATAGGCAGGGCACGCTTAGATGGCTCTGAGAAGGTTGTCCTTGTGAGCCTGGGGATTGCGTGGCCTAACGGGATTTCCATCGATTACGAGGTCAGTTCCTCTCTCTTCCAGCGCGTGTTAAAATGTACAGTATTTGTTACATTTCATTAAAGCCAGCTGGTGTTCCACTTTGATGTAATCTAAATAACTCTTAATTAAGTACTTGGACAAGGCTGTTGATGTTTCCTTTAAAATTAATCTTCAGGAAAATAAATTATATTGGTGTGATGCTCGTACCGACAAGATAGAAAGAATTGACCTTGAGAGTGGAGGGAATCGGGAGATTGTGCTGTCAGGGAGCAATGTGGATATGTTTTCAGTTGCGGTGTTTGGAGCTTACATCTACTGGTCTGACAGGTAATTTATTTTTCATAAGTATTTTAAGTCTCAAAATGTTATTTTGGTGCCAGGTGCTTCACCTTTGTAGGATTAGCCATTCCTTAGCAAGGTCACAGAACAGATCCCAGAAACCTGTGAAATTTCCAAAGAAAGGGCTGTTGTGATGCTGAAAGCTCAAGCTCATGAGCATCAGAGATGAAAACAGGTTTCTACACCTCCTGTTAGGTGAACTCTCCACTGCTCTTCAGTCATTTGTTCGGTGTGAATTAGTTGAGGATTGTTGATGAGACATCTTCAACTTTTTTGGCAGAGCACATGCAAATGGCTCTATTAGAAGAGGCCACAAGAATGAGGCCACGGATGCTGTGACCATGAGGACTGGCCTTGGAATAAACCTGAAGGAAGTGAAAGTCTTTAATAGAGCACGAGAGAAAGGTTGGCTGTTCTTAAGGATGCTATTAATTGTTTTAATATCACCTGCTACTTTTTATGTATATCGAAGCATACAAAAAAAAAAGAAGTAATCAATGATTTTATCTCCACTTTTTCCCTTGAAGTGTTTTTTTAACTAAAATTATTGTACTAAAGAAAACATAGAGTACAAATTCTGCTGAAATTCTTCCGAGTGTTTTAAAGAGAAAGTCTAAAACCAAAACACTTCCTACCATTCCAGGTTTGATGACTTTTGTTTTGTTTTTTTTTAAATAGCAAAAGACAGTCTTAGAAATGAGGGACCTTGAACTGTGCTTTACAGAGCAGTAATCTCAGGCAGTTTCAGATTTCTGTTGGAAAGCAAACCAAAATTTTTTCTTACTAGAAATTCCCAGCCTCTCTATCTCCAGTGTTTATTTGCTAAAATTTCTTGGGCTTAAGTCTTTTTTTTGTTTTGTTTCTGTAGGAAGAGACCTTGTAAATAATCAGATTTCCTTTATATTCAATTAGTTTAGCGAACTCAAGTGACAGAAGTTATTATATATTTTCTATGATTTATGATACCGATGGTTAAATTTTATTTTCCACTACCTCACTAAGAATCATCTTGCTTTAAATGTCTTCTTACTTCTAAAATTCTGGTTTTGATGAGACCTTGAAAAACTTGTCTCATTGAGAAAAGGTGGTTTGATGATTATTTACTCAGAACAAACAGCTACCAGGCCATCCAGAGAAAATTTTCTATAAATATATTTAAAAAAAGAGAGAAAAAGGGTTACTGCAATACAAAATAATTTTTTAAATACAAATATATCTCTGGTGTTGGTAGTGTTCAAAATTTGCTTTAATCACAGCATTATATACTCAAAGATTCTGTTTCCTTTACGTAAGTCTTTCCTAAATAATGGCATCAAATATGACATGTAAAATAAATGTACATTTTGAAAGAAAACAGATTAAACAATAAGAAAAACTTGATTTTTTTAAATTTTTCTTGAGAAAAATTAATTTGCAAACATATGCATATTAATTTTATTAAAAATTTCTATATGGGCATCATATTTTATGGATAAAAATAAAATACACACAAAAAGTCCCCATTTATTTTAACTAGGCTAGAAATAGTTAATGTCTGCTTACTTGGAAGGGCTTTATATTATAGAATATATTCTCTATATATTCTATATATAGAACTAGGAAAATAGAACAGTGGGATAATGTTGAATGATTTTTATTGATAGCTTTATTGACATGATCACTTGAATGGGAAAAACAGTTATTGAGGCTAAAAATCTACTGCTATTAGTTTGAAAACCATAACTGAATGATTTTTAATACATTTTTCAAATTTTACTAGGGTACAAATGGTTAATGTCATTGGGAGGGAATGTCAGTGAGCCAGAAGGACAAAAGGGAAAAAAACAGGTGAAAAATATTTTTGGAATGTTTCTCTGTATCACACTATTACATATAGTTTTTAAGTTTATTGAACTAGTAGTTAAGACTGTTTAAAAAAATGGGATAAGCGAGCTTCCTGACCTTCTGTTATTAAAACAAAGACACAAACAAACAGAAAAGGAGCCCAAACAAAAACCTAACCACCTGTGCTGATTGTGATTAATGCTTTTTTTTTCAAACACCTGTTTTACCCTTTCTGATGAGCCAGTCCTGAAAACTGCTACTTGAAAAGTGATTCCTATCCCTCAGTGCTATTTGGCATGTGTGCAAGGACATACCTTAATTACACTGGTTCCAGAACTGGCCATTTTTAAAGATATTCACAGCTGGTGAACAGTGGAAGCATTGATGTTTTCAAAGAGACTTCAGAAGCTTGAGGATCTTGTCGATATATTTTCCTTTCTCTTCTCAACCTTTCATCCTTCCAAACAGATATTAACCTTTCTAGCCTAATAAAACTTTTACAGAATCTTTAAAACAAACTGAATGAGAAAATGTATACAGCTAAATCTCCATATGTTTTTACATGACTCCAGAGGGTTATGTCTCATGGAATTTTGCATAGGAACACAAAATTCAATCTTTGTAGTTTTAAGAGCAAACTAGCTCTCATTCCCCATTATTCTTTCTTAAAAGTATTTTCAGGTTGAAATGTAGCAGTTAAAAAATACAATCAACAGTACTTTCAGACGCTACGTATTCCCCAACAATTATTATGGTTTTGTACCTGAAAAGAGTCTATTTAAAATGTTTTATTCTCCTTCATTATGTGGAAAACTTTCAGAAATGGGAAAATGACTCTACCAAAAGAGCTGAGTTGTTACATGGAAAGTGCTGTCAGAAACAGAAACTAAATTATCTGAACTAACTATAAGAGTAATTCATATCTAGTAAAGAAAAAAAAACAGAAAGGAAAAGACAAAGAAAAATAGCTCCTTATTATTAACTATTACTGTAATTTTAAATATTGCTTGCAACAAGTGTAGTTACTAATTTGACAATGATTTCTTAATGGTGTGCAATTGTCAGGGAGTAAGTTTTTAAAGTCAGGTTTTAAAGGAAATTAGAACAAAATGTTAGGAAATTTCTTCATCAGAAACAGAGAACTGGATTGACACAGTTTTGTACCTGTCAATACATATTATTCATTTTGATAGAAATTGTCTAAAAGCAGTACTGTATTCTGATGGTACCTAAATTTGACTTTTTACCAGTAACAGGTGTTTTAAAAAAAATTTTGAAAATATTTCAAAGCACTTGAAACAGTTTCTAAGTCTTCAGCTGGAAGAAGACTTAGGATTATTATGGAGGAATAACCCATTTTATCTTTTTTCTCTTAATAAAATATGTACTGTTGTGATTTGAAAAGGACATTAATTATATTTGCTCATTAATTATATTCTCTAAAATTATTTTCAGGTTGTGGTTAAAGTCACATGCTTTACTGTGTTAGGCTTTGGTTTACTTGTGAATATTGCACAAACGATTTGTAAGAGAGGAATTCTTGAGAGTGCATAAGATTTCATTTTTCTTTAAGTTAGCTAATTATATTTATATTTATAAAAGGTAGATTTTATTTTTTTTTCTTTTACAGGCACCAATGTGTGTGCCAAGAATAACGGTGGGTGTCATCAGCTCTGCCTTTACCGGGGAAATGCACGGAGAATGTGTGCTTGTGCACACGGATATCTTGCAGAAGATGGAATTAGTTGCCTGAGACATGAAGGCTACCTGTTGTACTCAGGGAGGACCATATTAAAAAGCATTCACCTTTCTGATGAAACCAACTTGAATTCACCAATAAGGCCATATGAAAACCCAGAGTACTTCAAAAACGTCATAGCTCTGGCTTTTGACTACAGCCTGAAGGGAAGGGGCACAAACCGCATATTCTTCAGTGATGCACACTATGGAAATATTCAAGTTATTAAAGACAACTGGGCTGGCAGAAAAGTGCTAATTGAAAGTAAGTAACAAAAAAAAAAATAAATAAAAGTTCCCAAAATGTGTATTTTATTTCAGTAAACTTTATAAAGTGAAACACTGATGATCACTTGGCTTTACAGAGTAAAAAATATCAATGAAGTTTTATCACATTTAATTATTGTATTTTATCCCTATAAGATGCATTTAAACATGAATAACTTCAAAATAATTTATTTTATAACAGGTTTATGATGTGTGAAGCATATTACTTGAAAACAGAAGTGACAACGGCAATGCTTAATTTATATGCTTGATTTTAAGGGGCTTTACTGTTGAAACAAAACCTCATATGAATTTCTACTGTTTTATTTTATGTTGCCCATGGCATTTCTACATTTATCTATTTGTTTGGGTGGGTTTAATAACAAGACCAAAGAAAGCGTGAGGAAAAATGAAAGTACGTTTGGTATATCATCTTTTGCTGTTGCATGTTAATGGGGATACTTCTAGTAAAGAAAAAAACTTAAACAGCTGCAAACTGACATAAGTATTATTTTACAACTTATATTGGATAATTGTTGCATTATTACCTCTGCACAGTGGTTCTGGGAAGCCATTTGTGCTTATGAAAATCGTTGGCACTAATGAATGGAAAAGCATTTTTAAAATATTTTTAAACTGAAAGAGTGTAGATTTAGATGAGATCTAAGGAAGAAATTCTTCCCTATGAGGCTGGGGAGGCCCTGGCACAGGTTGCCCAGAGAAGCTGTGGCTGCCCCATCCCTGGAAGTGTTCAAGGTCAAACTGGACGGGGCTTGGAGAAACCTGGTCTAATGGAAGGTGTCCCTGCCCGTGGCAGGGGGTGGAACGAGATGATCTTTAAGGTTTCTTCCGACCCAAATCATTCTGTGATTCTGTGTGATACAAGGCCTTTCTTTTTTTTTCCTTTGAGTTTTTATGTGTGCATATTTTAGAGCAATCAATGGCATCTGTATTAAAATATGGTAAACATAAACTAAGCAATATTGTCAGGATGTTCTCATTACTCCCAGGAAAGCATTGTCCACTGGTGACACACAAAGCACTGTTTTAACTCTGATGTTATAGGAAGACATTAAAAGTATTGCATGAAAAGTCACTGGAATTTTCAGCATTTAAAACAAAGAGGGAAAATAAATACTTGTGAAGCACCAATGCAGATAGAAATTGGGTTTTAAAAGAACAATAAAGTGTTCCTCATTACTTTATAATAGGCTGTTCTACAAGAGCAAAAGACATTCTGTAAAGCATAGTTGAGAATTATAGTTTTAAGAAATTGTTAGGAAGTGTTTCTACTTGTAACTTAATATGCCCGATTTCATTTTTCATTAGCAGAGTCAGCACTCTGAATAATTGAATGTCAGATGAAATTTTCTATCCTTGCAAAGAAATTTACTGTACATGCTTGGGATGTATATGTAAACTATGGCATTTTGTAGAAAGGCTTCTGTACTATTCTGCAGAAATGCTTTGTAAATGAGAAGGGTTATAACATCCCAGTATATGTCAGTTTATTGCTCTTCTTCAAGAGCCCTTTAGTTTATGTTGAGTCATTCATTTTCAGCTGATATTTTTGTATTGTATGGCTCTCCATTCCACAGTCTGCATGTGATTTTTCTCTCACTGTAAACAGGAGACAGTTCATGGGGCTGCTTGATGTAGTGGAAGTATTTAACCAACCACACCTATAAAGAAAAAAACAGCGGTAGGATTGGTTGACACCAGTAAGACACCAGTCTTCACTGGAAGACAGAAAATTCTAAAATTTTTCTGATTTCTACATTAAGAATCTGTGATCATGTAGAATTTATTAGATGGAATCCAGCTGAGAGATGTTAGTAATAATGTTTCATTTCGGGATTGAAAAAATAACACCTGTTATATTAATTTTGCTGTCTTTTTCATCCAGAATTATTAGTACATATCTGTAGCAAGTTTTACTTTATTAGGGAGAGATATAAAACCACAATGGAAATATCTACTGTGGTTCTATCAGTTCTACAACATTGTTCTACCTCATTAAGTTGAAGTCTAAAAATCACACAAACCTTTATTCAGTATTTGACTTCAGTAGAGAAATTAGGATATGTTACATACAACATACTGTTGTCCCAGATTTTTAGTTCACTGAATGCAAATCTGCTCCTAAGGAATCTCTCACCTGATGGATTTCTACCTCCCTGAAATCAGACATGCTGCTCAAATCTAATAGATTAGTGAACTTTCCTGCACACTAAAAACACTTAAGACATATAGAGCTCTTTGTTAAACAGGTTTCCAGTTCACTAAAAACAGATTTACAACTCACGAGCAACCCATTATCTAACATGTTTTTAGCTCACCGAGAACAGATTTACTACCCAGAAACAACCCATTATCTAACATGTTTCCAGTTCACTGAAAACAGATTTACAACCCATACACGAGCCATTATCTAACATAGTTCCGACTCACTGAATATTGATTTAGAATTCATAAACAACCCATTATCTGACAAATTTTCACCTCACTGAACAGATTTGCAACTCATAAACAACCATTAGCTAACACATTTTCGGCTCATGGAAAGTAGATTTACGGCGTATAAACAACTTTATCTAACTTGTTCCAGTTCACTAGAAATAGATTCAAAACTCACCAAGAACCCTGTACCTGATAGGGTTCTGTCTTCAGCAGCAAGAAACAATAACAACAACAAAAAAACAACCCAGCATGTGCATAGTATGCCACGCCATGCCACCTTTGGGTTTTGTACTGCATGAGGAGGGGATTTTTTTCTTAACTCTGAACTCTGCTGATGAAAGGAGCAATATTTCATTTGGTCACTCAGCAGGGATTTGTGCTTTCTTGTTTTCTTAAGTAACTTTATCAGGTTAATCTTTCTTATTGCCAGTTTTTAAAATTTTACCTTGTTCTTGCCCGTGATTTCACACAAATATTCTTTTGGCTGACCTAAGTTGTTTCAGAGTGTATGTTTATACAAAGAAGCCTTTTTTTAAAAAGCTAAGTTTCAATTTCTAAGCTAATAGTTCTTTTTTTTTTTTAATTATTATTTATCATAGGTAGAAGCTTGAAGCAATACATGAATTAACCAAAACCTGCTTCAGTTTATCTGTAGAAAAACACTGCGATATTCAAATAGCTTTAATACAGCGGTGCAACAGTAGACAGAAGACAAATGAAGTTAAACCTAAAGAAAAAAGGTGGAGGCAAGGCAAAAAAAAAAGGCAAATGAGAAACAGGAAAAAGTAATGAGATACACTCAATGGTTTTTCTCCTAACTGTGTAAACAAAGGCACTGAGATATTTTGCCAGTGAAATGTCTCTCACAGCACAAAAGGAAGTGTTATGTGAGAAAACGCTCCTGTTTTGAACCTGAGGCACTGGTGTCTGTAGAGCACAAAAATCTTTTCACTGCTAACATAAAGTGTCAGATCCTGTGATGTATTGTAAGGCTTTTTACAGTCTGAATCTTTTAAAGGTGTTCCAATGTGTGCTACTATTCTTCCTAACTAAATGGGTCCAATTTAACTGTCAAAAAGGCATTTATGTTCCCATTTCTCTTACAGAGCGTTACTTTTGGTACATTGTGAGATCCCTTTAGTTTTGAAACTTTCTTCTCCAGGAAAGGAATTTTTAATCTGTTAAAAATAAATATTGGATATTGTTGCTTTTTATTTCATAAATGGAGTCATTATAACTGTATATGCTATATGTATATGTTATATGTATTTGTATATTCATTATAACTGCATATAGGTCCAGTGATTTTCACTTTTTAAAGGAGGGAAAGTGAGAGGCTGTTGTTAAGTCTAGGATATTTAAATAGTAAAACATAATATTTATTATTCCAACTTGAAAAACAAGTTGTCTAGTTTAACACTATCTTTTGTTTCTGTATGTGGCTGCATATTAGAGAATCACAGAATATTTTGGGTTAGAAAGGAGCTTAAAAATCACCTCATTCTAAGCCCCTACCACGGGCAGGGACACCTTCCACTAGACAATGATTAGTGGGTAAAATCTATGAGTTGTTGCTACAGGTGAATAAAGTAATCTAATTTTATATTAAGCATTTATTATTCTAGATTGGTGTAGTCCTGCACATTTCATGTGTTGTTTAGGTGTCCCTGGGGTGAAACTCTAAATGTATTTATGACAGGAGCTGACTTACACTTATGGTATGTTGTGAGCATTCCCAACCTCAGTATTGAGGAAAGATGTTTTTGCCTATTGAACTTGAGATTATTCATGAGGAATTAATACTATTTGTGGCTGATTCAACTGTAAAAAATTGCCCTTAGATTTTTTTATTGATGCAAATATTTACTAAATTTTTACCTTAGCAGCTCTGATTTAGTTGCCTTAAATGTAAAACTGTTTGGTGAATTTTCAGAAAAAAGCTACACAGAAGGAACATCTGAATTTCATTGTTTTATTCTAAAGAGTAATGTGATCCAGCAAATATTATTAGGTTATTAGGCTATTCTGCCATTAACACCTCAAATATCTCTCTAATGTTTCGTTTTACTTCAACATTAAGAATAAAAATGTGTGTTTATATATATTTATTAGAAGGCTTGTTAGTCTAATAGTATTGATTTAAAGGTGCTAAGGGTGAAGAGTAGGTTGGTCCTTTTTAGAGTCCACATGTAATGCACGAAAAGATAATATGGGCTCTTGTAATTAGCAAAACATTTCTTCCATGACAATGGTTGAGATTTTAAAGAATCTAATAAAACACTTCCATCTCCATAGGTTAGGTTTCCATTCTGGAAGTCCTTCTGCTTTTAAAGACTCTTTTACATGGATACTTTAACTATATTGATGTTATGATATTATAACACTTGTTAACTTGTATTGCCTCAGTAAGTTTGAAGGAATAAGATTACATCCATGGAGATGTTTGTAGTGCCTTGAACTCAGGGTAGTTGTAGCTTTGAAGAACCCAAAGCCTTTGTTTATACTGTCCTATTACATTTAATAATCTTTAATGTGGAA